TAAGTCTTATTCTAATTGGGAGTAAGTTAGGCGGCCCCCTAACGTACATGTAAATTACTAAGCACCTAAGAAATGTTATCCATTCAACAATAAACGATTCTTATTGGTATTCCCAAGCGGCGAACTGTTCTTAACTAGCTTACTCTAAGTTAAATGTCCCATTTGTTTTGCGTCTCCCCTTCTATCTGCAAATGCCCGCCCATTCTACCCATCTATTTTATGTACCATCGAACCAATGAAACCGAATCTGAAACATAATCGCATTACCTTTTCCAATACTTTGCAGCTTGTTGTACCAACTACTTCTTACTAAGAATTAAACGAAACAGAAAAACTGAAAAAAGATAAATAAAACCACAAATGAACATTAAAACCTAATCAAACCAAAACCAACTCGAGCGACAACCATTCGCACAGGCGCACAAACTCAAATTCAGATACAGATTCGAAAGGTATTGGAGTCTTTGGATCCAAACCGATCGGATCTGCTGAGATGAGGTGTGTGTGCGGGTGCGGGTGTGTCTGCCTATGTGAAGGTGTGTCTGTCTATGTTCTCTCACCAAAATCTATAAATCAAAAGAAACCCATAACTCTGCAATGAATACAATCTAATCGTATCGTATCAAATCGAATTCCATTCAAAGGCTTCAGTTTGCGCGTTTAGGTGTGTATGAAATATCCAAATTATCGCTAATTGTCTATAAGTGTTCCTATATATCATGAATATAATGTATGTCTTTCTTTGTTTTTGCTGTTTTAATTGTTGTTTGTCGTATGCTTAGCGATATTCATAGTTATAGTCGTCTCTGCCTGCGTCTGCTCTATATATCCCTTATTACCTTTTAATGATTTGTGTGAATCCTACTCTTTATTTTCCCCTCCCTCAGCCCGAAGCTTGTGCCCTCTTTGCGTATTCTATAGTTTAGTTGATATTATTTCTGCATATCTAGTCGTTAGTCGATTTGCTGACATGGCCTTGAGCTAAATCTCTATTGTCCTTGCCCACTTTTACAGGAGGCCTCTGCCCAGCAGCAATTGGCGGCTGCCGGCGACCAGCAGCAGGTGCAGGTGCAGATAATGCCCGATGGCCAGATCCACGGAAAGGTGATCAAGTACGAGATCTGCCGCAGCGTTTTGCCGGAGGATCAGCAGCAGGAGCAGGGCGACATGAGCGCGGACTAATCTATGGCGATTGTAAATACGTGGCAAGTGCAACAGCAACAGTAGCAGCATCAGTAGCACCAACAGCGCATAACAGAACACCCAGCACACTCGGACAGACACAGGCAGATCCTCGGAGTGAGGCGAATGCGTCGTAAGCGATTCCCTTAAATGTAATATTTTAGTTAGTCTTAGGTTACCGGCTAAGTAATCGCATTGTACACATAAAAGTTAACTAGCGTTACAGACATGAACACACACCTTATATAATATATATATATACAGACATATGTAGATTTACGTATAGAGAGTATCTGTTAATTTTTGCGATGCCTTGGTCGCATCTAAAAGAACAACCTGTATGAGTTGCAAGTTTTAAAGCGTTACGTTCAATTGGTTTTACGCATTACACGAGTTTTAATAACACAACTTATACACAAACTTATATTCAACAACTAGACGACAAATATTTATGCTTAAGTGCAAACTGTAAACATATTAACACGAAACATAGACGACTACGGATAGTTATAGACACTAGCATGCGTTGCACTTGTATACGTAATCCCGAGGTGGCGTGGGCGATAGCGTGGTCGTGGGTCTGGATATTCCTGCCCAGAATTGCGTTGGTGCAGCACATTTCGAATGTACATACAGAAACCGGAGTTGGCTGCAACACCGAGTAAATGCAGAACAGGTCTGACAGAGGAGACTCCACTTTGGAGTCTGGAGGCTAAGGAATGTGGAGTAGGTGCCTGGCACAAAAACTAGCTAACACAGATATCCAACACGAACAGCGACAGAAGTCTCTAGCGTAGGTGACTGCAATTGTTTAACAACCCGAACACACACACAGTCTAGCAAAAAAAAAAAACTTAAAAAATTATTCAATGAAATTAGAACACACAAGGAGCAGCTAACGAGAACAGACACTCTTATAAACGACCCACATCATCCAATGCACGCTTGGCGACGTATATCACACACTGTAAAAATTCTACGTTAAGTCTTAGGAACGCGTTAAAGCAGACGGAACATAATTGGTAATTATCGTAATCGGATAAATGAAACAATAAATAATGAACATACACTAAGCATATATTTTAATATGTAAGCCTTAAAGAAATACAAACGGAAAATATGAATTATAATAAACAAAACAACGTGTAATTGCAATTAATGCTGAATTGTTCAAGGGCGGCAAAATGTTCACCTTGCGAATATATTATGGGGGGGGTCTTATCTATACTGTTATTTTAACTGGCCAAGCAGCGATCATTTAGTGTTCTATCTCTTGATAAGAACAGCGCCACATACCGTGCGTGCCATAATATTACTAATGTTTGGATGTTATTTATTTAGTTAAGACCTATTAAGTCATAACCAAACATTCGTAATATTATATGATTTCTTAATGGTTGTAATATGTTCAACTGAACTATATCGTCAAAGTTTTCTGTGAGTTTGGATTAATTAAACATAATGTTTTGTCCGGCAGTTTTTCGCTTAAGGAACTTTCTTTTGTCAAAAATGAATGAACACCTTATTTATAGATTTGCTGATTAAACAAACCGACGCAAATATTTGCCATATTGACTGTGAGTCAACTCAATTGCAATTTTTCAGCAGTAAATCGTTTAGGCACTTATGAAGCGAGTGTGGGGGAAGGAAGTATCTAGAGTTTACAAAGTTTGTATGCTAATTTCGTAGAATGCCAGGGCAAAAGATAAGATAGCACTAATGTGTGTGGAAATTCAACACAAAATTGTTGTCTAATAATTTGGCCTAAGCGAAGACAATAGGCGAAGCATTTTCAGGTGTCTCAACATGGAAACAAAAATTAGGCACGTTGAGTTCCTGCCCCAACCGACGGATAGGCCCAAGCACGTCGAAAGTGTCCAACATGCTACCCGTAATCATTACAATTTATTCACCGCCGTAACTTTTAATTGTTTATAATTTTTTTGAGATACAAGTGAATTAAATATTCGCCATGCTACGTGACTGGGCTCCTCTTCATGCCCATATGGGCATCGGTTGAGTCAGATTTGGATATTCCGGCGTCAGAGAATGTCGTTTGCAAGTCTGCCCTAAAAGTGCATTGTGCAATGGACGACGGGGCAGTAGTCAGTAAAAAAAGCATTTTCGGAGATCTCGACATTTCGGCCAACTGCCAAATAAGGGCTGACATGGACACGTTACCTTGATGTGCATTTCGGCTTATTGTTAAATTAAAATTAATTGAACTTGAGGCTGCGCGACAGCCGAAACTTGCGCATAAATTTCGAGCACGCCCCGGTTGCTCAGAATTCAATTTCAATTCCAAGGAAACACTGTGAGATGAGAGATGTCATCATCATCATCCCCACACACTCGATATAGCGATCTCCCTAATTACCCGGTCCCCATGTTTTCCCGACGCACTGCACCCAGTGGCATAGTTCCCAATTGCCATTTGATCTGAATTGCAGCGTGCTCCAGATCTAGTTGCACATTTTTGAGCCCATGCCCATGTCGATTGTATGCGCCGTGAATTGCTAAGTAGGTTCCACTGTGGCCGCTTTTATTTTCCACTTTAATTTTGCATTTGTGTCTTACTTCTATTTGTGTGATTTTATTTTGTGTACCCGGCCAGCAAACAAGTTTTGATTGCTTTTGGCTTCGCATGAAAATGAGTTTCGGTGCTCGCTGCTCGTTGCTCATACGCCGCGTATGACGTCAGATTCGAATTAAGCAAGAATTGGGCTTTGCTTTTCTTGATAGCTCGATTCGCCCGGTATACACACTTGGTTTGGAGGTCACTTTGGGGGTCTCCTTCTCCATTATGCAGCTGATCTATTGCACGCCCCTTTTGGACATATCCACTTCCAGATACTTTTCATTTGCACCCACCCAAAGGCCGTTATAAATCAATTGGGCCATTGAGTGTATCGGGGCAGCGTTATGGCGAATAAATCTTGATCTTAACGTGGCTTACTCAGCTCCGGCGGAGACGAGACGCCCACGTAGCGCCGCTCGGCCGCTCGGCTAGACGGTCTCTATCTACAAACATGGCCAGCATGTGCTGACTAATCCGTCTCCTCCGATGCTGCCATTCAAATTTAATTGTGCATCCGACAGGCGCAGCCGTTAGCCCGGCCTAATTTGGTTAGCCAATTTCGCATTTTGTGTCAATATTGTTTTGGGAGACTGTTTGCTACGCAGGCGCACGCCCTGCAAGTTCGTGCCGCTCTGTTTTGTGTACCTGACAAGCTCAAACAGAAAGACCGCCGGCATCGGGGCATCGGGCATCAAACATCAGACATCTGTTTGTTTTGTTTTTATTGGCACTTTCACAAAAGATCGATGCGGTGTGCGTGCGGTTTTTATTGGCTTATTGAACTCGGTATTCGTAGCAGACCGGGCCAGGAGCGGACTTGGAGTGTATTCTTGAGGAAAAAAACTTTTTCAATTAATAAATGGATGTTCATTCAGAGCACGTCCCAAAGATCTTATATGATATGAGGGATCTTTTAAAGAACTTTAAGGCTTAAAGTTTTTAGGACACCGAGATTGTATGTTCGTCATATTGGTAATATTAGGACAGTTATAAACATTTTTAAAGAAACCAATCCATTAGATCCACGCCTGAACCGCCGGCCTACGCATCCGTCGGAATCCGAAACCTACGCTACCCTGGCTTTAACTTTTTGCCTTTTGCGAAGGCGTCTTGCCTCTCGCTCGCCCCAACGGTCGAAAGCCCACAAAACGCTGCTGCCGGCGCCGCTGCTGCCGCTTTCAGCCGGCAGCGCACAGATAGTCGGTCGAAAGCAGCTCCAGACGCGATCAGTACGTTTTGAGTTGTGCTTCGCGACGGTTGGTGATCTTCAAAGTGCTCCGAACACGAACAGTAGTGCCCGCAGTCTCTCGGTTTTGGTTTTGGTTTTAATTTTTGGCTCTGCATCTGTATCTGTATCTCGATCGGCTCCAACCCGCTGCATCCGCGACTCTCTCCCCACCTTTCGCGTGTGTGTGTGTGCCAGTGTGTGCTTGTGTGTGAGCGAGAGTGCTAAGCTTTTTGCTCACACGTCTAACGGTTGCCAAAGTGTGCGTATTGGTGCCTTAACTTGAACTATGGGTCGCATGTTCGTGTGCGTCTAATAAATATATTTAAAAATAAGTATTTCGACATTCCGTCGTGGAAATTATGTGACACACCAGTCTAGATCCCAACAACCACGTCCCATTCATACGCGACACATTATTAAAAAGCCATCCGAGTGCCAAAAGCAACGAAGCGAGCAATAATTGTGATTAATAACAACGAAACAAACGAATACCGACCGCAAATTAGCCACATAAGGCCAGTCAAATAGCAATAGTCCAGCCAGGTGCATTATTCACGGCTCCCAAACGTTGATTACCTCATCTGTGCCAGCGCTCCGCCAGCAAAATGGTATCAAAAAGCAATAAAAAGAAACAAGTGTCTCAGCAGCAGCAGCAGGCGTCGACGTCGCCGTCTCAGCAGTCTCAGCCGCCGCCAGCAACATCGACCACAACATCAACGTCGTCGGCCGAGGCCACGAAGCTTACCAAAAAACTGGGTCCCGATGCGTTCGCCACTCTGACCACCAGCAACAGCTCCAGTTCCATGCAGCACGAATCGGTGACTTATGGTGAGCCCGTGGCTAGCACTTCGGCTGCTTCCCTACCGGCGGCAGGAGTCAGGAGCTACAGCAGCAGCAGCAGGAGCCAGAGCAAGAGCAAGGCCTCCCAGTCGCATTCCTCCTACACAGAGCAATCTCAGTCGCAGCTGCAGTCGGAACAGTACAGCAGCAAGATCTCCCGGGATTATGCCAATCAGAAGATCATCTCGTCGATTGATCTGCTGGAAAGTGAGAAGAAAGAGCCAGTATTCTCGGTGCCCATCGAAGTGGTGGAGATCACAACACCCACGCTATCCGTCTCCGCCAGCGGGGGCAGTGTCTCGAAAATGTTCACGTCCTCGTCGATGTCTTCCAGCCAACAGCAGCAGCAGGCCAGTAGCTCCAGCTCGTACTTCCAAGCCACAACCAGTTCCAGCCGGAGCGCCAACGAAACGCTGATTGCGAGCGAGAGAGCCGATACGGCTACCGGTATGACATCATCCGGGCCGAGGAAACAGGTTGGCTTCGATACAGACACCAAGACAGTGACAAACACCAGCAGCAGTACTAGCAACATCAGCAGCAGCACAAACACAAACTCAAACAGAAACACAAACATCAACATCAGCAGCAGCAATGTGAGCGAATCTCAGAGCGTGCCAAAGCTGCCAGCGAACGGGACAGCTGATGCTCCCACATCGGTGACGTCGCAAGGCTACCCCGAACCGGTTGCCGCGTCGTCTGGCGCGACCACAACAAAGGCGACGTCATCGACGCGACGCAACGATAAACTGGTAGTGGCCAGCGCAGACACAGCTGTTGATAGAGCTACGTCATCGTCGTCAGTGGTCGACAAGAGGTCCAGCGAAGAGGTCAGCGAGAGCTCCGTCCTCAAAAGCTCGAGTAGCAGCAAGCAATCGAAGTCTACGTCCAAGAAAGAGGTGTACGATGTGAAGACCAAGACCTGGACAGAGTACAGCGATGGCAGCTCCCAAGGACCTAGCAAGACCCGTCCGACCTTTGAGCGGTATGTCAGCAAGGACACTGACGGCACGTCCAAAGTAACGTATAAGAAGAAGATATACGACAGACGCAACAATCGGTGGCGCGTGGTGGACGAACGGACGGTGGACAGTAGCGCCGACACGGGCTATCCCGAAATAGTCGATGATGTCATTAACACAACAAGAACCACATACACCACCAAGGTGTACGACACGAAGCTCGGCAAGTGGACTGTTGTGGACGAGAAGTCGTTCACTGATACGAAAGCTTTCGTGCCCAATGACATTGCTCGTGAAATCGAGAAAGATAATACCGATGTTGCAAACATAACGACTACAACGGAGGTAACGAAGGTAAGTCATTGATTGTGCGTGCCTACGTGTGGGCGTTCATTAGACCCTCCCAAAAGCAGAGACCGCAGACGAAAGTTAAGCGGGTGTGTGTTGAATTTCGATTCTAAGGAATTTTTTTTCAGATTTTCGATGCGAGCATTAACGACTGGCGCGTTCTGGACGAGAAGGTGCACACAGATGTAATTGAGAAGATAGTAGAGGCTCCCAAAAAGACCATTTACGTGGACGAGTTTGTGGAGATTGAGAAGAACACCTCGATTTCGGAGAACAATGAGAACATAACCCTGAACTTAAAAGAGACATCGAAACACAAAAATATTACCGAAAATATTTATGATGAAATCGATTATGTGCGCACTGATAAGCAACGCCTAGACGACTCAAGAACCGTGAGTAGATTAGTTAGGAAAACAAACTAAAGATTTCTAAAATATTATTGCAGAAGAAATAACTTACCAATTCTGAGTTTATTAAGATTTCGAGTAATTTTGATTAATATTTTTGTATTCTTTACATTACCAGCGAGGAGTTGCCAGAAACAAGTCATCAACGCATAGTGAAAGGTGCATCTGTGAAATCTGCACATGCGGGTATGATTTGTGATTTATCCTGATACTTCTGTTTTTGTTTGCTAAAACCCAAATATCATTTTAGGCGTCATCATTGCTCAAGCAGTACAACGAAATCTTCAGAAAAAACCATTATTCAAACCGATGGCAAGTGAAATTGTTTAAACAAATTAAACATTTTTTGTTAACCATTTCGATTTTCCACAGATAACGTCGACGAAGCATACACTAGGATACGTACTAATACATGGTCGAAAAAAGATAATGAAAACATTCCCAAGCAACACGAAGACATTCTAGTGGACTACATAGTCATAAAGAAACCAGAAGACAATTTAAGACCAGAAGGAGAATTTATAGTTCCACCGAAAGAGCCATATAAACCAGGAGAAAAACGCGAGAAAATTGTGCACACAGATAATCTTCGCTCAGAGGGAGAAATGACATTTGTAGAGAAGGAAGAATATCAATATACTGTCCGCCCTGGATATGTGAAGCCTACTGACAACCTTAAGCCGGAAGGCGAATTTTACAGCCCAGAAAAACCTAAATACCAACCGGGAGATAGACCTACTCAGGTTCGACACGAAGACAATCTTAGGCCAGAAGGCGAGTTTTACACTCCACAGAAACCAGGTTACACCCCAGCCGACCGCCCACAGCAAAAGAAACCAGTGGATAATCTTAAGCCGGAGGGAGACTTCACTTCACCAGAAAAACCAGCATATAGACCTGCCGAGAAACCTGAAAAAATAATACGGAGTGATAACTTGCGGACTGAGGGCGAAATGACCTTTGTGGAAAGAGAAGAGTATCAATATGTGACACGACCCGGCCAAGTAAAGCCTACGGATAACTTAAGACCAGAGGGCGAATTTTATAGTCCAGAGAAACAAAAGTATCGCCCAGGGGAACGTCCATCACAAGTTCGTCCTGTTGACAATCTAAAACCAGAAGGAGAATTCGTAAAGCCCGAGAAACACGTTTTTAAACCTGCTGATAAATCTGAAAAAATTATTCGAACAGATAATCTTCGCACGGAAGGAGAAATGACCTTTATAGAAAGGGAAGAATATCAGTATGTTGTGCGTCCTGACCAAGTAAAACCTTCAGACAATCTAAGACCAGAAGGAGAATTCTATACCCCTGAAAAAATAAAGTTCAAGCCGGGTGAAAGACCTTCTCAGGTAAGGCCGGAGGACAATCTTAAACCGGAAGGAGAGTTCTATACACCGGATAAGCCAGGGTTCAGGCCTGCAGAGAGACCAGTGCAAAAGAAGCCGGAGGACAATCTGAAGCCAGAGGGAGAATTCTACAGCCCTGACAAACCGAAATACAGCCCAGGCGAAAGACCTTCTCAAGTAAGGCCGGAAGACAATCTTAGACCAGAAGGTGAGTTCTACACACCGGAGAAGCCAGGATTTAGGCCTGCTGAGAGACCTGTACAAAAGAAGCCAGAAGACAATCTGAAACCAGAGGGAGAGTTCTACAGCCCTGACAAACCGACGTATAGGCCAGGCGAAAGACCTTCTCAAGTCAGGCCGGAAGATAATCTGAGAACAGAAGGGGAGTTCTACACACCTGAGAAGCCTGGATTCAGGCCTGCTGAGAGACCAGTACAAAAGAAGCCAGAAGACAATCTGAAACCCGAAGGAGATTTCTACAGTCCTGAGAAACCGAAGTACAAGCCAGGTGAAAGACCTTCTCAAGTAAGACCAGAAGACAATCTCAAACCAGAAGGTGAGTTCTATACACCTGAAAGGCCTGGATTCAGGCCTGCTGAGAGACCACTTCAGAAGAAACCACAGGACAACCTTAAACCCGAAGGCGAATTTGTAAAGCCCGAAAAACAAGTCTACAAACCGGCGGAGAAAACTGAAAGAATTATTCGAAAAGATAATCTTCGCACGGAAGGCGAAATGACGTTTGTTGAGAGGGAGGAATATCAGTATGTGGTGCGACCAGACCAAGTAAGGCCATTCGACAATCTGAAACCCGAAGGAGAGTTCTACAGCCCTGAGAAACCGAAGTACAAGCCAGGTGAAAGACCTTCTCAAGTAAGGCCAGAAGACAATCTCAAACCAGAAGGTGAGTTCTACACACCGGAGAAGCCAGGATTCCGGCCTGCTGAGAGACCAGTACAAAAGAAGCCGGAAGACAATTTGAAACCCGAAGGAGATTTCTACAGCCCTGAGAAACCGACGTACAAGCCAGGTGAAAGACCTTCACAAGTAAGGCCAGAAGACAATCTCAAACCAGAAGGAGAGTTCTATACTCCGGAGAAGCCAGGATTCAGGCCTGCTGAGAGACCAGTACAAAAGAAGCCAGAAGACAATCTGAAACCCGAAGGAGATTTCTACAGTCCTGAGAAACCGAAGTACAAGCCAGGTGAAAGACCTTCTCAAGTAAGACCAGAAGACAATCTCAAACCAGAAGGTGAGTTCTATACACCTGAAAGGCCTGGATTCAGGCCTGCTGAGAGACCAGTTCAGAAGAAACCACAGGACAACCTTAAACCCGAAGGCGAATTTGTAAAGCCCGAAAAACAAGTTTACAAACCGGCGGAGAAAACTGAAAGAATTATTCGAAAAGATAATCTTCGCACGGAAGGCGAAATGACGTTTGTTGAGAGGGAGGAATATCAGTATGTGGTGCGACCAGACCAAGTAAGGCCATTCGACAATCTGAAACCCGAAGGAGAGTTCTACAGCCCTGAGAAACCGAAGTACAAGCCAGGTGAAAGACCTTCTCAAGTAAGGCCGGAAGACAATCTCAGACCAGAAGGTGAGTTCTATACTCCGGAGAAGCCAGGATTTAGGCCTGCTGAGAGACCAGTACAAAAGAAGCCAGAAGACAATCTGAAACCTGAGGGAGAGTTCTACAGTCCTGAGAAACCGAAATACAAGCCAGGTGAAAGACCTTCTCAAGTAAGGCCAGAAGACAATCTCAGACCAGAAGGTGAGTTCTATACTCCGGAGAAGCCAGGATTTAGGCCTGCTGAGAGACCAGTACAAAAGAAGCCGGAAGACAATCTGAAACCTGAGGGAGAATTCTACAGTCCTGAGAAACCGAAATACAAGCCAGGTGAAAGACCTTCTCAAGTAAGGCCAGAAGACAATCTCAAACCAGAAGGAGAGTTCTATACACCTGAGAAGCCAGGATTCAGACCAGCTGAGAGACCAGTTCAGAAGAAACCACAGGACAACCTTATACCCGAGGGCGAATTTGTAAAGCCCGAAAAACAAGTCTACAAACCGGCCGAGAAAACTGAAAGAGTTATTCGAAAAGATAATCTTCGCACGGAAGGCGAAATGACGTTTGTTGAGAAGGAAGAATATCAGTATGTGGTGCGACCAGACCAAGTAAGGCCATCCGACAATCTGAAACCCGAAGGAGAGTTCTACAGCCCTGAGAAACCGAAGTACAAGCCAGGTGAAAGACCTTCTCAAGTAAGGCCAGAAGACAATCTCAAACCAGAAGGCGAGTTCTATACTCCGGAGAAGCCAGGATTCAGGCCTGCTGAGAGACCTGTACAAAAGAAGCCGGAAGACAATCTGAAACCTGAGGGTGAGTTCTACAGTCCTGAGAAACCGAAGTATAAGCCAGGTGAAAGACCTTCTCAAGTAAGACCAGAAGACAATCTTAAACCAGAAGGAGAGTTCTATACACCTGAGAAGCCAGGATTCAGACCAGCTGAGAGACCAGTTCAGAAGAAACCACAGGACAACCTTAAACCCGAAGGCGAATTTGTAAAACCCGAGAAACAAGTCTACAAACCTGCCGAGAAAACTGAAAGAGTTATTCGAAAAGATAATCTTCGCACGGAAGGCGAAATGACGTTTGTTGAGAGGGAGGAATATCAGTATGTGGTACGACCAGACCAAGTAAGGCCATCCGATAATCTGAAACCCGAAGGAGAGTTCTACAGCCCTGAGAAACCGAAGTACAAGCCAGGTGAAAGACCTTCTCAAGTAAGGCCAGAAGACAATCTCAAACCAGAAGGCGAGTTCTATACTCCGGAGAAGGCAGGATTCAGGCCTGCTGAGAGACCTGTACAAAAGAAGCCGGAAGACAATCTGAAACCTGAGGGTGAGTTCTACAGTCCTGAGAAACCGAAGTATAAGCCAGGTGAAAGACCTTCACAAGTAAGGCCAGAAGACAATCTCAAACAAGAAGGTGAGTTCTATACTCCGGAGAAGCCAGGATTCAGGCCTGCTGAGAGACCAGTACAGAAGAAGCCCGAAGACAATTTGAAACCCGAAGGAGATTTCTACAGCCCTGAGAAACCGAAGTACAAGCCAGGTGAAAGACCTTCTCAAGTAAGGCCAGAAGACAATCTCAAACCAGAAGGTGAGTTCTATACTCCGGAGAAGCCAGGATTTAGGCCTGCTGAGAGACCAATACAAAAGAAGCCGGAAGACAATCTGAAACCTGAGGGAGAGTTCTACAGTCCTGAGAAACCGAAATACAAGCCAGGTGAAAGACCTTCTCAAGTAAGACCAGAAGACAATCTTAAACCAGAAGGAGAGTTCTATACACCTGAGAAGCCAGGATTCAGACCAGCTGAGAGACCAGTTCAGAAGAAACCACAGGACAACCTTAAACCCGAAGGCGAATTTGTAAAACCCGAGAAACAAGTCTACAAACCTGCCGAGAAAACTGAAAGAGTTATTCGAAAAGATAATCTTCGCACGGAAGGCGAAATGACGTTTGTTGAGAGGGAGGAATATCAGTATGTGGTACGTCCAGACCAAGTAAGGCCATCCGACAATCTGAAACCCGAAGGAGAGTTCTACAGCCCTGAGAAACCGAAGTACAAGCCAGGTGAAAGACCTTCTCAAGTAAGACCAGAAGACAATCTCAAACCAGAAGGCGAGTTCTATACTCCGGAGAAGCCAGGATTCAGGCCTGCTGAGAGACCTGTACAAAAGAAGCCGGAAGACAATCTGAAACCTGAGGGTGAGTTCTACAGTCCTGAGAAACCGAAGTATAAGCCAGGTGAAAGACCTTCTCAAGTAAGACCAGAAGACAATCTTAAACCAGAAGGAGAGTTCTATACACCTGAGAAGCCAGGATTCAGACCAGCTGAGAGACCAGTTCAGAAGAAACCACAGGACAACCTTAAACCCGAAGGCGAATTTGTAAAACCCGAGAAACAAGTCTACAAACCTGCCGAGAAAACTGAAAGAGTTATTCGAAAAGATAATCTTCGCACGGAAGGCGAAATGACGTTTGTTGAGAGGGAGGAATATCAGTATGTGGTACGACCAGACCAAGTAAGGCCATCCGACAATCTGAAACCAGAGGGAGAGTTCTACAGCCCTGAGAAACCGAAGTACAAGCCAGGTGAAAGACCTTCACAAGTAAGGCCAGAAGACAATCTCAAACCAGAAGGTGAGTTCTATACACCTGAGAAGCCAGGATTCAGACCAGCTGAGAGACCAGTTCAGAAGAAACCACAGGACAACCTTAGACCCGAGGGCGAATTTGTAAAGCCCGAGAAACAAGTCTATAAGCCGGCGGAGAAAACTGAAAGAATTATTCAAAAGGATAATCTTCGCTCTGAAGGCGAAATGACGTTTGTTGAGAGGGAGGAATATCAGTATGTGGTGCGACCAGACCAAGTAAGGCCATCCGACAATCTGAAACCAGAGGGAGAGTTCTACAGCCCTGAGAAACCGAAGTATAGGCCTGGTGAAAGACCTTCTCAAGTCAGGCCAGAAGACAATCTCAAACCAGAAGGCAAGTTCTATACTCCAGAGAAGCCAGGATTCAGGCCTGCTGAGAGACCAGTACAGAAGAAGCCAGAAGACAATCTGAAATCCGAAGGAGAGTTCTACAGCCCTGAGAAACCGAAGTACAAGCCAGGTGAAAGACCTTCTCAAGTAAAGCCAGAAGACAATCTCAAACCAGAAGGTGAGTTCTATACTCCGGAGAAGCCAGGATTTAGGCCTGCTGAGAGACCAGTACAAAAGAAGCCGGAAGACAATCTGAAACCTGAGGGAGAGTTCTACAGTCCTGAGAAACCGAAATACAAGCCAGGTGAAAGACCTTCTCAAGTAAGACCAGAAGACAATCTCAAGCCAGAAGGTGAGTTCTATACTCCGGAGAAGCCAGGATTCAGGCCTGCTGAGAGACCAGTACAGAAGAAGCCCGAAGACAATTTGAAACCCGAAGGAGATTTCTACAGCCCTGAGAAACCGAAGTACAAGCCAGGTGAAAGACCTTCTCAAGTAAGACCAGAAGACAATCTCAAACCAGAAGGAGAGTTCTATACACCTGAAAAGCCAGGATTCAGACCAGCTGAGAGACCAGTTCAGAAGAAACCACAGGACAACCTTAAACCGGAAGGAGAATTTGTAAAGCCCGAGAAACAAGTCTATAAGCCGGCGGAGAAAACTGAAAGAATTATTCAAAAGGATAATCTTCGCTCTGAAGGCGAAATGACGTTTGTTGAGAGGGAGGAATATCAGTATGTGGTGCGACCAGACCAAGTAAGGCCATCCGACAATCTGAAACCAGAGGGAGAGTTCTACAGCCCTGAGAAACCGAAGTTCAAGCCAGGCGAAAGACCTTCTCAAGTTAGGCCAGAAGACAATCTCAAACCAGAAGGTGAGTTCTACACCCCGGAGAAGCCAGGATTCAGGCCTGCTGAGAGACCAGTTCAGAAGAAACCACAGGACAACCTTAAACCGGAAGGAGAATTTGTAAAGCCCGAGAAACAAGTCTATAAACCGGCGGAGAAAACTGAAAGAATTATTCAAAAGGATAATCTTCGCTCTGAAGGCGAAATGACGTTTGTTGAAAGGGAGGAATATCAGTATGTGGTGCGACCAGACCAAGTAAGGCCATCCGACAATCTGAAACCTGAGGGAGAGTTCTACAGCCCTGAGAAACCGAAGTTCAAACCAGGTGAAAGACCTTCTCAAGTTAGGCCAGAAGACAATCTCAAACCAGAAGGTGAGTTCTACACCCCGGAGAAGCCAGGATTCCGGCCTGCTGAGAGACCAGTTCAGAAGAAACCACAGGACAACCTTAAACCGGAAGGAGAATTTGTAAAGCCCGAGAAACAAGTCTATAAACCGGCGGAGAAAACTGAAAGAATTATTCAAAAGGATAATCTTCGCTCTGAAGGCGAAATGACGTTTGTTGAAAGGGAGGAATATCAGTATGTGGTGCGACCAGACCAAGTAAGGCCATCCGACAATCTGAAACCTGAGGGAGAGTTCTACAGCCCTGACAAACCGAAGTACAAGCCAGGTGAAAGACCTTCTCAAGTAAAGCCAGAAGACAATCTCAAACCAGAAGGTGAGTTCTATACTCCGGAGAAGCCAGGATTCAGGCCTGCTGAGAGACCAGTGCAGAAGAAGCCAGAAGACAATCTGAAACCCGAAGGAGAGTTCTACAGCCCTGAGAAACCGAAGTACAAGCCAGGTGAAAGACCTTCTCAAGTTAGGCCAGAAGACAATCTCAAACCAGAAGGTGAGTTCTACACCCCGGAGAAGCCTGGATTCAGGCCTGCTGAGAGACCAGTACAAAAGAAGCCAGAGGACAATTTGAAGCCTGAAGGAGACTTTTACAGTCCAGAAAAACAACCGTATAGGCCCGGGGAACGTCCATCCCAAGTACGACCTGATGATAATTTGAGACCAGAAGGAAATTTCTATGCTCCCGAAAAGCCAGGATATAAACCAGGAGAACGACCAATAGCGAAAAAGCCCGTTGATAATCTAAAGCCCGAAGGAGATTTTGTTAAACCAGAAAAAACAGTTTATAAACCAGCGGAAAAGTCCGAGAAAATAATTCAAAAGGACAACTTACGTACTGAAGGTGAAATGACATTTGTGGAGAAAAAAGAGTATCAGTATGTTATTCGACCTGAACAGGTGAAACCAACTGACAACCTGAAGCCTGAAGGGGAGTTCTACAGTCCCGAAAAATCAAAGTATCAACCAGCTGAGCGCGTTACCGTTGTAAGGCACAAGGATAACTTAAAAGTTGAAGGAGAGTTTTATGTCCAGGAAAAAGAAGACTTTAAGCCTGTCGAAAGGCCTAAACAGAAGAAGCCGCATGACAATTTAAAACCAGAGGGCGAGATGGTTATTCCAGAAAAGGTTCAATACAAGCCTGCCGACAGGGTGACAAGAGTTATTCATAAGGACAACCTACGCAGTGAGGGAGAAATGACATTTACTGAAAAATCAGAGTACCAGCATGTTGTAAGGCCCACTCCAGTAAAACCAGAAGATAACTTGAAAACCACTGGTAAGCTTTACGTACCTGAAAAGCCAACTATTAAAAATGGTGAACGCCCCGAGCCGGTTCGACCTAAAGACAATCTGAAACCTGAAGGCGTTATGTACACACCCAACAAACCGAAATATGAGCCTGCCTCCCGCCCAGAACAGAAGAAATATGCAGATAACTTGAAACCAGAGGGAAAAATGCACATCCCAGAGAAAGAAGGATTCCGTCCGGCAGATAGGGTAAAGACAGTTATTAGAAAAGACAATTTAAAAACCGAGGGAGAAATGACATTCACCCAGAAGGAGGAATACCATCATGTAAGACGGCCAGAACAAGTAAAGCCTAGCGATAACCTTAAAGTCGAAGGGGAATTCTATACACCCAATAAGACTGCCTTTAGGCCCGCTGAACGACCCATTCAAAAGAAACCTCAGGACAACCTTAAACCAGAAGGAGAATTCTATAAGAGGACCGACCGAAGCGAGACCGATAGCACGACAGTTACAGAAACAATAAAAAGGGAAACGCCGAAACGTCCCGTTGATAATTTGAAGCTAGAAGGCTCTATGACAGTAACCAGAAGGGATGATTATAAAAATACATCCAACAAAACCGTTGATAAAACGCAACGAACTCAAAAAATCAACCACAACAGTTCATCTATTACATTGGGAACTGATACTACAATCCGCAAAACAACAAACCAGATGAACTACGTATCCGGAAAGGACGCGGTTAAACAAGTCGATTCCAACAGTCAAAACCCAGTTGACGGTCTTATCGTTGTATCCACAACGAAGGTAACTACTGTAATAGGCGGGCGTCACAAGAAAGAGCCAGAAACCGAGTATGTCAAGAGGCCGGCAAAGATTAACGTTATAGAAAATGTTGCAAAGAATACAACAACGACAAATATCGAAAATACTCAAAACATTCACAAAGAAACCATGTCAATGCAAAGAAATCATAACTTAGTTCAAAATTCTGCATTGACTTCTGAAAGTATCGCTACTGAATCGAATCGTAGACAATTAACCGATAATGTCACTGGCGACACAAGCTCACGAACTGTGTCCGGTGGAACAGTCTCGAATACTGTGACTGGCGATTCTTCATCGAATCGTGTGGTTTCTGGTAGAAATGTTACCACTAACGTGACTGAGGATTCGACTTCTCGAGTAGTGACAGGAAGAAACGTCTCCAGCAACATAATTGGTGAATCAACAACCCGTACTGTTTCCGGAAGATCTGTCACCAATAACATTATTGGTGATACCACAAGTCGAGTACTGTCTGGTAGCTCAGTGGGTCACAACATCAGCGACGACACGACATCGAGAGTGGTATCAGGAGGTAGAAGTTCCACTAATAACGTTGTAATAGGAAACACATCCTCGCATATGACCACTTCGAAGCACTTCCATCATCGAAAGAGTGAGTTCTCATCAGAAGCCGATGTTTCGAATACGGTCTTCCATCGCAAGAACCTAACCAGTGATTCGAATGCGGCCAATGGTAGCCTGACTTCCAACGGAAAGATGCAGCGAAAGAGCATACTAAACCTGCACGAGCAGCCCTCCAGCACTACCACCCATGGCGGAGAGCGTCAAAGTTACAGCAGCATTCATCGCCAGAACCGAGAGTCTGATGCGAATACTACCTTTACGAGTGAGCGTCGAACCTGCAATGTGCACAAGGAGAACAGGGAGCACAACGTGAAGAATTCATCCTCCATGTCTCGTATAATTTCTGGTGGTGCCACGGGAACTGAACTGAACAGATCGAATGTCGAACGGTCAACGGTGACACGCACCCAAGTTTCGGGGGGTGGCATCGATTTTCCATCTCAATCTCACTCACACTCCGCAAGCCATGCGACCCGTCATCGAGGAAGTCAGCATGTGTCCAGCTTGGGCGGTGGCATCGATTTCCCCTCCTACAGCGCCCATGCTCACGGACACACCGAGCGTTTGGTTACCCGCCGTGGAAATCAGTCCTCAATTAGTCTGGGCAACGACAAGTTTACCGGCTCCAGTTTGTACAAGAGCGAATACATTACTGCCCCAAAAACGACGTGTGCTGTGCATAAGATTAAACAAGGTGCATTCCAACATACAAGGAGTACTCAAGACCACAAGTTCTTCAAGACCTCGAACTAACAGAGCCACCCTACGAGTATATACATATCTTTTGCCTTACTAATAAACATGTCCCATATTAATAATAATCTAAGCTTCCATGACAATATATGTTTTATACAATATACAAACCGATCCGAAAATGAAGATTAACAATAAAGATAATTTTTTGAAACGAAGAAGATTTTCTTATTTTGGCCAAAATGGGATTGTTTTTAGGATCAACTGGAGATGATGTCTTTATTGAAAGTTTAAAAGATGCTAGTGTCGTTTTAAGGGCTAGTATGTAAAGGTAACTGTATATTTAAACGTTAAAAAATCCACTTGACTATATATAAACAATGAGTTCTATCTATAACATACTCGCACATTTCGTTTTGTATTTGTATAATGGTGTACATTTGCAGTTTATTGTATTTCTCTGTTCAATTTGTCTATATCTTATAATGCATATTAACACAATAAATATTTCTCTTCTCATATTCGTACATACTTATGTATATATCTATATATTCATCGATTCTCTTAGCTTATGTATTGTATATATAATAAATCATTATTATTTTGGTTTGGAAGACATTTTTTCGCTTGTTTGGAAGACTTGCGTTTCGTTTCTTACAGACTAACATTATTGTTTTTAATTTCGTTTCGAGTGAATGGTATGTTTATCTGAATCTTTGACATTTTGGGCACAGCCAAATAATGACAAAGCATCTGGAAGACTTGCCATGCCCAAAAGTGCAAGGAATCATTAAATAAGAATCTCTAGATTTGATTTGATTTAGTTTACATTCAATTTAAAATGGAAGACCGATTTCAAATGCATTTATCAGGGCATTGCCCGAATCGTAGATACCAATAACGCCAAAGAGCACGCCGAGGGCAATGATGAGGTAGTCTTTGGCTATTTCCTTCTGATCTAGCAGGTGTCCCTTGATTTTGATGTGGAAATAACAAGGCCAGATAAAGCTAAGCATAGTGCCAGTGAAGCTGCCAATGAAACCCATCAGAATGGAGAAGTGGGGAATGAAGATGGCCATCAGAATAGTGGACACAATAACGCCGACGCGGAAGCCCAGGCCCCAGACCTTCAGTTCCCCGTCCAGATTCCAGATGGTTGGAAATTTGGTCTTTGGCGGACCTCGAAAGAAGTTGCGCTCGAGCAACTCACAGGCAGCGTAGTATGGCAACGGGTAGCTAAGGAGGGCCTTGATGACCAGGAAGAAGTTCACCATGCCCTTGAAGCCCTGCGAGTGCAGATTGTTGGTGATCACCTGCTGCGTGTCGTTCTGGAAGGTCAGAAAGCAGATGTACCCGAATCCGGCCTTAAACACTGCAGCCGCGATATGGGACCAGTCCAGCATCCAATTAAACTTGGAGCGGTCGATCATGTTGCCCTCGAGAGTGGGCAGAAAGATCTGCGAGGTGTACGAGAAGACAATCACACCCAGTGAGATGGGAAAGTTCTCCATGTCGATGCTGAAGCGGACCTTGGACCAGCCCCAATCGCCGATCTGCAGTAGGCAATAGCCCAGGATGACGGCGTTTATCACGATGTGCGACATTGTGCACCAGAAGGAGAGGGTGGAGACCATTTTCAGTGACTTCAGGAAGCCCATGGGCAGCAGGAAGATGCCCACGAAAAGCATCCAGGATCGCGAGTCAAACGAGCCCTGTGGATATGTGCCGGCCAATAGATCACCGCACACGACCACATAAAGGATGCAGGTCATCAGAAGCTCAATCAGCTGGGCAATGCTAACAGCCCGGGCGCCCAATTTGGGTCCGAAGCAAACCTTCGCGATGGCCACATAGCTGTCACGTACTCTCACCATTTGTCCCGTTGCCGGATCCGGTTCATATAGACACTGCACCAGCACCTTGCCCGTGTAGCAGCAGATGTGCGCTATGCCCACCATGGCCACGATGGCCCAATAGCCGCCATGGAGGACGGCGAAGGGCAGCGATACGATGAACATGCCCTGGATGGCATTTGTCACGTTCCAGGCCGCCTGGAACTCGTCGATTTTGCAGCCGCCGCCACCTTCTCCCTCGCAAACGAAGGAGCTTCCCTCCGAGGCGATGCTGCCTTGCCTATTAGAATCGGGAACTATAGATTATTACCTCGGAGATGGTATTGTTATGAACCTACCTAAAGCCATCCGTTTGCTGATACCTGCCGTCGTACTCATTGAAGGATGTGCTCTGGTACTCGCCTTCGCCTCCGCCCTCCTCGTTCGTCCAGCCTCCGGCATTCCGGAAGGGATTCGAGCTCATCTCGGTGGTCTGATCGCCGCCATCCATGCCAGGCTCCATGCCAGACTTGTGCTGGTTGTGCTGGTGACCCTGTTGGTGACCCTGTTGTGCGGTGCTACCCGGCGGTTGCTCGTAGTCCTTGCGCTCTGGAATTTGCTGTCGGGCCGTTTGCACGGCCACATTGAGTATGTTTCTCAGGGGCGGCAATGGCGTGGCTTTCAATTTGGCTATGAATGACATGTTGGATGCTGGATGCTATAAACGGCCCTGATGATGGTGGGATGGTGGCTTATGGCGGTGGTGGTGGGGGTGGTATCTGCCTGATGGCGGCGGCTGCGGTGGTGTCAAGAAGGCGTGCGAAGTGTATCGATTTTATTAGAATTTTCCTTAACAATTTCGGTGGCCTCCAGCTTCCGCAATGGTTCCAAAATTTCTCTACTGGATGATCACATAAAGACTTGACTAGAATCTAGAAAATAAAACTGAATTTTGTCTCAGATTTGGGATTGATTGATGGATTCGACTTCTTGGCGCCCTGGTGCGATTCATGCGTTTCTCGGATACTTGCACATCCTGCTCACTCGAATCTCAAAGCCCGGGGTCTTGAGAACTAGCCAAACTAGCTGAAACTGCCGAAACCAATGCGGAAATTAGTTGAAAAAGTCTTGTGAATTTTATGTAACGTGGGAAATCTGCGGCCGTGCGAATGAGAAAAGAAAATCTTTGCACTCCAACCTGATGGAACTGGCAGTGCGCAGAATCGGGTCGTGTATATATCGGGTGGCTGTGTCAGTGTCATATGGTCACGGTCCATTCGCGTTCCACCCCAAAGGAGCTGTCATTAGGCTGCGTTGCGTTCCACAGTGACATTGAAATCGATTATGCGTTTCGATTACTTAGGATATACTTTATTTCGTTTTGTTTTTTTTGTTCATCATATTTATAAAGTTCTAATAATTGTACAATTCAAAGAGTTCTAGGTTTAAGGTCTAGGGGTTTGGGGGTTCGGGAGGTTGGAAGAACGTTCTTAAGACTACCTAAACCACTCTCTAAACTCTAGTTACCAAAATTACAAATTTCCAATCAGAGTCAGTTGCTGTAGCAGGTCTTGCGCACTCCCGCCAGAATGTTGCTAATCTCATCGTCTTTGCGCTGCTGCTGCTCGAAGATCATCTCACCGACTCCAACTCCCACGCCAACTCCCACCATTCCGGGTCCTGGTCCAAAGTGGTGATGGTGCTGCTGCTGAAGGGCTGCCGGATTCGAGGTGACCGTCTGGTTGGGAGGTGCTGACAAGGAAGGCGGTGCCGAATGCGAGGCCTGCTGATGCTGCACTGGAGGAGCTTGATTTTGGGCCATTCCCTCGTAGCCCCCGTAGTTCCCATAGTGCAGGTAACCACTCTGCATGGGCTGTGCTCCGTAGGCACCGGCTGCTGCTCCTGTCTGCTGGAAGGGAACCGCCAGCTGCAGTGGAAAGGCGGCCAGCGAGGTGGGCGGATACGGAAGCTGGGTGTAGTAGCTGGCCGCCGTGGCCGGCAGCATGGCATTACTATAGGCCTCCGCCTCGTAGTCATCGTAGTTCTGATTCGTGTCCGGGTATTTAAGGCACTTCTGGGTCTCTGGAGTGGGTTGTTCCTTGTGCTCCACCGCCACCGAAGTTGAGTAATCCAAGTCGTTACTCTGATAGCGCAGGAAGTCCTCGTATTGCATTCCATACGCATTGGCGCTGGGCAGGGAATACTCATTGCCGGAGGACAACTCATTCATGCTGAGCCTCAGATTGCCGCAGTTATCCGCCATGGACACCGTGTAGCTGCTCATCTCGCTGGAGGGAATGGGTCCAGCTGAGCTGGAGGGTGTGCTCGTGGCCAAGTTACAATGCTGCTGCATAGCACTTAGGCTATTTCGCATGGAGGAGCTGGTGTCGTCCTCCGAAACGGATACGGGTGGATAGAAGGTGCCCTTGACGGAGTGTCCGTGGTCTAGTAACCCCCTATTGTTGCAGGTCACATACATTCCCCGAGCCGCCACCACGGCCACTGATGTGGGTGCCAGCGGATAGGAGGCGGCATATAAACTCTGCTGTCCCTGCGACTGACCCTTGCCCTTCTCCTCCGACTTGGAGAGCTTCTCCTGTCGCGACTTGGCCGCTCGACTAGGCGACGGCTTTGTTAGCTTCTTGAGCAGTAACGAGCTGTCGTAGCCTCCTCCTCCTCCTCCTCCGCCCGTGGGCGTTGACTCACCAAGCAGGGCGGGCGGACAGTTGGAGGCCAGGGATTCTATCTGCTCTGTGCTATCCGCATTACTATAACAATCCACCGAACTGGGTGAATATGTGGGCTTCAGGGGTTGCTCGTAGAGGCCACCGGGATTCTGGTTCGTGGAGTTGCAGGTGCTTTCGTCGGTGGGCGTTGTGTAGCTGGAGGATGCGGTGGCTAGCGGCGGCGTGGCCAGCTTTGGATTCGATTTGGTTCCACCAGTGCCCGGATTGGGTGAGCTCTCGCTCTGCTCCTTGGCTCCGCCCGGCTGCATCGCCCGCAGCTTGGACTGCTTGCGCCGCCGCGGTCTGTACTTGTAGTTCGGATGCTCCGTCATGTGAATCACCCGCAGGCGCTCCGCCTCCTCCACGTAGGGCCTGCGATCCTGCGGCGTTAGCGAACGCCATTTTTTTCCTGTGGAGTAGATAGAGATATATCATACATATATAACTATGCTATAACGCCCTCTCAAGAAAGATTTTTAAATGTGTCTTATAAAACTTCCTCTTAAAAAACTTGTAAAGTGTATTTAAGTTTAATGAGAGTTCTTTAAAATTTTTTCGGAACCATGATATTTTAGTCAGTTATGAAGTTTTTTTTTTAAAAAGTCGTAAAAATTAAAAGTGCAAGGTTTAAACGTCAATTGGTAAAGTGTAAAGTGTATTTAAAAATGAGAGTTATTTACAATTTTTTCGGAACCATGATATTTTAATCAGTTTTGAGTTTTTTTTTGAAAAAAGACGTAAAAATTAAAAGTGCAAGGTTTAAACGTCAATTGGTTGGGAACCTTATTACGAAGTCATCGCGGTTTAGTAGGGTGTTATGAAACTGTTAAACAAATTAAGCTTGTGGTTTGTTTAATATTTATTTTCTTGTACAATTAAGAGAGCATTTTAAAATAATAAATCTCTAAAAGGTTTAATTTAAGTCTGCACTAAAAGATTTATTCAAATTTTCGTCCCATTTGTTATGATGTTTCAAAAACTTGATTTTCTTTAAAAGTAACCCTTTTTTAGGTCTGTTCTGTTTTTTACTAACAATAATACTAACTTAAATAAAGTGTATCGGTGGATATATTTGTAAATAAAGTGTAGTTAAAACTTTGATGTAGCTACTCTTTTCATTTCTAAGCCTAAAACCTACTTTTATTTTAGTAAAGGAATGTGCAAATTTCCAAAATATAAGTTGAAGGACTAAATAAAAATTGAATGAACAATTTAAAATGTTAATACTAGATTCTAAGATTGTAGACAATATAGACATATTTAGACATATGTAAATACTAGTTTCTAATAGTGTCAGGGATCGCACGTAAGAATTCCTTTTTTAAATTTCAATTTCAATTTTTATTATAAAAGTTGACAAATAACTCTTATGCTTCAATTTTGTTGATTTATATAATAACAAGAAAGGAAGCTAGCTTCGGCAAGCCGAAGCTTATATACCCTTGCAGATCATTCTATTAATCTACAAATCGCAAAAATGTTAAATTTCTTATTATTTCACATTAATTTTTCGATCGCTTCTATCACAGCTATATGATATAGTAGTTCGATCTTTTTAAAATTAAAATCGAAATTCGGAAATATTTCAAAATAGTCATATCCCAGAGTAGAAGAAACTGTAATAAAAACCAACAAAGATATAATTTTTTTCCCATTAATTTCCATTTAATTTTTCGACCGTTCCTATGGCAGCTATATGATATAGTGATCCGATTTAAAAAACAAAAAAACCGAAATTCAGAAATATATAAAAAAAAATGTTCCCAAGAGTAGAAGGTAAAATTTCAAAAAACACCGGAGCTAGAATTTTTTTACGTTTTTTTTTTTTGATCCTTCCTATGGGAGCTATAAGATATAGTTGTCCGATCCGTTTGGTTCCGACATATATACTACCTGCAATAGAAATACGACTTTAACGAAAGTTTCATCCCGATAGCTTTAAAACTGAGAGACTAGTTTGCGTAGAAACGGACGGACAGACGGACAGACGGACAGACGGACGGACAGACGGACATGGCTAGATCGACTCGTCTAGTGATGCTGATCAAGAATATATATACTTTATGGGGTCGGAAACGTCTCCTTCACTGCGTTGCAAACTTCTGACTGAAATCATAATACCCTCTGCAAGGGTATAAAAATTGAAGCATAAGAGTTATTTGTCAACTTTTATAATAAAATAAAGATTGAATTGAAATAACTCTCGAACTGTGGGGTACATTGGTTTAAAATTTATATATGTATAATCTACGCTTTAATACCTTTCTGTTGATATGCCATATGTCCCCAACATATTTTTTATAATAATAATATTTTTTACATCATCAAAAATATTTTGGGGACATATGGCATATCAACAGAAAGGTATTAAAGCGTAGATTATACATATATAAATTTTAAGCCAATGTACCCCACAGTTCAAGAGTTATTTCAATTCAATTTTTATTATAAAAGTTGACAAATATTTGTTGATTTTTATAATAAAAATTGAAGCATAAGAGTTATTTGTCAACTTTTATAATAAAAATTGAAAAATATGACTTATTTGTCAATTTTTTTAAAAAAGTAATTCTTACTTGCGATCCCTGAATATTGTAGACAATTTCAAAGCAAAATATATAAAAAGAATAACGATGGTGCTTACCTAACATCTTGCTGAGGTCCGCGTTATGCAGGTCGGGATTCTCGTCGGCCAGCTTCTTGCGCTCGATCTTGGCCCAGACCATGAAGGCGTTCATCGGCCGCCGGATGCGCGATTCTTTGGCACTTTTTGACTGGGTCCCGCCGGGTCGGTACTTGAGGTCGGCGGGCAGCGGCTTGTGCCGCTCCAGATAGCCACAATTGGGGGCGCACAGCTCGCCCTTGTAGTCGTAGCTCCACATGGACGCCGGTTCGATGGGTGAGTGCGATGTGCAGTCCTCCATGGACGCGGATCCTCCTCCCGCCATCCCTGCCATCCCGGGATGCGACAGAAACTTGTTAAGTACCGAGTTGCCGCCACCACCCAGCAGCGGAATGTTGCTGCTGATCAGCGATCCGGACGCAGTGCCTCCGCCTCCCACATAGGCACTGGACACCATCGGCATGGGCGAGTGGCTGTGGGCCGCCAAAACAGCCTCGTTGAGGTGCTCGTTCTCGTACCCGGAACTCTGTATGGCTGGCGAGTGCAGACTGGGCGAGGAGTGCTCGCTTCCCTGGCGCACATGGTAGATCCCCGCATCGCTGTTGCTCTCGTGCATCAGACGACCGTCCGTCAGGTAGCCGCCGTGCTCCGGATAATCGCTGCCCGTGGAGTGACTGTACTCCGGTGTCCGCGAGACGTGCGGATACTTCTTTGAACTGGAAGAAGGCAAAAAAATAAGATATGGATAAGAAATTGGTAGAAGATGGCCATCATCTTTCAAAAAGATAAAATTAATGATCATCAAACCCGTTGCATTGGTATTCTTGCAAAAGTATGTAACAGGTATAAGAACGCGTTTCCGTTCTTTATCAGGATCACTAACGCCTACACTCGCCTTAAACGATTTTAAAATATGGTTGGCACAACATTTTTAAAGATTTCGGAAAATTTTAAATACAATTTTTTTGTGTTTATTATTTCTAATTTACATGTAAAAGAACATTTTCAAATCGGACCATTCATTTAAAAGTTATAAAAACTAATGGAATTTAACCAGTACACTGTCTTTACCTGAGTAACGGGTATCTGATAGTCGAGATACTCAAATATAACGTTCTCGCTTGTTTTTAATTGGAATATTATTATTGGAATAATTTAAATAATGAAGTAAGGAGTAATCATTGTATTAACTTAAACCTAAAGCCACCTAAAACGTAGCTTCCAAATGTATTCCCTATTGTGCCGAATAAATACACAATCAAAACCAAATCGAACCTTTATTCATATCAATACTCCTTTAAATAAAATATCTTTAATCTAATTAAACTTGGAAGCTAGCATCCTTCGTAAGTATCACCTCTCTAATATAAATAAAATAAAAGAAATTATTTCGATTGTAATCCACAGTGTACAAATTAGTCGATATTCAAATAATTACCCAGAAATAATCTGATTGCTAAAAATGTGGCTTAACCCATAAACGTCTCACCTAATTCGTGTTTGTACATACAGTTCGCTTTGAACCTTAATCAGTTAATGGCTTTAACAGTATAGATATCTGAAAATAGAGCACACACAATCTAAAAAGCCCCAATCAAGATGGAGTTATCCCTCAATTCGGGTTATCCCCGCCTCGTATCACATTCATGATCGTTGTTAATCCCTGTCTCCCGAGAGGCTACCGCTGGAAATTACGTACCGTCGGCGAAAAATGTCCGCCGCAGTGTTCTTTATAATGATATTTAAAAGGGCTGCTAAATACGTTGACAATTTTCGCGTCGCTGGCACGCACAAAGGCAGGGGTCCTAAGAGGAGGAGGAGGAGAGCGGCTTTGCATTTATCACAGACACCAGAGAGACACAAACTGGAACTCGAGATCGGAACAGAACGGAACGAAGCGGATCGGTGGTTCTGGGTTCCTGGGTTCCTGGGTTCCTGGGCTCGGGCTCCCTGCATCGGTGCGCTCCTTAATGTCAGCGGACATAAATGTAAATTGGGCGCGTGCAGCTATTGTATTATCAAAGGAGGCCGCTTCGACTTCAACAAGCCACCGTCGCGGAGTAAGCAAAGAAGCTGGAGCAGAAGCTGGTACCCAGACTCAGACTCAGATTCAGAGGAGCAACTCGAAGCTCGACTTTCGAGCAGACCGGGAATGAGAATGAGAATGAGGCTGGCCGCAGTCTGGCTGCCTTGGACCGGACCTTTATGCATAACTTTTAAACTTGCGACATATCGACACATTTCAAAGTAATTCGCCTTCCAAGAATTCAGCAGCAGCAGCATGGAGAGCAGAACCGAACGACAAGTTTAAATAATGCCAAAGCTCCCGAGATCCCGATCCCAATCCCGACTTGCGACTTTCGATCCTTTGGGGTTTCGAGCCATGCCGCTCAGTATGCGTGCTCCCTCGATCTCCTCGATTTGTTACCGTTTGAATTTATTGCTGCCCACTACACTTTTGGTCTATTGTGTGCCGCTGCTGACTTCTGGCTTCTACAGTCTTTAGTCTACAGTCTTTAGCCTCTTTTGCCTGCCTAACAGAACCAGAACCACTGGGCCTAATTGTTTGGATCTTGGAACTGGGCTGCTTAGCTCTAATTCTTCTGGCCTTTGTAGACACTCCGAGTCTTTAGTCTTTCGCTTTAGACCCCAGTAACTAAGGTAAAGAGCTAGTCGCTCTAGTTTCGGCGACTTTCTTCCTTGACAATGCCGCCAAAGTTGCAAATTTCGGTTGTGGCCCAAACCCAAGCTCCTTAGCCCATCTGAAGTCTCGATAATTTATTGAGGGTTCTCGGTGACGTCGTTACGTTTTTGATATTCGGTTGCGGCTGCCGCTGCCGCTAAATACTTGGATACTTGGCCGAAAAGGGGTACACAAAATTATACCGTCCTTCTGTACCTTCTGTCCACAAAGTCCGTCCACTCGACCGCTGTCTTAACTGTCGGCTGTCTGGTCGCTGGTCGGTCTGGCTTTATCCTAAGCCCGCTCACGATCCACGAAGCTCCGCTCGGCTTAGCCAGCTTCAGATCTCAGTTTCTGTGGCTCTTTCTGTTTCTGGCTTAGCCATGGCCCTGATTTTAAAATAGGACACATACAGTGGCCGGTAAGTTGGCATTTTTATGCGCGCAAAATGTCAACATCTTTGCAAAATGCCACATATTCCACATTGCGGCCAGGTCCTCTTACCTTTCAGGTCCCCCTGTCCGAGTACTCGATGTCCGCCGCCGAGTTGGGGACCCATGGAACGTTTTGTTTACGACAACATCGACTTCTCTGGTGGCTGTGGCTGCCACAGAGTCCCGGTAAAAGTGGAAAGGGGTCTGGAAGCTGCCACAAAAGTAGGCAACTCCTCCCTTTTAACAAGCCTCTGACTCTGGCTTCATTCAGGAGCCGCCAGCCCGGCAAAACTCCCAACCGAAGAAGAAGCCGCATTGATCTGGAGAGTGTCAGGCGCTTTAGCATATTGTGATTCATGTGACGCTCTGCCGCGCTGCTCAAGACAGCCTTTTAAGTTGCAGAATTGTCCCGGCTTCGTCTGATTCTACCTTTTCCCTTCTCCCTAAAAATCAGATGCATTCATATATGGGGGGACAATTGTCACAGGAGTTGGTAATAAAGAGGAGTTCTCTTTTCTTCCATATTCCTGGCTAATTTTAGAAAGCGTTTCGGGGGCCGCATAACTTTAAGCTGACATAGCGACATTCCAGCAAATAGGACAGTAATTAAGACAGATCCACCGCTACGGTGAGCTGTCAATACCTTTGTCTATTCACTAGTTTGTGAATCCCCTATCCAGGGGATCCTCTGGTTTGCAGACAGGTATGTGACAACAATTGGGCAGATTTGTCTCGGCTTCCAAACAATCACCGGGGGATCGGAGTGAAGAACAATGGCATTCTATTATTCGCGAGATTTGTTAGACTTTTATTTTTCGGATTTCATAGACCGATTTAGACAGTGATATGGAAATCAGTGCACTATTTTAGTAAAGCGATGATTACTTGTCAGAAAGTAAGTTGTGACTTTACCCCCAGAACTTTATTTGACTTTGGGAGCTTTGTAATTGCTTATCTTTAACCTTCAAAGATTTTGGGAGTTATAATGTTTATATATTAATTGGTATATTTATAAAGCGTTGGTAAAATGTTGTAGAACTTTCTCTAATATAAAAAGGGGGATCTAGTTTGTTATTGAACTTTTTCTAATATAAAATCAGGGATCTAGTTTGCTATGGACCTTTCTCTATTAAAATATCAGGGATCTACACCCAAAAAAAATCTATATAAAACGTAGATCGATTATATATTATTTAAGATCAATTTTAATTTGATAGGCGGCAAGGTAAATTTTACCTGGTCGAAAAGAGTATTTCATGTAAAAACGATATAAGTTTTAGCATGACCTGAAATTTACATGGTCATATCGATTTAAACTTTAAAACTATTAAACTTAAATTTTATAAGTGAAGCATTAACATTTCATTATATATTCCCCGTAAGAATCTGTATAATTTTCTTATGCTACACTGTTCCAATTAAGTTAAGCCCCATTAGTAGCCCTCATATACATTTTAGAAAGCTTCTGCCCAGCAACATGCTAATTAACAACCTTGATGTATAATTTATTTAGATCCGATTGTGAACACAGCTCACTATTGCTATTTAGAACTAATCAGCGCTCGATTGCAGTGATCTGCCCACCAAAGAGAAGCATTTCTAGAATGGCAAATCATTTGGCGCCTCATCTGCGATCGCATTGGGCCAGTTTTTTGCTCGGCATCTGTGGATGTAAGCGGTGCGGCAAGGTAATAAAAGCCATTTTGGTTTTCGGCCACAGATGGCGAGGATGATGATGAGGAGGAGGAGGAGGATGGAGGTGGGTGTGGCCAGCGCCTGGAAAAAGAGGCATCTGCCGCGGCTCTCCATTTGCTCCATTTGCAGTCTATTGGCTGCCTGCTGTGGCTGCAGGCGCCCCAACCCGAATACAAAACAGATTTGCAGCAGGCCAGGAAAACGAGTTTGGCCCAAACGACTTGGCACGACCTGGGCCCAGTTCCAGTTGGAGGTAGAGACGAGGGATGGGATATGAAGGGGCACAGGTAAGCTTGTGGAGCTGCGGCCCAGGTGTGATGTACTTGAATAACTTAACGACGCAGGCCCGGTCTCAGAGACCCGCGATGAGTATGAGTTGTCGGCCGATCGGATCGGCCATTTACGCATACATATGCATGGCCGCCTATATAAACATACAGATATATATATAGGTATAGCCACATGTAGATGCTGTTGACCAATAAGCATAAACAGCCCAGCATCCGGGGCCCAAAGAGCCGCCATCTTAGCTTTAATGAACATGAACATGAAGGTGAGCTAAGGTGAGCTACCTGCTCCGCTGCGAATGAGAATGAGAACGAGATCGGTACGCACAATGGATTGGTATGGCTACAGGTATGGGTATACCATATACCTATAGTATATACTGAATCTGGGCATACATAATTAAACTAATGAAGCAAGCGAAGAGCGAGGCATCATCATCACCATCCATCTTCGAGGGCCGAGCGTTGCCGAAGTCGTCGGTTTCGTTCGGCTAATGAGGTTTATTGCGGCTGTCGTCGCTGGGATCCCCTGGATCTCCCCCTTCTTGGTAAACCCCACTTTTATCCGCCGAAGAAACAACGAAGACCCAGTTCTCACACAAGCGATTTTAAGAGCATAAAAAAGATACAAAAATTTAATGGATTTTAGCACGCACACCAGCACAGATACAGATACAGATACACCCTCACAGGTTGACGGGGTACTAAATTATATGGATTGCATGGAAATGGAAATGGAGGCAGTGCTACATGCTCGTACCAGTAAGTAGAGTAATTGCATGTGGAGGATCTGTACTTAGCTAGTTGGTGGAATCGAAAATAACTAGCCGGGAACCGGACCAGTGCTGCCATTTTGTCCTTTTTCCGGACAGATCTGTCCTTTTTTTAACGGCTTTATCCGGAAAAAATTTCAAACATCCCCTATCCGGAAATCTGTCCTTTTTTCAAAAATAAGGTTTTGAGTGTTATTTTTGCTAGTCGAAAGTGTATAAACCTGTTTTTATATGCTAAAATGCCTTTCTAACCATCATTTTTATAGTTCGGCTCTTAAAAAATAATTTTTTTTACAAATTATTAAAGAGACGTAAAGCAGTCGATGGATTTTCTTTATGGTACGATTTTTTCTGTAGCAAAAAAAAGAGGAAAACACTTTACAAATTTCTCAATTTTTACTCTCTGCTTTTTTGTCAGAAAAAAATTTCAACGACTCTTATTCGGGTTTGACGCAGATTAAATTTTTTTGTATTACCAATATAGTTACTTGAAATGCTTTTATTATTTTAATAATTTTAGATTATTACGTATACGCACAAAAATTTACCATGGTAAAATGATCAAACAAAGAAGGTTGTGAGTCGGGAGCAGTAGATCATTACATAATTGAATTTTATTTAAAATCCATTTATACTAAGTAAATATATAACCCATTGGTAAAAACAGAAAAATGGAGGCGCATTTACTTTTGTCCTTTTTTTTGTCCTTTTTTTAAATTTTTTGTCCTTTTTTTCCCTGTTTTTTGTGGCTTATCTGTCCTGTTTTTCAAGCTAAGCGATGGCAGCACTGAACCGGACTTCTAATCAGGGTGGTTACAGGGTTCCGAACTCCTGACTGCATTTCTGATTTTTGTTAGGGGTAAATTGGTCTCACAGTGTAGAGTACTTTACAAGTACTTAAGGGTGTAATTGGACAAATTAAAAGTAATTACCCAGAAAAAGTACAAGTAGCTTATGTAAAATATCTTAGTTTTTTAAGGCATGTCAGGGGTTGTTTACCACAGAAACACAGTTGGATATAAACTATCACAACATCTGAGTGGTTTTCATTCTGAAAAAGATAGTTGTTATGATTTAATGTAACAAGCAACAGGAAATATGTATGTCCAAGAATATTATTACTCTTTCAAAAAAAAATCGGAATCCAAATATTCCCTCAAAAGAGTAGCACATTACACAGACTAAAATATTAAATCTAATTTGCCTTTTATCTACACACAATCTGAAGTGGCACAGAAATCTCTTTGCTTTAAGAACTATAACGGATTTTGATTGGAAAAGTTTTCTGATACACCCCCGATAATGTCTTTGTAAGTTGGAAATTTAAACATTTTATTTTATAGATAACTTATAAATTATTTTAAACATTGCTGTACAAAGTACAAGATTAGTGCGAGTATTTGAAAATGATTTTTTAAATAAACTTTTTTGTGTAGCTTAGTGTTAGGACTCGTTTATTCTACTTTCTATATTAACAAGAATGCGAAAGTTTAACCATTGATATTCTACTCTTACAAACCAAAATGACCAAAAACTTTGAAAAAATGAGCTTAACTAAAGGAAGGTTGACGAATTACATTATAACATAATTTGATTTTTATAAAATCAGTCAGATCACTTCTGAACTATTTAAAAGATCATGTTTCGAACTAATTAAGATGTCCAAATAACAAAGAAATTATATTATTTGAAATGGATCGTTAACATGATTGTTATAGAGTCTATAATATAGACTAAAGCTTAAATAAGGATTTTTCTACACAATGCCAATCGCTATTGTAGTTGTTACAATACGAAATGTTCAAAATATCAGTTTCCCTTAAAATGGGAATATTAAATAATGAAAATGGGAACTGTTTTTGGGAAGTGAAGTTTTGATTTTTTTTATTTTTTATACTCTCAGGTCAAAGTAGGCCTTTTTCTTTAAAAATAGAATGCACGCTATTTTAGTTTTTCTTGTTATAGCCTCAGATTCATCACTACAATTAACCAATTAACCTGTCGACACACGATTTATAAACATTTAAAAAGATTTATCTCTCGCTTCTAAGAAGTTACAGCCGTCGGACTCTCCTTCTACGTCAATGAAAAGCTTTAGTTCCTGTTTGGAGAAAGGGAAAGTCCAGAAAATATCATGTGTATGTTTTATAATCGAGGGGAATACGTCACTAACTGTGTATATTGAGTATCCAGGAACCACGGCCAATTATTAAACAATTTTAATAGGAAATAGGAAGGCACCATCGCCCATTTAATCGTTAAAGATTTCCTACCCAGCTTAGTCACAGTGAAATCTTAATTAATTGCCAAACTTGATTGGAAATCCACATATACAGATGGTTATTTATTGGTCATTGAATTTTATATTTATGTGGAAAACTATTTAGATTGGAAACGAAGTTAGCAAAGTTTAGGTAGATCGAGGCCTTGACTTGATTTATGGGGGAGCCATAAAAGATCAAACTGAATGAAATGGCATCAAATCGAGTTGATTTGTGTCCCTGTCACGTGCTGAGCCAATCCCAAATAGCAGGAAGATTTGAAAAATGTGACGAAAAATGCGACAAGCTTTCGCCCATGAGATCTTTGGGTATTTCGGGTTTCAAGTTTCGTACGAAAAGTGTGCTTAGTATTTCGTACTATCAGAGCTTTTCATCTGTACTTAATTTAATTTCATGGCTTCATTTCCATTCATAATTTCAGCCAATTTGTAGACGGGAATTTCCCGTCGGAAACAACGAAAGTCACTCAGCTAAATGGGCAATAACAGTATATGGGGGATGTACTATATATACGGATATTAAAACCTCATGCGTATCTATCAAGCTGCGTAGATCGGAGCCAAATCTTTTCAATGGTCAAAGCCGCATGACCTCTGGCCGAAATATACAGAAATTAAAACCTCTTTCTTCTATGTCTTCTATGCGTTCTTGCCCTCCGCCGTTTTTCCCAGGGTCTCCACCCCCCATCTTCTCCGGAGTCTTGGTTTACTTTCCACTTGACCAATTTCGAACCGCGTCCGAAGACGGTTCTTAAGTTATTCGCAGCCGACCATTTACATATTTACGTTTTACGAAGAGGAGAACTCACACAGTGAAGCGAGAAGCGGATACGAATACAAGTGCAAGTGCTGCGGGGTCTGAAAACTGGGGCCACACCAAGGAAAATCTAAGCAAATTCCCAGGTACTATATACTATAACCCCTATATATACCCGTTTTTTATGGTCGTAGCTCTGGCTGTATGCATTCGACATCCCCGACGGTGTTTCTCGCTGTCGTGCCCGCCGCCAGTATCTTAGTATCTGTATCTGTGACTGACTAAGTCTTAAAAAGTCCCAGTCATGTATCGTACATATATATATATATATACCTACGATCTAGAGAATTTCTTCACCACTACACGAGCGCCTTTCCATTTTTCATTATGGTTATTATCTTGAAGATATGTATCTTCGCTTCGGTTGGATATAATTAAACAGCGAGAAAAAAATTTTAGCATGGGAAAAATGTAAATATTACTTGTAATTTGTTAGCAGATGATGTGGATGTTCGTGATCATATGAGGGTTCCATTTTTATACGGCAACGGCGACGTTCGTGGTAACGGTGACGTTGATGTTGTTGTTGCTGTTGCTGATGTTGCTGTTGCAGTTGCAGTTGTTGCTGATGTTGCTGTTGCTAATGTTGACGTCGGTGGTGGCAGGTTGAAATTGCTGTTGTTGTTGCTGTTGTTGTTGGTTGGGACTTTGCATTTGCAGGGCCAGCAGCATTTTGCTTAATGTTGCATTATTCCGTTAGTTTTTTCCCTTTGTCGGTGGGTTGGTGGGTGGTTCGGTTGCTGCTAGATCTTCTACTACAGCTTTCGGTTGCCGGGCCGAGCATTTTGCCCAGTTACAGTTCCAACCATAAATTTATGTGCCACTGCATGTGTGAATTTGAGTCCATTTGTTGTCAGATTTTGTTTTGTTTGTGGCTCAGACCCTAACCCACATTTTGGCCACGATTTTGCAATCGCCTAATGATGTGGATACATATATATTTTATTCTCACTCGTCACTGGGGTTTTTTCCTCCCCGTTGCGTTTGTAACACTTAAAGATTGGCACTTTCAAAAACCGATTCGATTGGCACTGGGTTTTAACCGATTACTTAGTTTTTGCCGAAATATCTCTCAAAACCGTTTGAAAAAATCCGTCTTTAAAATCACTTTTCAAGCTCGACTAATGATCGTATCGGCTGCTGCCTAAAATCAAGGGCTTCGACATTTCACAAGCTACAAACAGCGGACGCTGTGACAGCAACAACACTCTTGGGAAAATGAAAATGCACGGCACAACAGCAACAACCACTAACTAACTAACTAACTGGGCCTATGTACAATACAGCGGGCCAGTCTGTATGTAGATATATTTATGATTACAACCGGGGAACGCAGATGGCGATGTCAATGGGAGAGCTGCTGCTACCACTAAAGTTTTTAAGTCGCATTCGAGTTTTAAAGTCAAAGTCGGAGCCGCATGAACCACGCTGATGACGAACCGCAGGCCAACTAAACTCGGCGACCGATCAACGCTCTCTCGAGCTCAGAGATTGCTGGAAACTGAGGTGTCTCTGCCTTCAGACCCGATACAATACTATACGATATGCGATGCATAAGGCCAAAAAGCGAAAAGCTAAAAGTCTTGGGCCAGAGCGGCCAGAGAGCGGCAGCAGCTGCTCAGCGAAGCGGAACGAGCAAGTGGCTCAGGTCCAAAACCCAGGTGACTGGGCTCATACCATACCATACCCCTTACCACACCCCTTACCATACTGCATACCCTATACCATACCGAACCCAGGGCAGCGGCAAGTTCTTTTGAATCTAATGAAACAAACCTTAGTTAATATTCATTCGTTCTCTCTCGCGATCTCATCCAAAGAGCCTCGGTCGCGGTCTCACTTTCAGAAATGGAAAACCTGTTCCCCGATCCATTTGTTGTGGGAGAGACGACTTTGCATTTGGTTTGTTTCAATTGGTGGAGGCCCCAATGTCGTTGGGGTCTCTACATAAATACATATATATGCACGCGTGTGTCTGTGTCTGTTATGCTGGCCACAAATACTTGGGAAGGGGAGTGAGAGAGATCTCACCCATACACACGGAAGCCAGGCAGCGTATGCAAATATCGTAATGTGCGGAACCTCTGGGAAAGGGTGTTATTTGGATCAAATGGGGCACAGTCTTTTTGGCGAGAGAGAGATTCGCAAAAGATTCGGAAATATTTAAATGGGCAATCTTAGCAAAAGGAAAGCAACGAAAGTCATTAATCAAAGGTTATGTGTAGGTGTTTAGAGAGGTTTTAGAAAGATTTGTAAACCTAAACTTTAAAAATTGTAAGCTTAATTAGTAATAGTTAGGAATTTAGTTAAGAACCAACAGCCTGGCTAGACTGCAGATTACAAAAGGGTTCAGGAAGTGTAGAAAACAATATATTATAATATCAATTCCGATATAAATTCAATATAATAACAATACAAGAGATCACTTTATAGAACATTTTTTTAAAGAATGTTGAACTTAATTTATATCAAATATTCCTAACTTTTCAGATCTCATTTTCCCCACTTTATCCCCATTAAAGCCTGCAACCTTGGTTCTTATATTCAAATAGAGCCATATTTAATTTTTATTTCACTCTCCACCCACCGAAGTTGGGGCCAAGCTGATTGGTATCCAGCTGGAGATAAGCAGCCAAATTGCATATTGCGCCAACTGCTGCCAGCGAACTGCACAGGCCAAGCCCAAAAAATCAGGGGATAAAAATCAAAAAAACCTCCCAGAAGACGACGAGTCAAGTACGTTGGCAGGTAAAAGTGCATGCGGCCACGCGCAGGGCATTTAATAATAATAAACTCGTACTTGGTTGGGGGGCCAAGCAAAAGCAAAATCAAAAGCCGGAGTTCATAATTAAGCGCCAGAATGCCGGGAAAACCTTCTTCGCTTCTTCTTGCCATAGATGCAAAATATTTGTTTATCACATCGCGATAATTGCCGCCGGCGAAGTGAAGACCAAGTCTTCTTCTCTTTTTTCTTCGCTGTCGTGGTCGTGGATTCGTGGATTTATGTGCAGAGGGGCCGAGCAGCGGGCAAAAGGTTTCAAACCTCGTAGCATCGGAGCATCGGTCAGACCAAAAGGAAAAGAAAAGCCCAAAATGAGGGGAGAATCGCAGCACAAGCGTATGCCGATCGAGGAGACTGAAGACGGAAGACTGAAGACTACACACTGAAGACTGAAAACTAAAACCTAAAAGACCAAAGACTAAAGACCGAGAACGGGACTGGGATTGGGATTGGGAGGGAGATTGGGGCGGGGTATACAGATTGCGAACGAGGATGAGGATCGGATCAAAGCGTGCCTCGGTGGTGGGTACAAGTTTATTGGCGTGGCGTATGTGCAAATAGCCGCTCCATCGACGATCGACTGCTCCAAAAATGTGGGCGTGTGACACTTGAGCGGCTATCGCCAGCGAATCTCTGCCTAAATGCGGCAAAAAAAAAGGAGAAAAACAAATTATTGATAAGCAGATCGGACCAAGGGGGGCACTGCGAGAAATAGCAGTCGAGTTTAGTGCAATTCAAACTCGTTTGGCCTTCGCATTGCTCCCATTTCTCGCAGTGCATCCGCCAGGTAGGAGGTGCAGTTTGCGACTCCTTATCGCTGATGAAGCCCGGCACACGTTGCTTTTGGTCCAGGTCCGGGCCTCATGCATTGATGGCTGTCTGTTTCCGAGGCTCTTGCCGCTTTGCCGCTTCGCCGTTCTGTTATGTAAGAAATGCCTGGCAAATGCAACTGCGGTAGGTACTGCAGAAAACTCCTGGCCCGCAGATCGCCGAGTTCGCAACGAGGGAGTGTTCCGACGTTGCACAATTTGGCTGCCAAATGAGTTGACAATGAAGTGATTATTGGATTATATAGTTTTCTGGGCGAAAACTACATCGAAACTTTAAAAAGGGAATAATATTACTTGAAATTTTGAATTTGAATTCACGCGGCTAATAGTGTTGGTAAACAGTAGCAGCTGTGCCCTTTGCAACACTTCAAGGGTTGCCAGATAGTTTCAAAAAACATAAATAAAAAATATGTATTCAAATATTTGGAAATTAATGATTTTTGCCACACAGAAGATAAATACCGAAGATTCTGGCTTGCTTTTTTATGATATAAATAATACTATAATTTTGGTAAGCCAAAGTTTGATGTATACTAAGGTATAATTACTGTGAAAAAATATTGCTTGCTTTTTTTATGATATAATTAATTCTACAATTATGGTAAGCCAAAGTTTTATGTAAACTAAGGCATAATTACTGTCAAAAAATATTTAAATAGTTTATCATAGCACAATTTATTTAGTTATCTTTAAACGTATCATACAACGTGAATTACAGTATTAAGTTTCAGGAAGTCTACACTCTTCTAAATGCATATTGAATCTTTCAATCAATTCCCGTAGCAATTAACGCTCTGATCTTGCTCTCCTGATATTACAAATAATGTCCAAGTCGGATAACACTACTGCAGTTTAAACAACCAAAAGCAATGCTCGCCAAAACAGGTAGTCGAAAAAATCACATTTGAAACATTAACAGATTTGTTTCTTTTTTTTTTTTGTTTATTTAGCTTTGTAAAACCCTAACTCTGCTTGTCTGGAAAAAGAATAGATGCGTGGTCATCTAAGATCTTGGGCGCTCCTTCTTCTCCTTGTAGAGGGCCAACAGGGAGACGTTGGCGACCTTGACAACCTTGAAGCGCACACCGGGAATATCACCGACGGCATGACCCTTACGACCGAAACCGGCGACCAGGACCTCGTCGTTCTCCTCAATGTAGTTCAAGCTACCGTCACGGGGCACGAAGGCGGTGATCTTCTTGCCGTTCTTGATCAGCTGCACCCTCACGCACTTGCGGATGGCAGAGTTGGGCTGTTTGGCCTCGACGCCGCTGTGGAGAGAAGAGGGAAAATAAATTAGTTTCAGATAAAACGGGAAAGGAATATAATTCAAATCCATCTTATAAACTTCTTGCTGCTGGCACGCTGGTCAGCTCACAGTATAATCCTGTGATTTGAGTTTCAGAACCAACAAAACACAAAAATATACTGCGAGGCGTCGAGACGTGGGATCGATGACTTCGGAAGCACTTCTGCAGTTAGGCATACTTACACCTTCTCAAGGACGATTCCCTTGGCGTGGGAAGCACCTCCGAAGGGATTGGCCTTCCATCTGGTGCCCAAATGAGCCTTCTTGTAGTCCTTGTCGGCCCAACGCTGGTCGCGACGGTGGTTCACATGCTTCCTGGCAGTGCGCAGACCTCTTGGCTTGCCTGTGGGAATCAAGGAGATGCATTAGTTAGCCGCCAATATTGGAACTGCAGTGCAACAACACAATGTAAACAAATGGCAGCTTATGCGGCTTCGGTTTTGAGGTTAGACAGAGGCGCAGGTTCGCAAATACTGGCAAATGCATTTTCCTCACAAATATCACTTGTGTTTCGTGGCCACAGCCCACTTGGCCGTGTGCAACAAGGTATTTGCCCGTTTCAGCCAGAGATTCATGCGATTTTGCCAGATTTCTGGGCAGCCGAAATCGCAAATCCCAGACTTGTTTGCATTTGCCAGTATTTCAGCACTTTCCGCTTAGATTCACTTACTCTTTTAGCCGCGCCGCATTGTAAGCTCCGTTTGTTCACTGTTTTGCAACGCTCTGCGTTTATTTTGCACGAAAACTACGCTTTTCAGCAACTCACCCATGATTTTCCAACTTTCTCGGCAAACGGCGGAAATAAAAAGAAGGCTGGCAGATAGCGATGAGAAAAATATACCAAAATATCAATACATCGATATTTTTTTTAGTAAAAATAAATATTTATATCGTGATATTTTTGTAACACGATATATCGAATATCGATAGGTTGTGATTACCATCGATATATCGCGTGATTCTTTTTAATTGTATTTTTATAAATTATTTTGGGTATTCCTTGAGTTGTTAAGTTGCTAAATACTCAGAAAAAAATCATGTTTTTTGCCATTAGTTCTTTTTTCTAATATTACAAAAAATAAATAATAATAATAATATTTGTCCAAAACAGGACAGATTAAACAATTTATTAAAATATGGAATGTCCGTTGAGTACACTAACTTCAATTCTGCAACGTAAAAAAATAATAATCGTATATGTTTTTAGAACTTTATTTTTTATTTTCAAAAAATTTGTTGTCGCTACGCTGCTGCTTGGTCACACTTTTTATGGACATGTCTATAATGTGACCGTCGTCTTAATTGGGAAGATACACCAAAGACGCAAACCAATTTAAGCTAAAGCCCTGGTTTTAATGTGTCAAGAAAGTAACTGGTTTTCAAAATTCTTGCAAAAATGTCCAAAGTAGCTCTTTTTAAAGGAAAGAATGGATGTTAGGCATTGTATTCATATCTATATTATTACCAAAAGCCAAACATAACGTAACTTAACTTAACCAAAGACCTGTCACCACTTGTTCCAAACAAGTTACTCTCTTTTGTGATAAGCACAACTCGAAAATATGAATCATACTGTTGTAATGATTGGGCGAAGTGGAGCAGCATCTGGTTTTTATTTAATTTAACATAAACTACAAATCAATAACAATGTAAATTGAAGGACGAACTGTTGTACATTTTTTGGGAATTGAACTCCATTGTGATAAGCAAAATTCGAAGATATGAATCATTCTTTTGGTATTTGCTTTGAGCAAAAGGGGAACTTGCTGGTTAATTTTATGAATTTTCAGCTGACCAATGCTGAGATGAAATTTCGTCAGTATAATTTTATAAAGCTAACTACATTTTGGAGAATTTCTGCCTTTCCTGATAAGCTAACTTCAAATATTTAAAGAATTGAGTAATTTTTTCTGGAGTTTCATTTTTTATTATTTAACATAAACTACGAATTTTCTGCTGACCAACGCTCACTTGAAATTTCATCACTGAAATTTCTAATCGAAACTGACATTGCACTGATAAGAGTGATGTTCTATGCATGCCATCAAACAGATGCTGCGTTAATTGTCTATAATTCTGGATTTTTATGAATTAGGAAGCATCTTACATAAGAGACTCGCTTTAAATATATTACACGTATGTTTTTATTGCACCCAAATGGCGAGCGAAGTACATATTTATGTCCGTCGTATTAAGGCGATTAGATTAGGCACTAAATCCGGCCAAGTTAGGTAAGATGTTGGCTGCCAACGCTGAAAGGAAGAATTTAATTTCTCTAATCTAATATATTTTTATGACGTGCCGCACAAGGCCATATAAATTTGGGCGCTTATCGCTGCACCAAGGGGTTTTTGGAGGGAGCCGAACGGCGGCTTATCAATCAAAACTCAAACTCAACGCGTGGTTCGTTCGCAGCCGATTGGTCGATGTGATAGAATAACTTAAAAACCCGGAATTGACCCAAAACGATATCGATACCGAGGTGTACTTGAATTAATTCATTAATAAAGCACCCAGAAAGGGACCAAAGTTCGAGAGTTCCCGCGGAAGATAAAATGCCACCGCAACCGGATAAACACCAGACTGATAAAAACGTAATCCTCCCCGAGGGTCTGCAAATCGGTTCACTGGCTTTAGCACTTGCTGAGTGTACTGAGTTCATGGCCCTTAAAATGAATTCAAGCCAGCGAATGACTTTCGTTTCTGCCTACTAATTACCCTGGTACTCCGGAGTTTCTATCTATTCGAGTGCTACGATTTCATAATTTCTGGAAACAATTTCGAAATGACCGGTTGTTGTTTGCATTTGGGCCATTAGTAAGCAGAAAGCCGGTAACCTGCTGATGGGCAAACAGAAGTCCCAAACTCCTGAGTGAATGAGGCCCATTCACATTTTTGAGTTTATCTCTTTGGTAGTGGAAAAAGCCAGGGGCCCACATACATTACTAAAAAATAGCACCGCAGCACGAGGGCAAACATAGACGAGTTATCCAACTCTCGATATATGTATTCTTCTGTATAGTTTCTTTCATTTTTCTCTGGAAAAAGTCGAGTCCCCTAAAAAGAAAGAGAACCAAAGCAAACACTCCCAAAAACCCAAAATCGAAACAGAAACGGAGGCAAAGTCAACACATTGCGTATACGACGGAGTGTTCTCAGCCATTTTGTGTGTAGGTGAGCAATGTGTGTGTGTATGTGCTGCTGAGATGCCGGCAACTCTCACTGCTTTTTCTCTCTCACCATCGCTATAAGGAGTTGGTTTTGCCCCGAACGATCATATCTGATTAGCTTGGATTAGATCCAGGCGATTCCATTCAGAACTCAGCCCGTGTAACCATTAAATGGAAACAACAACATAAATACACACGAGCAGCTCGTCACTCAGATACTCACGCACACCAGCAACATGTGTTGCTGCTGCTGCTTTGCTGCTTTCTGCTGCGCGGTTTATACTGCCAACACATTCTGATTTCCCTTAGTTATCTTTAGTCCGTCGCGTCGTTCGCATCGTACATGAGGCATTGCGATCAGGCGTCCTCAGCGGCAACCGCAACAGAGTGTTTCGAAAACGAATAGCTGGAAGAAATATAAAAAAAAACAACAGAACACTGAATAAAAAGTAAAGCAAATAACAAAAACGAAATGAAACGTATTCCCGAAACGCGAAGAAAGCAACAGCAACAGCAACATCGGCGCAGGAACGAGCAACTATAGCCGCGCATATGTACACATATGTATTCAGAGCTCTCTGCTCTCCGCACCATTCCTATACGATCCGATCCGATCCGTTCTGCCCCCGACTATATAAACATATGTACAATCAGATACTGATAAATATATGCTAGAAGTATTTTTAAGCGTGTTGTTTCGCTTCACGGCGATCCCGCTTCCTCGTTGCTTTTTCCGTTGCGTTGCCTTTGCCGTTGACTTTTAACTTTCGCTTTTACTGTGTCGGCGTTTACGCGTTCGATTGCTTTCGCTTTCTCACACACTCGAAAATTCTTTGCAGCGCGCCAAAAATAAAAGCAGAAAATAATCCCGAAATCCCAAAAAACAACTGCAACACGTCGCATCATCAACGCAGCGACGCCAGCAACATCGACAACGCGACACCGCGACACCGACACGGCCAACATTTAGATATATAGGTAAGCCAACTCCCAAAGAACCCAAAGTTCTCACTCCTCTTGACTTGGCTCAAAACGGGTTTTGGCCAAAAACACACGACCACGAAAGCAAACGCAACGCAAACGCAGCGCAACGCAGCGGGTTTGGAAAAATTAACCATGTTCCCTGGCCAAAAAGGGAAAAAAGCCAGGAATTGGGAACGGGGAATGGGAATGGGAATGGTCTAAAGCCGCCGGCCACTCATCGATACCAGGAAAAAAGGCGGCTCTCGAGTCGCAATTTGCAGCCGTCTTTGTTGCTTTGTTTTCCCCCCTGAACTTGAACAAAGAACGAAATCAGCTTACGTTAGATCGATACTAACTAAGCCTTTGTTGGTGCTACCAAGTATCAATCAGGTAAAACACAAGAAACGTGATCGAAAGTTATGTAGGAAGAATTACTAATTCAAAAATGATTGAAAAATATTTGAAATCTCTACTAAAAGTTTACATTCTCTTGGGAATCTCCTAATAAACTTTATCGATAGTATCTAAACCAGTTCTATTTATAAAAATGGATACAAAAATAAATATAATTAGCATTTGAAATGCATATCGTACAAGTTGTTGCAGAGTATCTAACTGAGTATCACTGTTCCCAAGTATCAATCAAGTACAACATAAGAAACGTGATAAAAAGTTATGTTGGAAGAATTACTATACTTAATATTCGATTCGGTTTAAGATTATAAGAACCAATTCTTAGAAAATATAGAGATTTTTCACACAATTATTTTGAATCTCCACCAAAAGTTTCCATTCTCTTACCGATCTCCTAATAAACTTTATCGATAGAATTTAAACCAGTTCTATTTATAAATATGGATATATAAATAAATAAAATATCCATTTAAAATGCATATAGTACAAGTTGTTGCAGAGTATCTAACTTAGTATCAAAGTATCTTTTTGCACCTGCTGCCTATGCAAATGCAGATACATTTTACCCACTCTTGCCATCATTATCCGCACATTAATTATGGCCAGGCAATTTGGCATGCAAATCGGGCGCTTGGTTAGCTTGGCTTTATCTGCGGTCCAAGTTGATCCATTCCGATCCGACACGCCTTTCGCCATTCGGTGAGTCAGAGTTTCAGATCGAACTTTTTGGCATTCGCCCAAGGCTCTCTTTCGAACTCTGCGCGTGGCTTTTGTTGCGTTTTATCTTACAACCGGTTGCCGGCAAAAAACAAACAAAACATGCCGCAAGCCAAGTGTTAATGGCAGATCCCACAGCTGTCGAGCAGATCTCAGATCTGAGAAATCCAAAAACCAAATCGAAATCGAAACTCCCCCCGATGAAACACAGTAACCAAAGTCACACATCCAAATCCACATCCATATTCATATCAATGGGCCGTGACGCGAGTTGGAAGCATTAGAACTGCAAGATGCCAATGACCCAATTTCCCCCACTCCACCATTAATTGCCCTGCTGCCTTGGCAATTAATCAATCTGAATCTGAAACTGAATCTGAGTCACTCACTCAGGCGGGCCAACTACTTTTCGATAATTTTTGGTTAATTAGGAGCTGGCTTACAAAAAAAATTAGAAATCTTAAATTCACATTAGCCAGCCGAGAAACATGTTTGCTGCATTCACAATGCCCACTAGTCATTGCCAAATAAACGGGGTTTTCTCAACATTGGTCTGAAGAATTCGCGCCGCTTGGGTTTCTCACTCTTCGCCATGGTCGAGTGCGCCTGCGTGTGGAAGTGCCGCCGTCTGCCAGATTGGAAATTCCACGCCCAGAATCGAGAATCGAGCAGCAAGAATAAAGAACCAAGAACCTCAAATCACGAGTCTCGAGAGCTGTGGAAATTTTCCCTTAACACGGATCGATAATCGGCCTGTAAATATTTACAGCAGATTAAGCCAATTTTAGACTGCAGTTGCAGTTTGTTTGTTTCCTTGATTTGCTTATCAGATCAGCGCTGAAAACAAAAACAGCAACAGCATTTTGGCGCCAATGTCGGGGTCGGATTGGTTCGCTTCGAAACGGATCGAAAAAAAATCGTGGAAATCGTATCAGTTTGCTTAGCAGCTCGATTCGGGGTCGAGTTGAGTTGAGTTGGATTGGGATGTGGAAATGTGGGGCTGCGTCATGAGACAATGACATCTGTAGATTCGGGAAATGACTGACGCAGCCACGTGCAGATAACCCAATAAATAAACATTTGAATAACCCATCTCAGCTAACTCAGAAATCACGACTGCTTTTGTCGTACTCTCGATTTTCAATTAGAAATAATTGCGCTACTTGCACTTATTTTCCATGATTTGAACATGTTAATTGATTATGAATCCATGCTCCACTTCCGACAAAATAAAAAGAGGACCCCGTTGACCATTGATCGCTCCACTAATTGTCGCCGCCTTTGTTCATGCCGATGATAGTGGTGGTCCCTCGACTCTGGTCAACACCAACTCGTTGGAAACCGAATCAGAAACAGAAACCGAAGAAAGAGCTGCTGATAGTGCCCCGCATGAGATTGCTAATTGTGTCAGACACTCGCCGACGAAAAGATACTTCCTTCAAAGTACAAACTCATATCGTGCTTTTTGGATAACTCGCTTAGTGGGCACCATGCGTAATATTCACTGGGTGAAAGGCCGAGCGTTGAACTTGAGGAGGTGACAGCTGCTGCTGCCCCCGGGTGTTTGCAATCCCATCCGGAATGGGGCCAACCTGAAGTGGCAACACGAGTTGCTAAAGAGTCGTGCGGAGTGTTAAGCCCCCTTCCCCCTCACGAGAAAGTCATCCGCGGAGATCCGATCTGATACGGTGACTAATTCTTTTCCGGATATATTTTTGGATATTTTTTGCTGTCTTTTTGGGGCGGGTTTTAACTAAACTACTCTTTTGACATATTCTGCAGCTGTTTCGTAAATTCCTTGAAATGTCAAAAAAATCTGTTCAGATTTAAAGTATATTTCACTATGTTGTAAAGATGTATCTTAAAAAGAGTCTCCATTAAAATTATATATTTTACCAAGTTAATAAAAACATTAGAAACAAAGAAATATACATTCTTTAGATATGATTTTATTTTTTTGCAAAATTCGAATCATAGAGTTGAGTAAAAATAAATATCAGTCATGTTTTCAAGCCAAGCAAGTGGGTGAATACAATTTATTAGTAGAGTTACCCAGAGAAATTTATTTTCGAACTCTCAATTCTTGGGAAAATCATCATACAGATAAATGGGGAATTGGTTCTTCTTTCCCCAAGTAAATACAATTAGGCTTTAAGATTTTTGACTCATTTGTTTTTAGTTACATTCATATTTCATAATAGACCTTGCATTTTTGGTAGAACTCATAGATCATCCCACAGTCGGTGTTCCCCGACCAATACATATTTCCTTCACCGCAGACTCGCCTTCTAGGGCTCTCGCTCCATTTTGGGGCCGGCTTAGCTAATTAATATTTTGAGCATAAAGTCGTTTAACGATTGCTTCACTTGTACCTACAAATTGCGGCGCTGAGAAACGGCTCTCGGAACCTGTCCAAAATACCCCGATACCATGAAACCCATACCCCCCAAACGATACCGGCGGATCGGACTATCTAAATGGGTCCGCACGCATGAAAAAAGGGGGAAGGGGGACTGGGGATTGGGGGCCCAGGGAAGGACGCCCGGACGAAGACCAAGAACCGGACGCCCACAGTTGCATGTTATAAATAACAGAGCCATGTACTACAAGCGACATATGTGTGCAATACTAGGAAAGGCGGTCGCAGATAAAGATACAAAATACTTGTAGATACATGTGCACGCTTAAGGAAAACATCTTGAGAAGTCGCCGTCTGCGTCTGCGTTTTTGTCTGGTCGGTTCGGGTGCTTCCCTTCTTTCCCCTCCCAAATGTTTCAGGCCATATGTGTTTACCTATAACATTTATTAATTCAATCGACGGGCATCAATTTAAGCGCTGTCAACGGTCACAATTGCCACTGACAACTGTTTGGCGAACTCCGCCCCCTTGTGCGCCTAAAAAATGAATGATGGATGGGGGCGGGATGTTTGCTCGCAGCGGGATTAGCTTACAAATGGGGGTAGGAAGGAGGTCTGTAGGATTCGGAGGCCACGGAGGCCCCAGGAGCCGCCGCCTTGTCACATTATCCGCCGCTTGTGGGGCCAAACCCATCGGGAAACAAACAAAACCGAGAGCATAAAAGTTAGATTTCCCCAGTTCAAAGATGGGATACTCTTACCCAATATGCACAGGAAGAGATTTTGGATTTAGGTATACGGAAGTGCACCTCATTTGAATTTCAAGATGGTATATTAACATACTCCTTAGTAAAAACCATTGAGCTCTAATGAAAACAGAATTATATTATATTATATTAAAAAATCTGAAACCCTTAAGGATATTTATAAAAAGTTTCTTGAATCTCTTACCTAATATTACAATACCCACAGGAAGAGATTTCGGATTTAGGTATACGGAAGTGCACCTCATTTGAATTTCAAGATGGTATATTATGGTATGGTATCATACTCCTTAGTAGAAACCATTGAGCTGTAATAAAAAAAGAATTATATTATATTATATTAAGAAATGTGAAAACCTTAAGGATATTTTTAAAAAGTTTCTTGAATATTTTACCCAATAGCCCAATATTCACAGAAGGAGTTTACGGATTTAAATAAACGGAAGTGCTCCTTATTTGAATTTCAAGATGGTATACTATCATACTCCTTAGTAAAAACCATTGAGTTCTAATAAAAAGAGAATCATATTATATTATATTAGAAAACCTGAAATACTTAAGATTATTTTTGAAAAGTTTCTTGAATCTTTTACCCAATAGCCCAATATCCACAGAAAGAGATTAGAATAGAAGAAGAATAATATCATATTCCTTGAGCTCTAATAAAAACAGAACTATATTATATTATATTAAGAAATCTGAAACCCTCAAGGATATTTGTCTAAAGTTCCTTCAATAGTTAATAGCCCCCAAAAGCAGATAAACAAGGCCCTTACTGGGTGCGTCCTGTAGCCAATTTGTAGCCCTAAGATGTCTTCGCTTTCGATATTGTGGTCACAATATGGGATCGGGGCAACAAGTAAATGCTGATGTCTATTTATACTTCTGCTGTTGTCTGCTGGCTGTTGCAAGTCAGTTACGCGGAGGCACTTGACGGGTTTCCTTCGATGGGTTGCCACTTCTCGGTGCTCGGTTCTTGATTCTCGATTCTGGATTCCCGATTCTGGGTTCTTGGTTCTCGGGCTACCGCCGACGTGGTCATTTGGGCATGAAAATGAAAACAAAATCTGAAATACGAGAGCCCGAGTCGAAAGGGGGGCGAGTATTATGTTATTGTGTTTGGATTGGCTCGATGAGGATGGCTGTCGTTGTCGCAACACTTTCGATTGCACAATAAACAGAGTCGCAGACCCTTGTACTATCGGCGCGCTTGGTCTTTATGGGATCCCATAAATTCGCATGGTCAATGATATAGCCGAAATTCGGCCATAAAGGAAATGAAATTATCAAAACTGGGCCCTGTCACGTGGTGGTGGAGGTTGGAGGTGCTTTACCCAGGTTGCTAGGTACGAACCGCCCTATCTGCTGGCCATAAGCCACTATATACTATCCGGTTAAGCCGTTGCCGGGCCACGAGAATCCGCCGTGATAAGGCTAAAAATCTGGCGAAATAATCAATTAATTTATGGAATGGCGGGAGCCCAGGAGCCAGGCGATTATCAGCCAGTTATCCGGGCTATATCACTGACTAATGATTAAATCTCTGCAAAGCCCTGCAATTTGATATGGTCTCAGATAACTAAGGCTGTCTGGGTTTGTTTGTCGACATCTTTGGAGATCAGTTTGGGCTTAGTTACAGAAGATTGCATCTCATCTCACGTTAGCAGTTTATTACCAGGTCCATGTAAGCATCCGCTCGAGTCATGAGTTCTCATGAGCCCCCCGGCAGATCAGATTAGATAAAGGCAACAAGTCTGGCGTCAAGGCCAAGAGTTTGTTAGCCGAAAGATGTGGACAAACAAGAAAAGCAAAAGCAAAAACACTCGTGTGCCTGGCATATTGAATATTCTCTAGAATGATATAAGAACCATTTCGGATACATAATTGCAAATTCCATTTGCTGTTTGTGCTTGGCCAAGACAATCGTTGACGCACTCCTGGTTTGACAATCCACCACCTGCCACCCCACCAGCACCACCCACCTCCACCCAACGATCACCACCCCCCTGTCAGTGCCATCTGCCGATTGACGTCGATGTGATAAACAGCGAAAAGCCTTTCACACCACGCACCTTTTTTTTTTCAGATATCCCACAGATACATATGTATAGCCGGGGGGAAAATATTAGTACTTCGGGGTCTTGAATTCTCCGAGGGATTATGAAATGATTTTAAATATATATTTGCTTAAACTGTTTATCTGATATAGCTGCGCAATACTAAAGTACTGTTTTTATTTATTATAGAATCGAAAGATAAATAAAGTAACTTTTGTATCTGATATTCTGATAATCCATTTTAAAGGTGACCTATTAACATTTAAATCACAGTTACACCAAATCATATTGTTTTATAATAGAACTTTAAATATAATTCAGTACATTACTTAAACCCACTTGATGTACCAAAATCAAACTATTATTTTACAGTTAGTTACTTAGTTTTAGTTAGCCATTTTATAAGTGAGCTAATAATATTTATATTACAGTTTTACCAAAGTATAGTTCTTTATAATAGAACTTTAAATATAATCTAATACTTTCCTTAAACCCCGTTGATCACCCCCAAAATCAACCCAATATTTTACAGTAACGTATATTTGGTATCTGATATTCTGAAAACCCATTTTAAGGTAACCTTTAACATATTTATCACAGTTTCACCAAAGTATAGTTCAAAGAATATTCAAATCTTCTTTTTAATATATCTTTAAAAGGAATAATACAAAATCGACCTATTATTTTTACCCCTAGTGTACGAGTACAGGTGAATGTTCAATTGTGCGGCTATCGGGGCACGTGACATTTAAAAATAGACTTATCCATGCAAAATAGAGGGTGGGTGGCCATGGGGGCGTATGCGCAATGTGAAGGCCACACGGTTTTGGGTAAACAGTTGCGTAACCGATCTCTTCTGCAAGTGCGTCTGTACTGATATCTCTCTCTAATCCTTCCAGGAAATGGCCACGCAACATACGAAGTCGCAGGACGAGCTGGCCTCCAATAACCTGGTGGTGTCCAAGCAGCCGGACAACATCAAGGAGGAGGATGAGGATGGGGAGATCGAGGAGGCGGCAGTGGTGGTTCCCCCTGACAGCGGTTGGGCCTGGGTGGTGATGGTGGCCTCCTTCCTCTGCTGCACGGTCATCGATGGCATTGTCTTCTGCTCGGCGCTCATCCAGGAGCAGCTGATGGCCGAGTTCGGGGTGAGCAAGGCCTATGTGTCGTTGGTATCGTCGCTCCTCAGTGGTTGCTACCTGATGGCCGGGCCCTTTGTGAGTGCTTTGGCCAATCGGTATGGATTCCGGCCGGTCACCATAACCGGAGCCATCTTCGCGGCCATCTGCTTCGGATTGTCCTACTATGCGACCAGTGTGGAGTATCTGTTTGTGATCTATGGCATCCTGGGAGGCATTGGCTTCTGCATGGTCTACATTCCGGCGGGTGAGTCCTGGCACAATGACCATTTTTTAATTTAATTTATTTATTAAATGCACACTTATAACTATAGCGCTAGTCACATTGAATTGATATTTTTAACTTATTATTATTTTTAAAATATTTAAACAATTTTCCTCACTTACTTAATTACTAACATCAAATATTTTGTTGTTTTCTTATTACTATTATATTATTTTTAATTTTTTTTTATAGTTATATAGTTTTTTATGCATTTATTATTATTAATTTTTTTAATTATTATTATTTAATTTTATTGTTATTATTATTTGAACTTATGTGAATTGTGATTTTAAATTATATTTAACTTAATTATAAAATTGAGTTGCGCTCCTAATTGTTTTGAATTGTGCATACCTAAATATAATTTCGCTTAATATTATAATATAATATATACATGCAAATGCTCATTAAATTAAATCATTAGGTTTAAACTCATAGTTTCAATACAAACTATAAATTAATTAATAAATTATGTCTTTTTAGTGGTCATCATTGGCTTCTACTTTGAGAAGTGGCGTGCTTTGGCCACCGGAGTGGCCATGTGCGGCTCCGGCGTGGGCACCTTTGTGTTCGCTCCTCTGACCAGGGAACTCTTGAAGCACGGCTGGCGCACCACGCTGGCCATCCAGGGAGTCATTGTCCTCTCGTGCGCCATCTTCGGCCTGACCTTCCGGCCCATTCAACCCATTACGCTGTCGGTGACCAATGAGGAGCAGGGCGATGAGCAGGAGAAGAGCAAGCTGAACGGGCATGGCAACACGGTGGCCCCCACTCCGCAGCTCCATCAGGCTGCCTTCACGAAGCCTTTGCCGGAGGGAAGATTCGCCTATTCCATGCCCAATTCCGCACATAACACTTATATGGGTGCCTCGCAGCGGAATCATTATCCCACCGCCCAGGAGATCTTCAAGGGCATGAATCTGGAGCGAAGGCCCTCGGGCACTGCCCAGGGTAGCAAGGGCACCGAGCTGAAGCAACTGAGGAAGTCACAGCCCACCACACCGAACGGAGATCCCCAGCAGCTGACCTTCAATCTGCACAAGGAACTCACGACCGTGGGTGAGAACGAGGAGGAGGCCGAGAACGATAACCTGTTGGAGACGGAGGCCAAACCGGTGACTATTCAGGCCAGAAGACACACGGTTTCCGGGCGCAGACCCCAGGATATTGGCAAGCGATCCGCCGCCGCCGCCCACGAGGCTCATCATGGCGCCCAGGCGCACTCCTCATCGCGTCCCATGTACCGAGATGATATCTTCTTCTCCGGATCTCTAACTAGGATCCCCCAGTACCAATCGCAGACCTCGCTGGCCTATCACATGTCCGTGACCCGTTTGCCCACCAAGCAGGACATGCTGGAGGATCGCCAGAAGGGTTGCCGCATCTGCCCGGAGGCAGTGCGTCGGACTTTGTCCACCATGCTGGACACCTCGCTGCTCAAGTCGCCCGCCTTCATGTGCCTGGCCTTCAGCGGCTTCCTCACCATGATGGGCTTCTTCGTGCCCTTCTCCTTCTTGGTCAGTCGCGCCACGGAGCATCAGGAAATGACCGAGGGTCAGGCTCTGGGCGTGCTCTCAGGGATTGGCGTGGTGAACACCATTGCTAGGATCGTCTGTGGATCGCTCAGCTCCTTCCCCTCTGTGAAGCCCTTGTGGCTGAATAACTTCGCCCTGACCGCCGGCGGCATCGCTACCATCTTCAGCGGCGTGGTCATCAGCGGAGCCACCCAATGGACCTTCGCCGTCTTCTTCGGCATCTGCATCGCCTGCTTCTCGGCCCTGCGATCCCTGATTGCCGTCGAGCTCATCGGCCTGGAGAAGCTGACGAACGCCTACGGATTCCTCATGTTGTTCCAGGGACTGGCTGCCACCGTCGGCAGTCCCATTGCAGGTGAGTTGTCTTCGGGAATGGGGAAATATTTACGTCATCCTAATAAGAAGTTGGGATAAGCTTTCTTTTTTTTTCTATGTTTTCCATTTTTAGTCGGGGTCACCAAACTCTGTAATTTTCACATTCTTCATTCCGTCAGTTTAATTCTACATGTGATATGATAAATTATTAAAAAGCAATGCATATGATGAATTTGAAGAGGCTATAGACAAAAGACCAAAAAGAAATGATATACACGGATGATCAAGTCTGTATTCCTTATTTCAAATGATTAGTATTTTTGAGTCTGGGTCACCAAACTCCGTCATCTTCAAACTCCACTCATGATATGAAAACAATAATAGGAACTGTCGTTTTGTTTTTTCTCCAATCCATAATATTTTTATGTCGGGGTCACCAAACTCCTTCATCTTTAAATTCTACTCATGATAAAAAACAAATAATAGAAACTGTCGTATTCTTTTTCTCCAATCCCTAATATTTGTATATCGGGGTCACCAAACTCCGTCATCTTTAAATTCTACTCATTATAGGTATGATTAATAGTAAATTATTGCACATACTAGGGATAATATGCCAATAGAGACTTGAGCTAACTATTTAAATACCCCACAGGTGTCCTCTACGACTCGACCGGCAGCTACAACGCTGCCTTCTACTTCGCCGGCGGCCTGATCCTGCTCTCGGCCTTCCTGTGCTACCCGCTCCCCTGGATCAGCAAATGGGAGCAGCGGCGCAACGAGAAGCTGACCCCCCTGCCGGCGGCCTAAGGAGCTGCCAAGATCGGAGGAGCGAAAGAAGACCTGCCGGACAGCCTGAACACCTTGTCATCGCAGCCACAACTATTTCCGATGGCACATTCGCTTTCGGCAACACCTAATTGCCAATCACTCATGTCGATGGAGCTCCCGATTCCGATTTCGGAGGGAAGCTAGTGGAGTGGAGTGCGGAAGCGTGTTCCGAGTACTTAATACGTTAAGATAAGACTAATCGTAATGTTGTGCCTTCAGCGATATCGAGTGCCTATCACCTTACCCCAAATCATCACACGCCTGATCGTCAGCCGAGTGGAGCGAGTGTAAATTATGTTTCTATAAGCTTTAGTGGAGGAGTGGAGGAGCCCCGAGGTGGAATAGAATTTAGGAGGATCGGAGGAGAACCGAACACATTATTAATATTATTATGATAGCCGTAAGCAGCTGAGCACATGGCTATGGCTGGGCCACAAGTCGACTGCCAAGTTAAGAATCGTTTGTTGAGTTATGTATTTAACATGATAGGGAACGAGCATTTGTTTACCTTGTAAGAGTTATGTTACTTGTTACATAGCTAGCTAGATATACGTTTATCAATCAATCAATTAAAGATCGAGCGGGGTTAATGCACCCAAACGCCGAACCCCATCGATGCATCGTGGGATTAGCCGATCGTGGACAAAACAAATAAACAATCAGCCACACGATGAGGCATCTGGTACAAGTGCTGTGCTCTTATGCAAACAGATTTACTATATATATATATATTACACGATACGAGTACAGAAACAACACACACGGACCGCTACATACTCAGCACGTTGAGTGCGTTTCGCGTTTGCGTTTATCAACTACAATTACATTAAAGCAGAGTGAATGATTTATATTACATTTAAATTAATGAGTTTACATTGCATTGCATGCGACATAAGGTTACACTTCATCAACAATAAAGACGATTTCAATAATACGAACTAACGATCTATTGGTTTATTACTTTCGGAGCACAAAGTAAGCTTAACTAGGGGGCTCAAGCGTGACTATGAACGAACATTTGAAATGTGGGCTTAAACTATCCAGTTATCAAGTAATCCAGTTAAATAAGTAACGCCTCGGGTGTTGTTGTGTCTTTGGTGTCATGGCACACTACTTTTCCTGATTCAGTGAATTGATGAACTCCTCCAGTTTCTCTTGGATCTGTCGCACTTTGACTGCGTTAAATTAAATTAAAGAGCAATTAAATGGGCGCCAAATTCAATTAACCACCGGCCAAAAACTCACTTAGTTCCTCGGCCAGCAGCACGCGCTTGCCGGTTAGCAGGTATGCCTTCTTCTCCTCGTCGTCGCTAAACTCGTCCAGCACCGCTTTGATCTCCTTGTCCAGTCGCCGCGCCTCGCGATTGATCACCTGCTGCCGCAGCGCGTTGCCCGTTATCTTGATCACCTGCTGGATGCGCCAGAAGAGCACGACGTCGCTGCAGGAGATCTGCAACAAAAGTCGTTGAATAAATTGGTTTAAATAAGGGAGAAATCATTGGGCTCACCTCACACTCGGCGCCCTGCTGCGTGTAAAGATAGTAGGCCTTGCGGCAATCCTTTGCCCTCTGCAATGCCTGCTGCAGGAAGTGTCTGAAAAAGGGAGCGATAGAGTTGTCACTGATAAGCCTAAAAGTGTTTGAGATGGGCAACTCACTTTCTGTAGACCGGGAACCACGTTTGCCTAATATAGTCTGTGTCCACATCCACGCTATCACGCTGCAGGTTCTTGCGCACCGTCGTCAGCTCGTCATGAGTCAGGGTGGGCAAATGTTTCTAGAAGAATAATTATAATCATCTTATCATAAAAGCCAAAATAAGCGCAATTAACTTTAGACATGATAGTTAAGTAAAGATTAAAATAAATGAGGGTTTAGGCTATACTACTATCTATAATTATTGGGAATCAATCTTTGAATAGTTCAATAGTTTTTTTTGCACCTGCACAGAAAAAAAAACCGATATGAAATAGGGTTATTTCTACCTTATTTCATATCAATATAAAGCCGGTATAATTCATGTCAAATTTAACATTCAAACATATCAACATGATATTTTATCATATCATAAAAAATACCAAATTTAGTATTTGATATGATATTCGATATGAAATAGGGTTGTTTCTACCTTATTTCATATCAATAAAAAGCCGGTATAATTCATGTCAAATTTAAGACTCAAATATATCAAAATGATATTTTATCATATCATAAAAATACCAAATGTAGTATTTTTGTGAGCAAGTAATATAAAAAAAAGATTAACATAATCTTTATTCATATCAAAATGATCTTGATCTTTAAAAAATATCAAATTGACCATTACCATTTTTTTTTTGGTAATAGAAAACCTTGAAAACCCACCGTATCGTTCTTGAGTATTTTGTCCAGTTCATTCTTGACGCTTCGCCTCTTCTGCTGATCCGTCGTCAGGTACTGCCAGTGGGTCAAGCGTCGCCATTGTCCCGGACCGAACATTTGTCCCAGCGTCTCCTCCGTCTGGACGAGCTTGGCATTGACCGAAGTCTCCAGGAACTTGACTGCCGAATCCCACTCCTGCTTATCGTGCACAAAGCGATCCTCCAGCGTGTTTAGCTGAATCACGCGCAGCATGTCGATGGCCTTGTCCTCCCAGCTGTGCCGGCGAATGGCCTCGTCCACCACGGCGGCCTTCAGCTGATCGAAGATGCCGTCATGATCCTGCGTCTTCTTCGAGCGCTCCATCAGCGAGATGAACTCCAGCTGAAGGGCCTCCCAGCCAGCCTCTACCGATTTGGCGGGCAGAGCCATCTCCGCCCACTGGCGCAACTTGATGTCTACCATCGTGTTGAAGGAATCTATAAGGAGAACAATCAATGAAGGGAATTAGTAGGGCCATTATTAGTAAGGCACACACACAAAAATATGGAGGAAATATGGGTAAACAAAGCCACAAAACACTCGGATGCCTAACTCGATAACTGCAATTTGCTTCAATTAGACATTGATTTGGCTGAATTCATTGAGCAAATTAACGGATCTGTCATAAAATGCAAATTAAACAGCCGCCGAGCGGGCCAAACGTGTTTGTCGGCGATAAATCGCTGATATCGCATACAATTTTTGGTTTTTCGGTACTGAGAACATTAACCAAAATCTGGTTTCGTTACAGGTGCTCGTAAATCTCCGCCTATAACACTTTCCGGCACATGACTGCAAAGCAGACCCTGTGACGATCCGATCCCGGCGGCTTAGTCACTCCATTTTCGGTGTTAATGGGGAGTACACATTAAATTTACACTCATGATTCAATGGGTGGCTGCAGGAGGCTGAAACTCGAACCGGTTTAGAAATCTTCAGCGCATGTGATTCCCTTGCACGGGAACTTGGGAATCTGGAACCCAAATGCGGGCCATGATAAATGCAAAATTAAACAAAAACATTTTAACGACGCGACATTTACAGAGAGACACGTGAAATGCGAGGCAGGTGACGGAGCACAAAAGGCGGGCGATTGGATGATCGACGTGCCCCCATCGATGACGAAGTCGGCGCAGTCTGCTTACAACCTACAACTTAGCACTACAAAATATTACTTTGAGAACCTGACTGAGCGGCGGGCAGGTAGATCGTTTCAAACACATAGTTGGAAAGCTTCTCCCACAGCTTGCTGTTGAGGGCGTCGTCCCACTTTTTGGCCGAGATTTGCGAAAGCGTCACTACCTCGTCCAGAATCTCGCCCTTGGCCTTGTCAAACAGCTCATCTCGGCCAGATTCGCGCAATCTGAAAATTAGATTTCATAAGTTAACAATCATTCGATTTTTGCTTTATCATAGTATGCCATGAAATTTCTGATTTGTTTAATTCAATTCTATGTGAAATATGAAATTGAATGTTTTTCTAATTAATTTCGAATTGAATGAATGATTGAATAAGTTTTATGAATTTTCTGAATTTGCCAGTTTTTTATTTGTGCTTTCTTTTGAGAAAAAAAAGTGGAAAATTTTTAACAAATCAATGTTAACTGCTTAGTAAATAAAATTCAGGCAGATTTAATGACAAAATTATGGCCCTTTCTTCTTCAAAAGAAATTGAAATTCATTCAATTCTATTAAACTTAAAATTCAAATTCATTCAATTCTATTAAACTCAAAATTCGAAATAAAAATTCAAAATAATTCATTGAACCCGTTCATGCAGGGCTCTAATATATACCCACCTGGGGAAGTTGTTCTTCCATTCGGTTTCCAGATTGAATCTGGTCGCCTTAAATGCATCAGCCTGCTGCTCAATGGTTTCCCGCACCATCTTCCAGAAGCGATCGGAGACCGCTAAGCTCAAATTCCGGCTGGTCACCTGGTGGGGCATGATAACTCCGCGCCGACTAAGTATGGAGAGAGGTGAACTTTGGCCATTACCTTGCATCACATGCTCTCTATACTCACTGGAAGAGCTTGGAGTTCTTGAAGAAGTCCTCCTCGTACTGCCGAATGGCGTCTATGCTATCATCCTTTCGACCACGACCCGTGACAACCGCATAGTAACCTAAAGCCTTCATGGGGAAGAGCTTGCCCGAGAGAATTTTCCTTATCCTATCCGGATCGGCGAGCTCCTCGGCCAGATCTACCTTGGTGAGCACAAAAATGGTGCGTCGACCCAGGGGATCGCACTGCATGACCAGATCGGTGACATTACTGCGCTCCGCGTCCACAGATCCATCCTGAATGCAGAGTATAATGGCGTTGGGATTGCTCATATAATGCTTGGTCATCTGGTGAATCGAATCTTTGGTGTCCGAAGCCATGTCTACGGTCATTGTCTGAAATAAAATCACTATTAGTATGAAGTTTATCTTGTTAAGTATTAAAAGCTACCGAAATAATGCCTGGGAGATCCACTAGAACCATGCGCTGCAGCCCAGGACCCTTAACCGTCATGGCAATCACTTCATTGCTCACAGTTTTGCCGCCTCGCACAGAGGCTCTCATGCGGAACTCCACATCCCTTCGCAAATCTTGCAGATCAGACTCCTTGGTCAAATCGTACTCCCTATCGGAGTCTCGGAACTGAGCCACATGGTAGGGTCCTTCGGCCAGAGTCACTTTAACTGGCGCCCGCGTCATCATCTCTCCACTGCCGCGCGGAAAGATGCGAGCCTTGGCAATGGATTCGAGGACGGAAGTCTTGCCGCTGCTCTGATCTCCCACCACCACAACGCGGGGCAGATGATCGGCCATGGTGTAGCCCGTATCGTAGCCGGAGAGCTCGTCCAGCACCTCCGAGTACATGTCGATCAGGGATTTCTTGATCTTCTTTGCCGTCGTCTTTTTGTTCGTCTTGAGTATGAGGTATTGCTGGCGCAGTTCGCGGTTCTCCTTCTCCATCTTCTCCAGCTCCTTTTGGTACTTGATCTGCACATTCATGATCTCCGTCTGCAGCGTCTCCACCTGGCTCTGCAGTTTCTCTAGGGGATTGCAGATAGATTAGAAGGGAATTCTTATTATGAGGTGATCTATAACCTTACCATACTTCTTGCGACTCTCATCGGTGGTGATGCCCAGGGCGGCCACCGTCGTCTTGGCTTTTAAGTCATCTTTAGCTGCAACGGAGGATTAGGAATAAGTCTCGATTGCGGTGGACAGGGTTCTCTCACTTTAAATGGGGCCAACGATTGTGTTATTTTTTGTGTAACCTACTTTCGACAATCTGAACTCCTTGATAGTCGGCCGCCTCGATGGCATCGTCCAGACGAGTGTCGAACCAGCTGCGCCATTCCGACAACTTATCCTCGCCCAGCTGCTTGAGCTTTGGATCTACAAGCAAACGGCCGAAATAACATGAGTATCATTCAGTATCATTCACACAGAAAAGAAAAACCGATATGAAATAGGGTTATTTCTACCTTATTTCAGATCAATAAAATGCCGATATGATTAATTACAATTTTAAGATCCAAACATATCAAAATGATATTTTATCATATCATAAAAAATACCAAATGTAGTATTCTTTGAGCTTTCATATCAAAATAATATGATTTATGTCAATTTGAAGATTCAAACATATCAAAATGATATTTAATCATATCATAAAAAATACCAAATGTAGTATTTTTTGAGCAAATAATATTAAAAAAGATTAACAGAATCTTTATTCATATCAAAATGATATTAAAAAATATCAAATTGACCATTACCATTTTTTTCTTTCTGTGCAGAATCAAAAACGAAGAAGAGTTCAATGCGATTCTGACCCAGGTTTATGACCATTTAAAGTGAGAGTTTGAAAGGAAAAGAAGGGCGACGGAGGATTTACTCACCCACATCGATGGCGTTCTTCACCAGGGAGCCCACCTCGATGAGGTTCCGGGAGAACTGGCTCCAACGCTCGCCCTGCGGCATGGCATCCTCCAGCCACTTGAAGTCCGGCAGGCCATCCTTCCAGTCCTCGTATTTCTAGAGGAAAACCAATCTTTAAATTTACACCTAGTTATATAACTTGGAAAACTTACCTTGCTGAGGGACACGCCCCCGCCGATGGCGCCGCCCAGGACGAGGTAGCGCAGCTTGAGGGCTCCTCGCAGGATGCGGACCACCAGCATCCCGTAGCCACGCGACGGCGGAGGCATCTGCCAGCCCCTCGCGGGGTTTCCACCCAGCAGGAACTCTTCGTGGTGCCGCTGGCCATTGGAGCTTGAGTTCCCATTCCCACTCCTACGAGGATGACTAGTGATGCTGCAGAGCGTGGAATGGTTGCAGCAGGCGACCTTGGTGGAGTAGACAACAGCTTTTCTCGCCGTGCGCCTGTGAATAGAACACACAACCAAATCCAAAATGAGAGAGATGCGCCGCTGCGACGATGACGAAATCATACGGAAAAAGGTGCAGGTAAACCTTTATCCCCTGCCGTTTGGACGGCCAATCCTTACCGGTAGCTATTCTGATAGATGCGCAACATGATTGCCGGTCAGGATTACAGTTTCCACTCAGTTTACTGCGTTTATTTACGGGAATTAATCAATTTTCCTGCCGCAAAAATTCATTACGGGACCGGGGCTGTGTGACCAGATTTCAATCAGCTGATCTGCCTCAGCTATGTTGGGATAGGTACGCGTTTTGTACCTAGCTTAGGTACGGCGAATTTTTGCAAATGTCAAATGTATACCCTATCTACATGGGTAGTTTTACATGAGTACTTGTTTATAGAATACATTTTCACGTTTGTTTTTTAGGAAACTGTTAATTAATTTGTTTATTTATTGATTACAAATACTTCATAATAAATGTACTAAATAATAAAGCTTTTAACAATTCCTGAGGTTTACCATTTAAAGTCGTTGTTCGTTTTACTTTACAACGTATGGTGGTGCGGCATATCAATGTGGTGTGTACACACTAGCAAAAGCGCCCGCCAAAATTCAAATAAGTACCAGAATTAAAGGTTTTTTAGAATTCTGTGAATATTATTATATTTAACTTCGTTTTATACAATTTTACCACCGACAAAGTAAAACCAACTGTTTATAAAGTGTAATAGTTTAATCGGGAACTTACAATTATACATAAATTAATATATTTAGAATAATTTAAGCGTAATGACGACGACAGACAAAACAATTACGCTACCACTAAATTTAAATATTCTCGCGCGCTTTCCTATATACGGGGGATAACGTTGACGTTTATACGTTTTTTTAATTAATACATGCATATTTTCTACGTAGTTCGCTTAACCGAGTTTTTCCTTTTCTTTTAATATTTAGAATGCACTTTGCAATGAAGTAACTGTGTCTATTAAGAGAAGTTCATCATGGGAAAGTACTTTCCCAGCCGTCGGATTTTCTTCATGGTAACAAAGCATTTAGAGCCGGTAACGTGTATTGCTTTGGTAAGGCTTTTATCCTCCAAAATCAAGTCGATCTGCTCGATTGAGTTCAGATTATAAATATCTTTTGGTGTTTCGTTGGACTTTTTGCCGTTGCCCTTCTGCTGGCTGCCGATGTTGATGATGTTGTTATGGTTGCAATTGTGATTGAAGTTCCTACTAAGATTGGTATTGTTATTAAAATATTGCTCTTGTTGAAGCGTAGCTTTGGCTGCATTCAAAGTGTTCATGATTTGGTCCGTGGCATCGGCGGCGTCCAGCTCCTCGTCGTCGTACTCCTCCTTGGTTTCGGCAACGGAGAATGTGCTAGTGTTCAGGCTGTGCAGAGAGTACCTCTGATCGATATGTTGGGTGGACGAGGACGACGAGGAGGGCGCCTCGCTCTCCGCATAGCAGCGGTTGCGCATCTCGTACTCCTGAGCCTCAGTGATGCGATCGAGCGACTGACTCTCGCGAATACGACGCCTTCTACTCGAGGAGCTGCCTGCCGCCTGCTGCTTTTCAGCATGGGAATGCTTGTCAACATGATCCTTGTGCTGTTTCCGGGTTTTTTGTGTGTGAGATTTGCGATTTTCATCGGATTTGTTATTTGGCTAAAGGAAAAACTAAAGTTAAATAACATCTCTTATGGTTTTTATAGAAATCCTACCTCTTTATACTGCGATTGTCCTTCTTTTTTGCCACTTACGGAGCCGCTCTTGGTGATAAAATTGCCCGCATTGCTGGCCGAGCCGGGCGGCGGATACAGCTGATCCTGCGAGTCGCTGGAGTCGTCGTGCGAGTCCCGCCGATGCATGCGGAATCGCACTGGCGTGTCGCCCACGAACTTGTTGATTTTCTTCTTGTTGCGCGTCTTCGTATCATCGTCGGAGGCCTCGGAACTGCTGCACGAGGGCGTCCTGATCTTGTTCAGCTTTGTGCGTCGATGCGTGAGCACCGGATTCTTGCTATTGCTGGGCAGCGGCTTCAGCTTGCCAATCTCCAGCTCCTTGAGGCCACTCAGCGTGTCCTCATCTAACTTGGCATCTATCTTCTCCATCTGCTTGAGCTTTTGGGCCAGCGTCGCATCCACCGAGACCACGATCTTTGTGCGCGAATGGCTGGGCATTTGATTGCCGGGCTCGGAGCTGGAACGCTCATGCGTTGACCTACCGAAGACGCCATCGGAGGGGGCCTTCAATTCATTGCCTATGCCCGAGCACTCGGTGGCGGACTCCTCCTCGTCCTCCTCACGCACAATGCTGCACTTGCGACTGCGCTTGTCCTGAGGAAAGGAATTCATTTAATTGGATTTACTGCACTTGAAGTGGCTTGCTAATTAACTTACCGGCTTGCCATCGTCGTTGGCGAACTGTGCCGCCGGAGTCACGTTAATGCTGATGGGTACTCCTCCTGTGGGGCTCGGTTTCTCAGGCACGGGCTTGCGACTCACGTCTCCAGCTCTGAAAAAATAATTATTAAGTTATAGAAGAAACACCTTAGGAACTTCTCAACTCACTTTATGCTGGGATCGTTGAGAAGCCTCTGCTTTTGGGCCTGCTCCTCTCGCCGCCGCCGCAGCCGTAATTCCGCCAGCAGGAAATACGTGGCTGTTATGTGATTGTACTTGTTCTTGTCGAGAGCTCTGTGCAATGACGTCACTTGGGGTCAGCCAGAAATAATTGGTTTAACGCGGGGGGAAAACCCCATACTCACTGCAATATCTCTTCCTTGGACGCAATATTTCCGTTTATCATTTTCTGTATGATAAAGGCGTGATCCTCCTCGCTCAGCTGCTCGCGGCTGACCAAAGGCAGAAAGTGCTCCGTGGTTACGGAGGAGCTAGTGGAATCGGGCTCATCGATTGGCTTTAGCCAGGCGGAGGAGGCAATCTCCTCTACAGTAGCTCGCTTCTTGGGATCCCTTACCAGCATCGAAGCAATGAGGTTCCGGCAATCGGTGGACACATGCGCGGGCACCGTGTACTTGCAGTCCATGATCATGGTGAGGGTTTCCGAGTCGTTGGCCTTCTCGAAAGGAGCCACACCGCAGACTAGCATGTACAGGATGACGCCCAGGGACCAAATATCTGGGGGGATACCATTTTAAGGTTATTAAAGGTTTATGGGGTAATCTTTAGGTTGACTCACCCACAGCAGGCGCATCGTAAGAATCGCCTAGTAGAATCTCCGGAGCCGAATAGGCCAAACTGCCGCAGAAGGTCTCCAACTTTTGGCCCGGCGAGAACTTGTTGCTGAAGCCAAAGTCGGTGAGCTTAACCAGGCCCAGCTTTTCGAAAAACACCACATTCTCCGGCTTTAGGTCCCTGGGAATGTTACGTAAATCAGTGATCGACATTATTATCAGTTATTAGCCCTCTCACCTGTGAACCACGTGCAGCTGATGACAGTACGTGATAGCACGTAGGATTTGGCGGAAATACTTGCGGGCCAGCTCCTCGCTCAGCCCCGATTCGTGCTTCATTATGTAATCGTAGAGATCCCCGCCGTCGCCCAGTTCCAAGACCAAGTAGAGCTTTGTCTGGGTGTCGATAACCTCGTACAGTCGCACGACATTCGGGTGCTGCACCAGTTTCATGCATCTGGAGAGGATTGGGTTGAATAAATGGGTTCTGGTTTGGATTGTTACTTTTGTAGTTTACTTACCGCACTTCCTGGAACAGATGCGCCTTGGACACCTCGTCCAACTTGGTCTTGTCCACCACCTTGACCGCCACCTTGGCCCCGGTGAAGACATGCCGGGCCAGCTTGACCACGGCAAAGTGGCCGGAGCCCAGGGTCTCCTCCAGGTCGTACAGTCCGGCGATCTTGCCGTCGCTCACCCCGCCCACGGGCTGCGTCTCCAGCGTCATGATGGTGACTCCTCCTCCTTGGCAATCTTCCAACGGGCTGCGTGTTATCCGCGATTAGCTAAAACTATAATTATAAGGGGGTCTATCATTTCTCGGGAAACACGGGATTGTTTGAGTGGAGATTCATGTAATAGGGAGGTAAAGGGAATCCCATAGCTCCCAATTAATGATTCATTCGGATGAATCCTTTTTTGGTGACCCATTAAAGGAGCCCAGCAAAGACAGGGCTGTTACACAAGGGGATGCGGAAAGGCAGGGCCGTTTTACCTTTTACAGCGGAGCAAAAGTCGAATCTCCGCCAGCAGATGAGGCAGGAAAAACTACGATGCGCGACCCATTCCGGGATGGAAGTGACTAAACCTGGCCTCTCACTGGCCGCTCGAACGTCTCGCACTGAACTCTGGGCCCTTATCACTCATGAAAACGCTTAGTTAGACTTTTTGTATACACATTTTCGACTATTTTCTGCGTTTTTTCTCTGAACTGTGCGCTAGGGATGGCATGCGAGCAACCTATCGATATGCGATACCTATCGTTTGTTGGAAGTTTTTTATTTTTATAAAAAATGTTGTGTTTTTAAATATGTATGTGTATGTATGTTAAAGTAAACAGATTATTTAATTATATAAAATATGTGGATTGCTTATATGTGCAAAATCCCAGTAATAACATCAACAGAAAGAACTTTTAAATAGAGATGGCACGATATACTTACTAATTGCGATATATCGTTTGTATTTTTCTTATGCCAATTTTGATTTAAAATTTGTACAGAACTTTCGGTGCATAGTAGGTCTTCTACTCTAAGCATTTAGTTTGCTTCCAGATTCCTATCTCGAGTTAGCTCTACGTAAATAAATAGATAAAATAGGTAAGAACTAGAGTATTTGCGGATGCCTCGTGGTATTCCGCTTTGGTCACATCTTTCCCGAATACCAAAAAATACCAGCCAAAAATCGCAAACGCCTTTTCCTCGGTCGTTCCAATCAAAATTCTCAATTAAAACATCAAAAAAATAGAATTCAGGCAGCCAGAGAGCTATAATGAGTTTGAGTCCCGACCCAAATCAGCACAGTTTACATGTAGAGCACCTCAACCGCGTCGCAGACGGCGACCAGGGCCACAAGGTGAGCTAATCGGTGGGGAGATCCTCTCCAGGCGCACTGTCCCTTTCGTTGGCATTGTTTTGGACTCTATTACATGACTTTCGATTTTCTCCCGCCCAGCTGGCGAATGGTCATGCCATGGGCGACCCAAGGAGCAGCCGGTGCCACGACAAACTCTTCAGCGGATCGCTCAAGTCGCTGGCCAGGAAGGAGGAGTCAGAAGGGAGCAGTGGCGGTGAAAACCAGGACAACAAAGCCAGGGGCTCGGGCACAGGACTCGTTGGCCTGCAGAATATCGCCAACACATGCTACATGAACTCGGCGCTGCAGGCGCTCAGCAATTTGCCGCCCATGACGCACTACTTCATCAACTGCAGCGACCTGGTGGAGTACATTGCCGAGCAGAGCGCCCGCCGCTGCAAGCCGGGCGGCCTGGCCAAGAGCTACCGCCGCCTGATGCAGGACATCTGGCAGGATGTCGAAGATCCCAAAGGTTCTGTTGCCTCACTCATCTTCCTATCTGGGAAAACACCTACTGAAGTTTAAGATTTTGCAGATTTCATTGCCCCGCGTGGCATTCTGTATGGCATTCGCACGGTGCATCCCATGTTCCGGGGCTTTCAGCAGCACGACACCCAGGAGTTCCTGCGCTGCTTCATGGACCAGCTGCACGAGGAGCTCACGGAGCAGGTTTCCCGCCTGCCGCAGGCTCAAAACCAGGCGCAGTCACATCAGCAGGCTAGCGAAACGGATGACGACAACGAGGATGAGACGGCACCGGTGTCCCTGACGCCGGCGGCTTCCGAGAGCGAGTACGACACCTGCGAGAGCAGCATGTCGGAGCGATCGGGGGAGGTTCTCCTAAAGACCGAGTACTTTGTGACGCCCTGCCGGACAAACAGTTCAGACGCTCATCCGGTGCACCAGCAGCAGCATCCACAGCTGCAGCAGCATCAGCAGAAAAATGCGGAACAGAAACCCGTGGAGGCAGCTCGCTCTATAATAAGCGACGTGTTCGATGGGAAGCTGCTGTCCTCTGTGCAGTGCCTGACCTGCGATCGCGTGTCCACGCGCGAGGAAACATTCCAGGACCTCTCGCTGCCCATTCCCAACCGCGATTTCCTCAACGTCCTGCATCAGACGCACAGCCTCAGCGTGCAGAGCCTGAATGCCGCCGAAACGTCCGCGAGGAGCAACGAGGGCTGGCTGGCCTGGATGTGGAACATGCTGCGCTCCTGGATCTACGGACCCTCGGTGACGCTCTACGACTGCATGGCCAGTTTCTTCAGCGCTGACGAGCTGAAGGGCGACAATATGTACAGGTAAGGGTGCCAATATGAGCCCTGCATGAATGGATTCAATTAATTATTTGGAATGTTTTGTTTTATATGAATGAATTAATTAGAATTTAGAGTTTAATAGAATTGAATGGCGTGAATTCCGAAATAATTCAAACGACAATTTCTTTAGAAGAAGAAAGGGCCATCATTTTGTGATTAAAAGAAAGCAAAAAAAATCTGGCAAATTCAAAAAATTCATACAAATTATTCATTCATTCATTCAATTCCAAATGAATTAGAAAAACATTCAATTTATTTCATATAGAATTAAATTAAATAATCAGAAATTTCATTTCTTAAAAGAAAGCACAAAAAAATCTGGCAAATTCAAAAAATTCATAAAAATTATTCATTCATTCATTCAATTCGAAATGATTTAGAAAAACATTCAGTTTATTTCATATAGAATAGAATTAACAATCAGAAATTTAATGGCATCATACTATGATAAAACAAAAATTGAATGATTCACGCAGGGCTCTGATGTCAATGAAATAGATTACTTAGTAATTTTATTTTTTCAGCTGCGAGCGCTGCCAGAAACTCCGCACGGGCATCAAGTACTCCCGTGTCCTCACTCTCCCCGAGGTTTTGTGCATCCACCTGAAGCGCTTTCGCCACGATCTTTCCTACAGCTCGAAGATCTCCTCCGACGTTTACTTTCCCCTTGAGGGCTTCGATATGCGGCCCTACGTCCACAAGGACTGCAAGAGCGAGGTGCCCATTTATAACCTGTCGTCGGTGATTTGCCACCACGGAACGGTGGGTGGTGGCCATTACACTTGCTATGCCCGCAATGCGTTGAACGGCAAGTGGTACGAGTTCGACGACCAGTTTGTGACGGAGGTCTCCCCGGAAGTGGTTCAAACCTGCCAGGCGTACGTACTCTTCTACCAGAAGCACAACCCCCAGATGAAACTGGTGCGGGATGAGGCGATGACCTTGTCTACTAGCCATCCTTTGTGCGACTCGGACATTCAGTTTTATGTCACCCGCGAGTGGCTCTCCAGGCTGGCCACCTTCTCGGAACCGGGGCCCATTAACAACCAGGAGATGCTCTGCCCCCACGGCGGAATTCTACATTCCAAGGCGGACATGATCAGCCAGATTGCGGTGCCCATTTCCCAGCCGCTGTGGGACTATCTCTATCGCACTTTCGGCGGTGGCCCAGCTGTGAATATAATCTTCGAGTGCGAAATATGCAAGCGGGCAGCGGAAACTCTATCCCGTCGTCAGCTGTACGAACTCAACGAGTTCACCAAGTACAATGGGCTGCAAAACGAGTTCGATTCAACGGCCATCTATGCCATCGCCATGCCCTGGCTTCGCTCGTGGCAGCAATTCTCGCGGGGAAAGACCCACAAGGATCCGGGACCGATTGCCAACGAGGGCATCGCTGCTCCCACCGAGAATAGTTCGCTAAATGGCACAGCCACCGTGAGCTGCGTGCGTTTGGGCTCCGATTACGCCCAATTGAATGCCCGCCTGTGGCGCTTCCTGCATAATATCTATGGCGGTGGACCGGAAATTATGCTGCGGCAGGCTCTCTCGGATGACGATGATGCCGAGGAGATAGAAATCATCGATCAGGACGATGAGTGCGACGATGAGGAGGTGGATCAGGAGGAAGAGGAAGTGGCGACAGCCAACTATCACCACAATCATTCCGATACCGAAAGCAATTTGGGCCGCCGCACTACGCCCAGTCCGAGTCCAAGTCTCAGTCCCAGCAGTCCAAGTCTAACAACCAAGCGGCAATCGGTGGAGGCGGAGTCAGATCTGCGGCCAAATAGTCCAAAGTCCAAGCGCAGCAGGTCCAAGATGAAGGTCTCCGCCCTGCGTTTGAATATGCGGAAGCGAGGCAAGCGCAATCGCAGTGCTTTTAAGCAGCACGCCGAGATGTTTGGAGCCAAAGGTGGGTAATAAGATTAGCTAGTACTGGCAATTGCTATTTAAAACCAGGGTTCGGAATTGTTAAAAACATGCAAAATTGTATCTTACAGTGTGAGCAATGTTTTTGACATGTTTAACACAAACAAAACAAAAGTGTTTTGCTCACTTGTGTTTTTTACACAATGTGTTATTACCACGACGTTTTTTTAGACACTGTGTTTCTAACAAAAATGAAAATAACATTTTATGGACATTAACGAATCGAAGGGAAAATGAAGAATCAATATTGGGCCAGGATATCTTAATTGTTATTTTTAACCGTTTCAAAGCATATATTTCTGACGTTTTAATGTCAAAAACTCATTGTGTTAAAAACACGTTGTGTAAAAAATACGTCGTGTAAGTAACACAAATAAACTGTGTGTGTTATTTATGTTTCTAACATATGTAAGCTACAATTTTGTACACACATGTCAATAACTTTTTTTGAACTTAACACTTTGACATTTAACATGTTAATAACACAAGTTTTTTACAAAGTGTGTTATTTTCCGAACGCTGTTAAAAACAAAGATTATATTTTCACAACTTTATTATATTTCTTTGTTTAGGAAACTATAATGCCCACACCAATACCGATTCCCCAGAGTCCGAAAATCTGAATGGAGAAAAGGATGCGGACAAGGACAAGGACCGAACTGTTGCATTTCCCAGCGAATACAGCTTACCCATTTCGATACCATTCCAAAGCGACAATTTCCAGGTAAACGGTGTGCACGAAAAGTCTCGCGAGAAGGGCAAACTGCGGAACAGCTCCAGAAACGGCAGCACCGCTACCTCCGCCAAGGAGAAGGTCACGCTGCAGAAGTTCGTGACCCTGCGCGAGGCCAATGGGCCGAGTGACGAGACTGATATTTGATCGACGGCTTTAGAGGATCGAGAAGGAGAAGGAGCTGCCCTTGGCCAGAGTCGCAAAACGCCGCCGCCTAAACGCAGGCCAAAATCCAAGTTTAGGCGCAAGCGAAAGCGTCAGTAGTTTTATACCTCAGTCTTTTTGTCGAGGTGGAGGCTATATAAATTATGTAAAAACTGTATTTATAAATTAATCGTATTGCTATCCCCTACCCGGCGCCCTACCAGTCATGTTATCCCTGCTCCTGGCCAAGGGTCATATTGTATATAGTGTGTGGGAGTGCTTTAATTGGTGTAACGATAGAGAATAAATCGTATAAATCTTGGTCAAACTGGCCCAGATAAAACACAAAATCAATCCCTGGTTTTACCCTTTAGAGTAGAGTAGAGTAAAAGTGTATATTGTATTCGAGGTAAGGACTTTTTAAAAAAGGCTGGCGCCTAAAACTTTACAGATTTTGTAAAAGTTGAAATGTCACTGTGTTGTGTTTTAATACCCATTAATACCCATCGAAATGTAGAAGAATTTTTCAATTGGACAATTAATTAAAAAGTTATGAGCGAAAAAAGAAATGGCCGGTAGATGCAGCCAGTAGCTTTGACAACTGTCAATCTTCAGCTCCCTTGCACTTCCTTTAGCTGAGTAATGGGTATCTGATAGTCGAAGTACTATCTTGTTTTAGCGTTCTATCTTGTTTTATTCAATTACGTTTAGGGTGGCCCGCCCCACTCACAGCATTGGTCCACTCGAGAGCGTATTTTCAAGCTATTTATAGAGGACCGAGCGTAGCGCACAGCAGCAGCAGATGTGTATTGCTCTTCAGCTGGCCCAGTTTATAGAGATTGTGTGAGGCGTGCGGAGGTGGATGCACATCTAGCTGAGTGACTGAGTGAAAAACATCTCTTTGGGATAGTAAATTTGCTACAATGAATCCCTGCCATGTGTGCGAGGAGCCGACCAAGAACAAGTGCTCCAACTGTAACCAGGTGTCCTACTGCAATGCGCAGCACCAGAAGCAGGACTGGAAGAGCCACAAACCCAGCTGTCATCCATTCAAGGTGCGCTATTTATGCGGTATTATCCAAAGGTTCCGATAGACCAACATAACCTCAACTCCCTCTCGCAGATCGCCCACAATGAGCAACTGGGCCGGCATCTGGTGGCCACTCGCACCATTAAACCCTACGAGATAATCTTGAAGGAGGCTCCCCTGATGCGTGGACCTGCCCAGATCTCGGCGCCCGTTTGCCTGGGCTGTCTCAACAGCATCGAGGCAGATGATCACATCGAGTGCGATCAGTGCGGGTGGCCACTGTGCGGTCCGGAGTGCAAGTCTTTGGAGGAGCACCAGGCGGAGTGTCGCCTCACCAAGGCGCGGGATCAGAAGGTCAATGTGCAGGAGTTCAATGGACCGCATCCACTCTACACGTGCCTCAGCACCGTCAGGTGTCTGATGATCGGGGAGACCAGTCCGGAGAAGGCCAGCAAGTTCCAGGAGCTGGAGACACTGGAGTCTACTAGGAGGGGCTCCAGCCAATGGAAGGCCGACCTGGCCAGCATCGGTCAATTTATTCCCAAGTAGGTATTACGATTCTATGGGATTCTTTCATGTACAATGGGTTCTTCTGATCTATTCATAAATACTTTGTTACAAAGCCAATGAAGTAGGTATTACAAAGCATGGTTTTGGATTCTTTAAATTCTTATTGTATTTCTACATTGGGTTCTTCTGATCTATTCATAAATGAATCGGAAAGAAAAGGTTTACTACATATGTAAACGTAAACAATCTTATCTTATCGCCCTCGACAAACATATAACCGTTAGTCTGGAAAAATTACCTAGTTGTAATCTAAAAATTCTTTTTGTATCCCTACGCATTGGATACATAAATTTGGATTTTTTAAATTCTTTTAATACATAAATACTTGATTACAAAGCAAAGAATAATGAATCGGTAGGAAAAGGTTTACTATGTAAACGTAAACAATCTTATCTTATCCGCCCTTGACAAACATATAACCGTTAGTTTGGAAATAATTGGAATAATTGGAATATAAAAACTCTTATTGTATCCCTAAGCATTGGATACCTAGGATCATCTGTTCATCTATTCATAAATACTTGATTACAAAGCCAGTGAAGTAGGTATTACGAGGCATGGTATTGGATTCTTTAAATTCTTTAAATACATAAATCAAATACTTGATAATGAATCGGAAGGAAAGGTTTACTATGTAAACGTGAACAATCTTATCTTATCCGCTCTCGACAAACATATCACCGTTACTCTGGAATTATTCCCCAATCATAAATAGTTTGTACTTATAAATAGATTGCTATCAAAATAATCTAAAATCATAAAATAAATAAGCAATTTAGATATGTTATCATAATTGGTTTTACAAACGTATATTTTGTAGGTTATAGAACGATATTTAATTTTCTGATTCTTACAGATTCTTCAAAACTTAGAAATCAGAAAATCATAAAATGTATAAGCAATTTAGATACCTAATCATAATTGGTTTTACAAAACGTATACTTTGTAGGATATAGAAAGATAATTAATTTTTTTTATTCTTACAGATTCTTCAAAACCCAAAAGTTCAGCGAGGAGGAGATTATGAGAGCCGTTGGTGCTCTGCAGATAAATGGTCATGAGGTGCCGACTACTGATCCCCCGCATGTGGGTGTCTTTTACACGGCCTCCTTCACGGAGAACTCCTGCCTGCCCAATCTGGCCAAGAGTTTCAATAAGAACGGCCATTGCATCCTGTGGGCACCGCGGGAAATCAAGAAGAATGCCCATCTGAGCATCTGCTACTCGGACGCCGTTTGGGGCACCGCCGATCGCCAGCGTCATCTCATGCAGACGAAGCTCTTCAAGTGCGCCTGTGAGAGATGCGCAGATGTCACCGAGCTGGACACTTTTTACAGTGCCATCAAGTGCGAGGATCGTCAGTGCGGCGGTCTGATGCTGCCCAGCAAGGCGGACGACTGGAACGGCAGTTGGCGGTGAGGCAATCTCAGCCCTTTTACTTAGGATATTCCAAAATTCAAGGCTCTTTGAATTCTCTTCCAGCTGCCGCGAGTGTCACAAGCAGGTGCAGAAGCACTATGTGGAGCGCATTTTGGAAAGGGCTGGTAAGGATATCCAGAGCATGGAGAAGAATGTCGAGAATGGTTTAAAGTAAGTCCTTTTCTGTTGCTGAAAATAATAAATAATTAAGTAAGACACATAAACCCAAAAAAAAACCGATATGAGACGAAGATTGATTTTACATTATTTAAAATCAATTTTAATTTAATATGAGGCCAGGTAAATTTGACCTGGTCGAAAAGAGTATTTCATGTAAAAACGATATGGGTTTTGCATGACCTAAAATTTACATCGATTTTACGGGATCATGCATTTTTTTGTGTGTAAATTTTCTAAAAAACAATTTTCCAATTAAAATATTCCTCTAGAAATAGTATAACAGCTATTTAAATAAATTTAAAAAATCCCTATTAAAATAACAATTCATTCCTGTTCTGTAGCTATACAATATTTATTAAAAAGTAAGGCATAGAAAATAGTAACTATAATACATAATAGTTGTTTCTTTAGTTTCTAAAGAACCAATCTTCCAATTAAAATTTTCCTCTCGAATTAATATAAAAGCTTTTTAAATTAAAAACTCCCAATTAAAATAACATTCGATTTACCTTTCCTAAACGTTTATATTTGAAATGTTTCTGTCTTTTTTCACAGATATCTTAAGCACTATGAAAAGTGGCTGCCTCCTCAGCATTTTCACATGAGTGAGATAAAAATCCTGCTCGTCCAGCTGCTGGCCAAGGATCAAAAGGAGCTGATGGTTATTCCGGACGATAAGCTGCTGCTCAAACTGAATTTCGCCAGGGAACTCGTTCAGTTGTACGAGACACTTACGCCGTGTAAGTGTTGTTGCTGATTATTACGTATACGCAACGTTATCTCAAGTGGTTGTTTGGTGTTTTTTGTTCTATTTACAAACGGCAGGTGAAGTTCGCACGCTCGGCACGCTTTGCTTCGAATTGCACTCGGCAATTGCCGAGCAAACTCGTCGAGTGGCCCTCGCAACGAGCCTGTCGCCGAAGGATCGCCTGGAAGAGTCCTTGTTCTATGTGGAAAAGTGCGTCAACTATCTGCAATACGAGTCTGACATTTTCGTCGAGGGTCATATGCTTCGGCAAGCCAAGATCAACCGGGATGCACTGCGCATGGTAACCAGGATCTCCTAGGCAATCAGTCATGAATCGAATGAAATCAGTTAATACCCCTCCCAAAAGCCTGTATCAAAATTGCCAATAAATTGTCATTACTAGATCCCTCTAATTGTAGTCCATCGGGGCTTAACGAGCGTGAAATTGCCCAGTCATGTCATTATTCACAGGTCCAACGTCATCGGTTACTGGCCAATTTGATTCCATATATGTACATATATTGTATATTTCGGTTTGTGAGTACGCCATTCTGACAGTCTGGGCGATAAGGATAAGATATTCTACCCGGTGTGTGTGAACCACGATATTATAATATGGTTAATATTGATTCTTTCTTAACAGGTGGTGGGCCATACATATATAGGATTAAAAGAATTATAGCTCATTCAATTAACCCTCATTCATTACAAATGCATAGCCTATCAAAAGCCGGTGCAATCTTACTTATAAATGAGTAATGACGGTGCCCGATAATGATGACTTTACTTTATCTAAGGAACGGAATTATTGGAAACTTTATTTACTTATCTTTGACAATACATTATGCCCATTTATAACCTTGTTTAACTTGATTTCACTTGTTCCTTACATACGTTAAACCACTTTTATTCCTAGTTCGATAGGTCAGAAAATATTTCCATATTTTAGTAAATATTTACATTTTGAAAGTCACTGACCTAGGGCTAAAAAGTATAAACAATTCTAGCCATAAGCTTTGAAGACCTCACTTTATAAGTGAATCACGGATCTTAGATCAGGTTCCCCCAATATTATAATCGGTTTCATCAGATTTGGTTTCACGTGCAGCCATTAAACGCAATACGACCACGAATTTCACAAGCAGACCAAACTCACCGTTAGTCTTAAGAATTTTATACATGTCCAATATATTGATAAACACGCATTATCAGTTGATAACGCTCCACTCTGGCCAGGCAGTCATTCGAATATAAACCCCATGCCCGCTGTTATATTCTAATAGTCTGTTTTAGTCTGCGCAGCCAACAGTTCTTTCTGGCCCCATTGATTTCCATTAAATCACACGGATTGATCGAAAGGGATATATAGTTCCAAACTTAAAAAATCATCAACACGATGACCGTTAAGAACGGCGACATCGTCAAGGACGATGTGAATTCGCGATCGCAGTACAAAACTAATATAGTCCTGAGCACCAAATTAGAGGATTCGGAACGAGATCGCAAGAGTTTGTAAGTTTCTAAGAGTGTACAATCCCAAAAAAAATCCTTTAAGGATATACGAAGTAAAAACAGGAAATTTGTTAAATACAAGTGCGAAAAAAAATGTGTTTTTGTGATATAACAGTTCCTGAAAGTTTAGTAAAACATAATCCTTAAATGTCTAATTAATTGGCAATACCTATTTAAGCGAAACTCGTGCTAAAAGATTGGTACACGTATTATAATTAATGGACATGTTTCGATCGAGTGCTAAATACAATCTGAAGAAGGAATTCCATTGAAGTTTTTCACCTTTGACAAAGTTGCTTCTCAACGATGACAGTGCTAATTATTCGCACAGAATGGCTGAATACTAAGTGTGCATTATTTTTGTCTATACCCTTTACGAAGGGGTTGTACTGAGTTTCTTATAATTTTCAAGGATATTTTTTTTTTCGAAAAATAACATAAACGAAGTCCTTAGTTCTTGGACAAAATAATTGTGATCATAACCCCAGAAGTTTGTGTCGTTTAATACATTCAAATTCCTATTAAATTCTATTAATGGAGTTAAAACTTTATACTAATTGGGGGAAGTGATTAATAGTTTAGTGTATCATGCAGTCGGTAAAGATTCCAAATACTTGTTTCTTTATCGTTCATTGATTGCTAATGCCATAAATGTCGACCAAACAGAAGAGAGCCACCTTGCCAGGTAATCTCTATAAACGACTCTCTACCATATAGTATACACTATATCACACTGCAGATAGTGATTTGGTTGGGCAAAACCGAAGCGTGGTCATAGTGCTATTGGTTGTTTGGAACCACTTCCCTTGGCGAGTGTCAGTGGTGCAGATAAGGGTTTCGCGATACCTCGTGGGGTTCAAGGTGGTGGCGTCAATATACTTACCGATAACCATCTATGATTGGCACCCTTTATTATTATTATTGCAGTGAGCCCAACAAATCGAAAAAGAAGTCGAAGCATGACGATGCGGATGCGAGCGATGAGAAAGAAGTACGCTTCAAGTACGAGGAGGAAGTGAAGCAGGTCAGCTACTTCCAGCTCTTCCGATATGCCACCACCAAGGATCGGGGTCTCTATGTGATCGGTATACTGTCTGCCATAGCCACGGGTTTAACCACTCCCGCCAACAGTTTGATCTTCGGAAATCTAGCCAATGTAAGTTGAAATTAAACTTGAAGTTAAAACCCTTTACTTAAAACTATTTTTACCCCTTAGGACATGATCGATTTGGGTGGAATGGCAGCGGGTGGTAAAACCTATCGAGCTGATGACGATGCTGGTACTTTGCTGCTGGACAAAGTGCGAGAGTTCTCCCTGCAGAACACCTACATCGGTATCATTATGCTGGTCTGCTCATATCTCTCGATCACCTGCTTCAACTATGCGGCCCACTCCCAGATCCTCACCATCCGCTCAAAGTTCTTTCGCTCGATTCTCCACCAAGATATGAAGTGGTATGACTTCAACCAGAGTGGTGAAGTGGCTAGCCGAATGAATGAGTGAGTAATCAATGACATTTCCAAAAAAATAACTTTCATATCAAAGAAGTGGCTTATCTACTTCTTATCAAATTGATCACTAAAAAAAAAAAAAAAAATTTACCTATTCTTATATGTTTTCCTTTTTTACAGAGATCTCTCCAAGATGGAGGATGGCCTGGCTGAGAAGGTGGTAATGTTCATCCATTACTTTGTTTCCTTCATTGGCTCCCTGGTCTTGGCCTTTGTCAAGGGCTGGCAGCTTTCGCTGGTTTGTTTGACCAGTCTTCCGCTGACCTTCATCGCCATGGGCCTGGTTTCGGTGGCCACATCCCGTCTGGCCAAGAAGGAGGTTACCATGTACGCCGGTGCCGCCGTTGTGGCCGAAGGTGCTCTCTCCGGCATTCGCACAGTGAAAGCCTTTGAAGGAGAAGCCAAGGAACTGGCTGCCTACAAGGAGAGTGTTGTGGCCGCCAAGCTGCTGAACATCAAGAGGAACATGTTCTCTGGAATTGGATTCGGTCTACTGTGGTTCTTCATCTACGCCTCCTATGCTCTGGCCTTCTGGTACGGAGTGGGTCTGGTGATCAAGGGCTACAACGATCCGTATTACGCAAACTACGATGCTGGCACCATGATCACGGTCTTCTTCTCGGTGATGATGGGTTCCATGAATATTGGTATGGCTGCTCCTTATATCGAGGCCTTTGGCATCGCAAAGGGTGCCTGTGCCAAGGTCTTCCACATCATCGAACAGATCCCTATTATCAACCCCATCGATGCGGGGGGTAAGAAGTTGAATGAGCCCCTCACTACGATCGAGTTCAAGGACGTGGAGTTCCAGTATCCCACGCGACCAGAGATCCCCATTCTTAACAAACTGAACCTGAGCATTCATCGCGGACAGACGGTTGCTTTGGTGGGTCCCTCCGGCTGTGGCAAGTCCACCTGCATCCAACTGGTCCAGCGATTCTACGATCCCCAGGCGGGTAATCTCTTTTTTAATGGCACCAATCTCAAGGACATCGACATCAATTGGCTGAGGTCCAGGATTGGTGTGGTGGGTCAGGAGCCTGTTCTCTTTGGCGTTTCCATCTACGAGAATATCCGTTATGGACGGGAGGATGCCACTCGGGCGGAGATCGAGGCAGCAGCTGCGGCAGCCAATGCTGCTATTTTCATCAAGAAATTGCCCAAGGGTTACGATACCCTCGTGGGCGAGCGAGGAGCTCAGTTGTCCGGTGGCCAGAAGCAGAGGATAGCCATTGCTCGCGCCTTGATTCGGGATCCCGAGATCCTGCTGTTGGACGAGGCCACCTCTGCCCTGGACACCGCCAGTGAGGCCAAGGTACAGGCTGCCCTGGAGAAAGTCAGCGCCGGCAGAACCACCATTGTGGTGGCCCATCGCCTGTCCACCGTTCGTCGGGCGGACAGGATTGTGGTGATCAACAAGGGCGAGGTGGTGGAGAGTGGCACCCATCAGGAGTTGATGGAGCTGAAGGATCACTACTACAACCTGGTAACCACCCAGTTGGGAGACGATGATGGCTCTGTCCTCAGTCCCACTGGTGATATCTACAAGAACTTCGATATCAAGGATGAGGACGAGGAGGAGATCAAGGTGCTCAGCGAAGATGAAGAGGAGGAGGAGGAGGTGGCGGACAAGAAGGATAAGAAGAAGAAGAAGAAGGTCAAGGACCCCAACGAGGTGAAACCAATGAAGGAGGTGATGAAGATGAGCAAGCCGGAGTATCTGCAGATCACCGTAGGCTGCATCTCCTCGGTGATCATGGGCTGTGCCATGCCCATCTTTGCGGTGCTCTTTGGCAGCATCCTGCAGGTTCTTTCGGTCAGGGATAACGATGAATATGTGCGCGAGAACTCCAACCAGTACAGCTTGTACTTCTTGATTGCCGGCATCGTGGTGGGCATCGCCACCTTCTTCCAGATTTACTTCTTCGGAATCGCCGGTGAGAGGCTGACGGAACGTCTCCGTGGACTCATGTTCGAGGCGATGATGCGCCAGGAGGTGGCCTGGTTCGATGACAAGGCCAATGGAACGGGAAGCCTCTGTGCTCGACTCTCCGGCGATGCTGCTGCAGTTCAGGGCGTAAGTGATGAATGATCGGTGATTGATCGGTGATCTTCTAATAACTCATTCTTATTAATCTTTCAGGCCACTGGTCAGCGAATTGGAACCATCATCCAATCGATTTCTACCCTCGCTTTGGGCATCGGCCTGTCCATGTACTACGAATGGAGTCTGGGTCTGGTGGCTTTGGCCTTTACTCCCTTCATCCTGATAGCCTTCTACATGCAGCGCACATTGATGGCCAAGGAGAACATGGGCTCCGCCAAGACCATGGAGAACTGCACCAAGCTGGCCGTCGAAGTGGTTTCCAATATTCGCACTGTCGTTTCCCTGGGTCGCGAGGAGATGTTCCACAAGAACTACATAGGCATGCTGATCCCAGCTGTTGAGGTGGGTTTAACTATTTTCAGAGATCTCTGGAATTGCTAATAAATAATTATTACCTTTACAGATCTCCAAGAGGAATACCCACTTCCGAGGTATGGTCTATGGTTTGGCCCGTTCCCTGATGTTCTTCGCCTATGCCGCCTGCATGTACTATGGTACCTGGTGTGTGATTAACCGAGGAATCGAGTTTGGAGATGTTTTCAAGTAGGTTTTATTAAAATTTTCTACTTTAAAGAAATTTTTACCCTTAAATTTTAGTAAAATTACCCTAAAATTTAGAAAAATTAGCTGAAAAAAAATCAAAATCAAAATTTTACCTTAAGATTTAGGGCGATCTTGTCTTAAAGACAAAAATAGGGCGATTTTCTTGACTTTAGGGTTAATTTTATTTTGAATGTAGGCCAAGTCATATAGATTATGTTTATCATTTTTCTCTCTCTCTTTAGGGTTTCCCAAGCCCTCATCATGGGCACAGCCTCAATTGCCAACGCCTTGGCCTTTGCTCCCAATATGCAGAAGGGCGTTTCGGCGGCCAAGACCATATTCACGTTCCTCCGCCGCCAACCAACTATCGTAGACCGACCGGGAGTATCTCGGGATCCTTGGCACAGCGATGGAAACGTTCGCTACGACAAGGTGGAGTTCAGCTATCCCACGCGCCACGAAATTCAGGTTCTCAAGGGACTGAACCTAAGCGTAAACAAGGGTCAGAAGGTCGCCTTGGTGGGTCCTTCCGGTTGTGGCAAGTCCACCTGCATCCAGCTCATTCAGCGGTTCTACGACGTGGACGAGGGAGCCACTCTCATCGATGAGCGCGATGTGCGCGACGTTTCCATGAGAAATCTGAGGAACCAATTGGGCATCGTGTCCCAGGAGCCGATCCTCTTCGATCGGACAATCAAGGAGAATATCAAGTACGGTGATAACTCGAGGGATGTGACCGATCAGGAGATCATCTCCGCCTGCAAGAAGTCCAATATCCATGAATTCATCGCTAACCTGCCATTGGTAAGGGGTTTTATCTGTAATTTTCTTTTGGAACTTTGATATAACTTTGTGTAATCCATAGGGCTATGAAACGAGAATGGGTGAGAAGGGTGCCCAGTTGTCCGGCGGTCAGAAACAACGTATTGCTATTGCCAGAGCCCTCATCCGGAATCCCAAGATCATGTTGCTCGACGAGGCCACCTCTGCTTTGGACGCTGAAAGTGAAAAGGTAGGAAGAGATCCAATTTTTTTTTTTTTTTAGTATTACACATAAAATTTATTACATTGCTTAGCCAATTTAATGGCTATAAGACGTAGTGAAGAAAAGAAAATTTAAGATCCCTATTAATTACTCTAATCCTAACCCATAGGTTGTCCAAGATGCACTCGATGCCGCCTCTGAAGGTCGTACTACTATTACTATAGCCCATCGATTGTCCACCGTTGTCCACTCTGACGTCATTGTTGTCCTGGAGAACGGAGTGGTTTGTGAGGCAGGAGACCACAAGCAACTGCTCGGCAATCGAGGACTCTACTACACGCTCTACAAACTTCAGAGCGGAGCCATGTAGATCACACATCATCATAGCTTAGATCTAGCTTAGTGAATTGCGAACAACGACACTGTAGTATTTGTACAAAAACTCCATAGTTTAGTTAGTCTAAGATTATTTATCATCGAGGAATTTATGAATGAATTTGTATGTGAAAATCTTCAATATTCTAAGAAATAAACGAAATTTTTGTATGTAAATGTTTGTTTTTGTTTTATTTTAAGTTTACATCGATTTGTTTAAATTTAATTGCATATTACCCAGTCGAATTGGTTGTCCACTGGAAACCAACATACAATTTAGCTTAAAGTAGGACCTCCAAATGATCATTTGCTTAGTTTGTCCGCGTCTATAACGCCGTGGCCGCTTTGCGAATTGAGTTCTTGTGCTGTGCTCGTTATTGTACAACTACAACTAGTTTAGAATATACGTAAAAATAATCAAAATCTTACAGGAACACAACACAAAACAAACCACGCGATTTAGATAGGGGAGCTCTTGATTGCATAATAAACAATAAAAACTTTATGCAGTCATCGGTTCTCCTGGCGGCTTGGTGTCTACGTCTCTTTTTGCTTGGAAGTCACCTTGTCTGATTCGACCTGATTTTACTACACATTTTTTGGGTAAATGCTTGTGGCTTTGTGTGATTCATGATTCGTAAAGGGAATATGACGTGTTTGTGTTTAACGTAGAACTTAATCGAAATCCAGAAGCGGTTATTATTAAATAGGGGAACAACAACTATGACTATGGTTGCCTAATTTAGTTCTTCTCTTCCTTCTTGGCCTCGCCGGAAGTGTCGCTCGAACTGCTGCTGTCGGAGGAGCCGGCGGATCCAGAGCCGCTCTCGCGCTCAGCGGACATCTGAAAGGGGATAAGAATATAAGCATATAAAGTACATGTATTCTATATTAATATAAGAACCCACCTTCTTGTAGGCCAGCTCGAAGAGCTTCAGGGACGACTGCTGCAGCGAGGAGGTGGCCTTCCTGACTTCCTCCAAATCGGCGGTCTCCTTGTTGGCCAGCAACGTGCGCAGATCGGCAATCTCCTTCTTCAGCTTCTCGCACTGCAGATAAATTCAAAGTTAAAAATTTATGAGGATACCAGTAGAGTATATAATTACCTCCTCGGCGGGCAGCTGGCTCTTGAACTCCTCCATCTTGGTCTCGGTGTCATGGACTATGCTCTCGCCCTGGTTGACGATCTCGATCAGCTCGCGCTTCTGCTTGTCGGCGGTGGCGTACTCCTCGGCCTTCTTGATCATGTTCTCAATCTCATCCTTGCTCAGACCACCGCTGGACTGGATGACGATCTGCTGCTCCTTGCCGGTGCCCTTGTCCTTGGCCGAAACGTGCACAATACCATTGGCATCGATGTCGAACACCACCTCGATTTGGGGCACGCCGCGCGGTGCCGGGGGAATTCCGACCAGTGTGAAGGCTCCGAGAAGCTTGTTGTCGTTGGCCATCTCACGCTCGCCCTGGTGCACCTTAATCTCCACCTGGGTCTGGCCATCGCTGGCGGTCGAGAAGACCTGCGACTTCTTGGTGGGAATTGTGGTGTTACGGGAAATCAGACGGGTGAACACACCGCCCAGGGTTTCAATGCCCAGCGAGAGGGGAGTAACGTCCAGCAGGAGCACATCGGTGACATCACCGGCCAAAACACCACCCTGAACGGCAGCTCCAACGGCCACAGCCTCATCGGGATTGACGGAACGCGAGGGCTGGCGTCCGAAGAGCTCCTGCACGGTGGCCTGCACCTTGGGCATACGCGTCATGCCGCCAACCAGCAGCACCTCTCCGATCTCCGACTTGGCCACCTCGGCATCGGAAAGAGCCTTCTGGCAGGGCTGAATGGTGCGCTTGATGAGATCACCCACCAGGCTCTCCAGCTTGGCGCGCGTCATCTTGAGGTTCATGTGCTGCGGACCGGCGGCATCCATGGTCAAATAGGGAAGATTGATGTCGGTCTGCTGGGAGGAGGACAGCTCGCACTTGGCCTTCTCGGCAGCCTCCTTCAGGCGCTGCATGGCAATGTTGTCCTTGCGGATGTCGATTCCACTGTCCTTCTTGAACTCGGCCACCAGGAAGTTGACAATATGGTTGTCAAAGTCCTCACCGCCCAAAAGGGTGTCGCCGTTGGTGGACTTGACCTCGAACACGCCCTTCTGGATCTCCAGGATCGAAATATCGAAAGTGCCGCCACCCAAATCGTAAACGGCAATGCTGCGGGCATAAAAAATAACGATTTATGTTATAAAATGTAAACAATTATTTTTAATTCTGCATTATAAGTAAATCAAATGCAAAGTATCTGGTGATCCTAACAAAATTAATATTGTGAAGTCAAATTGAGTCTCTTGAGATTACTACAAATAAACAGATAAGAACTATGGCTTTACAAAACATCTATAAATCAGGTTGCGATTGTTTTAAAGATAAGACAGACAGAATATTATGGAAAATGAGAGATAAGCTACATTATTTTAGAAACATTAAAAGAAATCTTAGCAAAATTAATGAAATAATAGTTTTTTGACAAAATACTTGTTCAACGCTTTCCAATAAAGATACGCAATATTATAGTTTTTTGATAAAACCCTTGTTCTTAGCTTTCCAATAAAGATAAGCATTATTCAGTTATTTGAGAATACACTTTAAAAGAGAGATAAGAACTCTGGCTTCACAAAACATCTATAAATTAGCCTGCGACTGTATTTAAAAATAAGACAGACAGAATATTATGGGAAATAGGATAAGGAAATTGGTTCAGAAACATTCATAGAAATGTTCAAAAAATTAATAAAATACAAGTTTTACGATGAAACCCTTGTTCTTAACTTTCCAATAAAGATAAGAACTATTGAGACCAGAATATTATAGAAAACAAGAGATAAAGCTACATTTTTCAGAAACATTAATAGAAATCTTAAAAAAAATTAATGAAATAATAGTTATTTGATGAAAATACTTGTTTTTAGCTTTCCAATAAAGATAAGTACTATAAAGACCCCATAAAGATATCGACCACTCACATTTTATCCTCCGTCTTGTCCATTCCGTAGGCCAGGGCGGCAGCGGTGGGCTCGTTGATGACGCGCAGCACATTGAGTCCAGCAATCTGACCGGCATCCTTGGTGGCCTGTCGCTGGGAGTCGTTGAAGTAGGCGGGCACGGTGACCACGGCGTTCTTCACAGGTGTATTCAAATACGCCTCCGCGGTCTCCTTCATCTTGATCAGGATGAAGGCACCGATCTGGGAGGGGGAATACACCTTGCCGTCGGTGGAGGAGACCCAGGCGTCGCCGTTGGAGGCCTTGACCACCTTGTAGGACAGATTGGTGATGTCCTTCTTCACCTCGGGATCATCGAAACGGCGGCCAATCAGACGCTTGGTGGCGTAGAAGGTGTTGGCCGAGTTGGTGACCGCCTGGCGCTTGGCGGGCATGCCCACCAGACGCTCGCCGTCCTTGGTGAAGGCGACGTGGGAGGGTGTGGTGCGGGCTCCCTCGGCGTTCTCGATCACCTTGGCCTGCTTGCCCTCCATGACGGCCAGACAGGAGTTGGTGGTGCCCAAATCGATGCCAATAACAGCACCTTTGACCTCACCGGACCTGAAAAAAGAGGGGTTGTTTTATATATTTTTATATTGAATGGAGTGAGCTGATAAGGCCGCCGGCAACAAGTGCAGATAAGGGCCACGTTTCCCAATTTTCATGCGGAAATTCTTTAAATATCCTATGTTATGATGCAACATAAGTTGGCTTCTGGAAATTCCCAGGTTTCTCTTAGCCGAGTGCTTACATAAGCGGGGTCTACAAATTTGGAGAAATCTTTTGATCTTTTAAGATAACCAACTTACTTGTAGCGCAGCTGGGAGGACAATCCATTGCTAGCACCTGGCAGATTCTGCAAAGAAAAAAGGGTGTTCCGCTGTAGAATCTTCCCGTAAAACATGAGCCGCATGCCGCTCTTTATATAACAATCGGAGGAGGAGGAGGAGGGGGAGGGGGGTTGGGGGCACCGATACTTACGCGGAACATGCTAGAAGCCCCCGAAACTTGGAGGGCGACGGCCTGGCGGGCGAGGCGGGGCAGAAACTTGGGTACGCGCAGCATTTTGGCTTTTTAGTTCTGCAATTTAACACGAGCAATTGTCAAATTAAAAGCAAAAATTTCGTCAGAACGGCGGAGCACGTTTCTTCCCGTGAGAGAACTTAAAGTTGAGTGATGGGCTCGTCTCGTCTCTAGCGATAGTTCGCCGCGGTTCGTGTGCCAGAGTTCTCAACTCGTGTAGTGGTGCTTAATTTCGATTGCGTGAGCTTGTGGTGTAGAAAAAATTCAAATATTTCAATTGGTTTTCAACGCTATGTGAGTTCTGAACAAAGTAATGGAAAGGTAACTAGATGTAAGGTTACGATTTGGGATCTAGGAGGTTAAACAAACTATAAAAATCGTAAAAGCGGTGGTACCTACAGGATTATACAAAAATGCAAAATATATAGGCTGTATTTTTTAATGCTTTTTTATTAAATATTCTGAAGAATACAAAATAATAGGGATAAAGAAATAATAAGCTTCCTAATTTTGTCATTACTATCTCTCGATAGTTCGTGAGCCCTTATCTCCCATCGCCAGTTCGCCGTTCGCCGCTCACAAGTGAGACCGTACTGCGGCAGTATGACCGCATCCCACAACATCGTATCGTCAACTATCGGAACATTCAACACATGTATAGTCATTTCATTGCGTAAAAGTAGCCAAAAATTTCGAAATCCCAAATTAACATAGAACGCCGGTGAGGTCCGTGCGCTGTGCCCCGAGCCCGCCCCTCTCCAAATCCGAGCAGCAAACGCCGACATGGCATCGGAGCACGAGGAATCCGACGCGGAGCTGGACGAGAACTACTATACGTTCTTGAATCTTCCCCGGGATGTAAGTGCAGTTGCCGGTTGATAAAGCCCTCCAATCCTTAATCCTCCCAAATTCCAGGCCACTGCGGAGCAGATCAACACGGCGTACCGGAAACAGAGCCGCATCTTCCATCCGGACAAGCATTTGGAGCCGGAGAGCAAGCAGAAGGCCGAGGTCATGTTCAACCGCACCAAGCGGGCCTACGAGGTGCTCTCGGATCCCCAGCAGCGGGCCATCTACGATTCGGTGGGCGAGAAGGGTCTGCGCACCGAGGGCTGGGAGATCCTCCACCGGACAAAGACCCCAGCCGAGATTCGCGAGGAGTACGAGCGTCTGGCCCAGGCTGCGGCGGAGAGACGCCTCCAGCAGCGCACGAATCCGCGTGGCAACATCACCATCAACGTGAATGCCACCGAGATCTTTGCCCCGTACGATGACTCCGAAATGCCGCGCGTGGAGATCGGTTCCATGAGCATTGCCCAGTCCATCGAGGCGCCCATCACGCGCAAGGACATGATCATCATGAGTGGCAATCTGTACTCCTCCAATGGCAATGGCAGCGGTGGCTTCGTGGTGGCCGGACGAAGGCTACTCAACAAGGGTTGGCTGGAACTGTGCGCCGGAGCGGGAAACGGCTTCCTCCTGGGTCTCAAGGGTGAGTCTTTATCATTAGATAATCTTTATGAAGATTACTAGACCTCGGATTTTGCATATTTGTCCATTTTTGGTACGATTTTTACCAAAATTTCTAGGTAGGTGTCATATTTTTTTCAAATGTAATAAATTCGGATGCATATCGGAAATATGCTATTCTGCTCCTTTTACTATTTTTTCCCCTACTTTTTAAATTTGGGAAAAATTAGATATCTCAGAAATAACGAAAAGGAACAAACCATTTTCTTCGGGTAAATTAGGTTAGGCTATGAAATGGTCAATCTTGAATAGTTGAGTTTATTTTATATTTTTCATATTTTATGCATATGCATTTTATGCAAATATGCAAAAAAAAAAAAAATATGCCATTAATTTTAAACTATATTTTTATTGAAACGAACTTTGGTGTTTTCGGAATTGATCTATCTTTATCCTATAGAAATATGCAAAGATTACAATAACCTATTTTCCAGGTGGCCGCACTCTTAGCCAAAAGCTGACGCTGAACGGAGGCACTAACCTGAACTTCCGGGACCACGGCGTCATACCCGCTCTGTTCTCCACGCTGGCCGTCCAGCTGGACAAGCACACGATGGGCAGCTTGACGCTGAACGCCGGTCCGCAGTCCTCCATGTCCACGCAGATCGATCACTCCAAGGAGACGTACTCGCTGAGCTCGTCCCTGGTGATTGGCACGCCGCATGTGTACTTTGGGCTCTCCTACACTCGCAAAATGATGGAGAACGAACTAAAACTAAAGCTGGCGGCCAAGTAGAAGGGTTAAATAACTTCAAAATCCAGTTTAACTAATGATATTCTTTTACCGCAGGGTTGGAACCTTTGGCTTTATGGGCGAGTATGGCGTGGAGAAGAAGGTTTCCAAGTACAGCTCTGTGACAGCGACGGTTTCGATTGGCGTGCCCTCGGGAGTCATACTAAAATTCAAGTGGGTGATTACTTAAGGACTAAAAGAAGCTCTATTTAATTACCTTTAATTTCCCACCCAGAATACTACGTTCAAATCAATCGTACGTGTTTCCTATTCATCTAAGCGATGAAATAGTGCCCGCAGCGGTATTCTACGCCTCGGTGACCCCGGTGATTGCATGGTTCTTCATCAAGAAAACCGTGATGGACCCCATGGAGGCGGAGCGCAAGAGCATTGAGGTGGAGCGGACGAAGAGGCAAAACGAGCAGAGGCTCTCGGCCAAGCGGAATGAGGCTAGTGCCGCCATCCACCTGATGCAGGCGACGTACAATAGGATAATGACCGAGGAGCTGGCGAGGACGGGTCTAATAGTCACGCGAGCCGTTTACGGCTGCACGGCGGAGGGCGGCAGCCAATTTAAGCCGGAACAATCTTTAGATGTCACGGTGCCCATTCAATGTATGGTTAAAGACGGAACCCTGCATCTGCACGACTCTTCGAAGGTTTGTCTCCTCTACTTATTGTTATTCTGATGTATTAAGAATCCTAATTTCTTACAGAGCGACCTGCCTGGCTTCTATGATCCCAGCATCGGGGATGACAAGATTCTGCGCATAGAGTACACCTACCAAAACCAGTTCAAAGTGATCAACGTCAAGGACAACGAGGCGCTGCGACTGCCATTGCCAGGATAGTGGCACTGCAATTAGTTTAAATCTTCAGTTGTGTTTGTAACTTGTTTTTATTCTTGATAGAAAAGACCCATTCCCAGGACTTGGGGGCAAATATTTCCCCTACTTACAATACCACTCTGTAACTCGCTATTTATGGGATACTCACGAGATCCGAACAGCGCAATAAATCACAAAACTAAGAAATATTATAAGTTAATTTAAATTACTTAGTTCAAATTAAATTCAATTTAAAAAGTAAAAGTGCTAGCGAAGGTTTTTTCAAATGTAGCGATAGTAACTATCGGTAGCCATTGCTTAGATACTCACGAGATCCGAACAGCGCAATAAACCACAAAACTAAGAAATAGTCGTAATTGTTATTATAACTTAATTTTAATTATTTAGTTAATATTAAATCAATTTAAAAGTGAAAGTGCTAGAGGTGGTCTTTTTAAATTTTTTCGATAGTAACTATCGGCAGCCATTGCGCAACTCTGGCAACCCTGGCCGCGGGGGCGACTCAGCTGACTTTTCTGATTGGACCCTGGAGTTTTTTAACGCTTTTTGTTCGGTGGGCGAATGTTTTGCACTTAAAAATGCCATTTCGCAGCGCCCGAGCTTCGAGCAAGGTATGATGCAACCGACGGACAATGTCCCTGTTCACAAAGGCGAATCTCATCCGCTTCCTGGCCGGCGCAATCTGCTTGTTGCTGGTGCTTAACTTTGTGGGCTTCCGCACCGACGGAGCCAGCGGCACATCGCTTAGCAAGCTGAGGTAGGTGCTCTAGATTTCCTGGAATTCTTATCAATCTTATCATATCTCTCCTTATCCACAGCATTCGGCGCGTGCACAAATATGCTCATATCTACGGGAACGCCAGCAGCGAGGGAGGAGGAGGGCTGCCCGCTGCTCCGCTCGTTTTGTCCAAGGACAGGCAGCTCCTGGATAAAGCCAACTCCTCCAGCACCTCACCAACTGTGATTGCCACGGCAAACTTTACTTCCATTCCACAAGACTTAACGCGCTTCCTGGTGGGCACAAAGAAATCCGCATCCGCCCTCCTCGCCAACTGCACTGATCCCGATCCCCGTGATGGTGAGAGTTTCCTTAGGAATTCTCCTCTAGCCAGATCTTAAAATCCTCTTTCTCAGGTGGTCCCATCACGCCCAACACCACACTCGAATCGCTAGACATAATCGAAGCCGAGCTGGGTCCTCTTTTGCGTCCTGGCGGAGCCTTCGAGCCGGATGATTGCCTGGCCCAGCAGCATGTGGCCATTGTGGTGCCCTTCCGCGATCGCTACGCCCATCTGTCCGTCTTCCTGCGCAACATCCATCCCTTCCTCATGAAACAGCGCATCGCCTATCGCATTTTCATTGTGGAGCAGACCAATGGGAAGCCCTTCAATCGGGCTGCCATGATGAACATCGGTTACTTGGAGGCCTTAAAGCTTTATCAGTGGGACTGTTTTATATTCCACGATGTCGATCTTCTGCCTTTGGACGACCGCAATCTCTACAACTGTCCACGTCAGCCGCGGCACATGTCGGTGGCCATAGATACGCTGAACTTTAGGTGGGCCGCAGCCACAGAAACAGAGATAAGAGCATAATCAATGTGGAATAACTTGATTCTTTTAGGTTGCCTTATCGATCAATATTTGGAGGCGTTTCCGCCATGACGCGCGAGCACTTCCAGGCCGTTAATGGGTTCTCCAACTCGTTCTTCGGCTGGGGCGGCGAGGATGACGACATGTCCAATCGGTTGAAGCATGCCAACCTATTCATATCAAGGTATCCCGTCAACATAGCCCGCTACAAGATGCTCAAGCATCAGAAGGAGAAGGCCAATCCTAAGCGGTGAGTATATCTATTATAATTTGGAATGTTTTTTATAGTTTATTACTCCTTTACAGCTATGAGAACCTCCAGAACGGGATGAGCAAAATAGAACAGGACGGAATCAACTCGATCAAGTATGCCATCTATAGCATCAAGCAGTTTCCGACCTTCACTTGGTATTTAGCCGAGCTAAAGAACTCCGAGCGCAAGAGTTAGCCTTTCCAAACTGTCTAATATATGCGTATGTACAAAGGACAACATTACTTTCACGAACGGTAGAGTCTCTCTTTTTAATAGAATGTCAGATCATGGACACATGATTACAATATTAGACACACATATTGTGTACAATGGTAGTAAGTCCAGTAACTATACTCATATTACGATGTAGTATACTTTTAATCCATCATTTAGCTTCAATTCGTACTCGAAGAACAAACAGTAAGAACTCGTCTCTCTGTAGCAATAATCCTCCCGTTCACTACTCAAAGTGCTCAATGATACTTATATATATAGTATACCCCTTTGTTGATTTTGTTTACTGTTTTTTTTGTTGATTTAGTTTTTTGTTATTCGACTAATGTACTTTTTATTAAACTTCTCAAAAGACAGCAGCTACACCTACTCCTACAAGGTGAAATGTAGATATTACTTTTGTGATATGCAAATTGTTATTCGATCAGAACGATTTATACCAAAATAAAAACTTATAAAAACTTTTACTATACCAAAAAAAAAAGAAAACCCACGCATTTCCAAATCCAATCAAACATTTCATCGCTTCGTTTGTTAGATCTCGTTTTTTATTATGGTTACTACGTGTATTAGAGATAGTTTTTATGGCTCTGTAACGACTGGGTTACCTTTTAAGTCGCAGTTACGATTATGGTTTATGATTAGTGGGTTTTCGGGGGCGCTGGCGAAACGAATAATATTAAGGGAATTGGATTCCACGGCTCATTTATTAGTGTTTTGGTATGCGGTATGCAAATTATAGTTAAAACAATTGGCATCGAAATTTAAATGCTTGAGCAACAATTTTGAGCAATCTAAGTTGGGGGCGAAACAAAAACTATAACAATCGCTGTAGTTGACGCTTTACAAATTATATACATAGATAATAACGTATAGATATAATAGACATAGAAAATTTGGCAAACAAATTACGACTACAACGATTAGAGCAAGCAAACCCGATAAAAGTTAGACGACCTAGTAGAGAGCAATTAAAGACGCGGGGGGCAGGATTTAGCGTTAGACCTATTAACGGCAAATATTAGAAACCTATGTACAAGATACGATCTTCAGGCGGCGTCCATCGTTTACATAATGGAGCAGGGCATGGCACAGCAGAGGGGCAGGCACACGGGCACCACGGCGCCGCCGGACTTGGTTTTCGTCTTTGACTTGGAGCCGGACTCGTACTCGTACATTCCGGATCCCTTGGCCCAGCGACCCTGAAAAGGATTTCAAATAATCAGTATCTGATTCCATCTCTCCTGATACACAGAAAAAAAATGGTAATGGTCAATTTGATATTTTTTAAAGATCAAGTTATTCATATCATTTTGAAATGAATAAAGATCATTTTAATCTTTTTCTATATTATTTGCTCAACAAATACTAGATTTGGTATTTTTATGATATGATAAAATATCATGTTGATATTTTTGAATCTTAAATTTGACATAAATCATAAATCATCAATAAAAAATTGATATGAGGTAAGATAGAAATAACCATATTTTAAAAAAAATGGTAATGGTCAATTTGATATTTTTTAAAGATAACGTTATTCATGTCATTTTGATATGAATAAAGATTATATTAATCTTTTTTTATATTATTTGCTCAAAAAATACTACATTTGGTATATTTATGATATGATAAAATATCATGTTGATATGTTTGAATCTTAAATTTGACATAAATCCTATTGGCTTTTAATTGATATGAAATAAGGTAGAAATAACCCTATTTCATATCGGTTTATTTTTCTGTGTACTAAAAACTCACTCCTGAAGCCGATCCAGCATGCATCTCCTCGCGCTTCATGACAATGGTATCATGACCAGGTGGATAGTACACCTCCTTGCCCGCCTTGTTTACGGATGGCACATGCTGCTGGTTGGGCGAGGCCACCGCCGTTTCGATTTCGCGCTTGCGCACCGGCGTCTCAATGTCCACGCGATCCACATGGTCGGTGGTCTAAAAAAGATAAGGAATCATATAAATCACTGTGTATTTATGTGTATTTATGATATCACTAAAGTAATTTACTTCTAATCTGCACCCCAGTCTTAACCAAACAAGTCGGTAATTATGGTATCATAATTGTAATTGTATTCTAATCTCTAACTACTTTTTTAGGCAGCCGGGTAATTTGATATCATAATATCTTATCAGTTACTACAACTAGAGGTACGCTTTTAAAGCAATTAAAAGTATCGTTGATTTATTAATTCATTTGAGAAATCATTTTAGAAGCTTTTAAAGATTAGTTTGTCAAAAAAAAAAATGTTTTTTTTTTTTTATCAGAAGTTAAATTGTTTGAAAAACTTTTGAATTTTGAAAGCTATTTTATTGCTTTTACAGCTTTTTATCGTTGATTTATAAATTCATGTGTGAAGAAATCATTTTGGAAACTTTAAAGATTAATTTGTAAAAACAAAAAAAAGTTATATTTTTTGAGAAACTTTGGAATTTAGAAAGCTATGATATTATATTGGAAAGCTGTGATATTATTATTATAATTAAGATTTCATTATTATTTATTATGCTCAGGGAATACTTACAGTTCCGAATGACTGCATCAGATCGTCCACTCGCTGGGGAGGATTGCTGTTCACTGGATACTCGACTCCATCGACGGGGAATGGGGATGGGGATCCGTAGTCCGGACCACGTCGGTTGTTTGAGTTGGTGGTCGAGGAGTATTTGTAGCTGTAAGTGGTTGAATTGGGTGGATAACCATTGCCATTCGGTGGCTGTTGTGGTGGATACGCGTTGTTGTTGGGCGGCAGCTGCTTCAGGGGAGCGGATTGCGGCTCATAGGGTCCCCCATTTGGCGGTCCATGGATGCTGTTCACTGTATTCGAGGTCTCCGTCTCCTTGTAGTAATAGCGATTCACTCCCGGCTGCAGTGGTGGACTGTGGGGTCCTCCGTAATTGGGATTAGGACTGTGGGCAGCCGGCGGACTGTGCGGCGGATAGCGCTGCTGGGGCGGCAGCTCATTGACTGTGCTCACGTTATCCGTCTTGTGGATATTGTAGATGACGGTACGGTTGCCGGGCGGAGTTCCCGAGGGACCCGATCCCAGTGGCAGCTGGCGTGGCTGGGGGCTCACTCCCCGCGTGGTGGTCTCCTTGTGCTCCCTAATCTCGTAGGACTGGTTGGTGACCAGCGGACGATCATTGTTCGGCCTGTTCAGCGTGGAGTAGCTCTCCGTGTTGTAGACCACCGTCTGTGGGGCATGGGAGTGCGATGGCGACAACTGGGTAAAGTTCTGGCTGGTGTTGTTGTGGCTCTCGTGGAGCTTGTAGCTGCTGCTCAGCGTGTTCGAGTTGTTCAGCGTGTGAGTGCGGTTAATGGTGCTGGTGTTGCTTCCCGGTCCCGTGGCCGGAATCTCGTAGGTGTAGGTCCGCACCGTGGTGGTCACCTTGGTGCCCGGAGCAGGCAGGATGCCATCGCTCAAAGCGATGTCCTGCAGCTCCTTGTCGATGGTCGTGCCGCTGGTCAACGTCTGATGGGTGCTGCTCGTCGCGGGCAGCAGCTCCACGTTGTTGTTAATGGTGCGATTGCTCTCGTAGAGCTTCGTCTTGCTCTCGTAGTGTCCTCCGCCGGGGGAGTGGGCTGAAATTATTTTAAATTTGAGATTAGAAAATATTACACCCAGAAAAATGATGGACAACATTTTAGGTCATGCATAGCCTAAAACATTTTAAATGGACTAAATGTTCCTTTTTAGGTCATGTACTGCCTAAAAATTTAAATTTTTGGTATATTTGCCCTACTATTTAGGTCCCGTATAGCCTAATATTTTAGGTCATCGTGGGCCTTAAAATTTATGCATTTTACCTAAATAAATTTGCACGGAACTCTGATACCTTTCTAGCGACGCTATAATTCCCAACCAGTTATAGCGCGGCTTGCATGGTAACCCACTTCGATCGTTGAATAAAACAGCGATTTCACTGCTAAACAGTGAAGCCTCTTCGCTCGTTTTTGTGTGTTGGAATAATGACGACTTCTTGAAGACTAAGCCGACATTGACCTCGAGTTAGCTATAAATTTCTCTGTATTTACTTTATAATATGAAACATTTTTCAGTACAAATTTTTAGGCCAAAGAAAGCCCAAAATTTTGGATAGGGGTTTTCTTATATTTTAAGGCAGCCAATTACCTAAAATCTAGGCCAAAAATTACCCCATTTTAGGCCATTAATGGCCTAACATTTTAGGTCATACAATCCTAAATTTTAGGCCATTCAAGGACTTAGCTCCAGTTTTAGGACAATTTTACCTAAATTCTAGGCCATTTTTTGACATGTTAGGTCATTTTTTTTTCTGGGTGTACATAAATTAAATTTATTTATTATTGTATTTGAGGTGAGGAAATATATGTTCAGGAATCTTAGGGCCTTTTTTATAAACTAAAAGTAGGTTTAAAATCAAGAAAAAGTAAAGAAATGTGTAGTTTAAAATATGATTCTTCAAAAAAAAAATAAAAGTTTTAAAAATTTTAGGAACAAAAGATATATTTTATTTGAGAACGCCCATGCTTGTATCCGAGAATTTTTCTTCTTGAAACCAGGAAAACTTTTACTGAAATCGAGAATACTTCTTGATTTAGTAGAACCGTTATTGGCTCACTTTTGAGCACGAAAATACTGAAATCAGGAACGTTGAGAACAGTTTTTTTTTCTCGGTGTAGGGAATAAATTAAAAAGATTTCCAGTATGATAAAGCTATTACGAAACTTAAGCTGGTACTCTAAACTTTAGGTATCTTTCCGATTCTTACCCAAAGTATAGGGCTTTTCCTTGGTCTGATAATCGTCCCTCTTCAAGCTGGAGTACTTGGCCGTGGACTGAAGGGTGCTATAATCGGTGGGATTAAAGGTCTCCACATCGTCAATGAAGGGCTGTTGGCCACCGGAGCCCGAGTGTTTGCTGGTCTTGACCACTCGCGTAGTCCTCGTTACAGTGCCCGAAGGATCAGTGCGTTCCCTAAAACAAAATGATATATAATTATAAATTAATATAAAACAAGGTCTACGCACTAAAAAAAGCATGTCACCGTAAAATCGATTTGGGCATGTAAATTTCCGGTTATGCAAAACGCATATAGTTTTAACATGAAATACTCATTTCGAGCATATCGAATTTACGGGGCCGCATACCACATAATGTAAAATCGATATGCATATCGTTTTTTTTTTGGGTGTAAGCAAAACTCACAGTGTTCTATAAGTAGTTCCATTGCTGGGCAGCAGATCGCGTTCCCTGTTGGTGATCTGGCGTTCCTGCTTCAGATCCTCCAGCAGGGCATCCAACTGGTCTATGTTCTGGTCGGGGGATTTGCCCTGATACGAAACACTGTTGTCGCCGGAACTTGAGTATTGGTAGGATGACTTCTTATAGGCGTAGTTCTTGTCGTTCTAAGTGATTGATAGTAAGGTATTATATTGATTTACTATCTAATGGGTCATCTATCAAGGTCTTACCCTGCCCCATTTCGAAGGCTTGTCCCGCAACGAGGATGAGTAATTTTCCGAACTGCTCGAGTACTGCATTTCCAATTAGTTTTTTGCTGAAACGGAAACGGGTATCATTCATAAATTATTCAAAAACGACTCGTGGGTGTCTGCGAGACACGTAATCACGGATTGTGACCCCGAATGGCAGGTTGATTTCGCTCCAAGGCGGTTCGCAAGAATCCCAAGCATTTTTCCCACCCACGCGAATGAACAAATGTTCGAAAATGGCCGCATTCGGCTGAATTCATTCTGAAGTGAGAACTTTTGGCGCATTAATGGAGCTTAAGTCATCTGAAGTGGGCATCACTTGAGCACACAAAGCACGGAATGCCGAGCAACAATGAACAAAAAACAGGCGGAGGCTGTCACGGAGAGATGAAATGCTCTGGAAAGCGACACAAATGGTTCCAAAGGCTAAGCTTTACAAAACAGAAATTTAAATGGATTTTTTCAATATAATTTAAAAAATATTTTACTAAAGTTTGTTAATATCATCTAAACTGATATTGAGAGAGATATAATTTTAAACGAACTTGAGAATGAGTCCCCTTGAATTAAATGCAATTATTGTCTGAATATCTATTATATCTACAGACCGCTTGGCACTTTCTTTCAAAGAGATATTGCTTCATAAAAATTAATGTTTATTTAAAAGGCTTAATAAATTCTTATTATCAATATGCTATTAACTTTTAATTTAAACAATAAATTGTGATGACCTTGAATTTGCGATTCTAAATATTATAAATATTCCGGGCCCTTAAAATATGAATACCCTTTGGCAGGGAAACCTCAAAAAAAGATGGCATTGATTTTCAGAACTGGCACACACGCAAAAAAAAAAAACAAGACAAAAGGCAGAGGCAAAAAGTCGAAAATTCAATGTCAAACAGGTTTTCACTTTCGGCGTGTCCTTAAACTCCTTTTTTGTCTGGGTCGGAATATGTACGAGTGTACATGTGTATATGCAGCTTATTTTGACGTGTATGCAGTTTTTTTTTGCGATTTTCAGCGATAACCTTGGGTAGAGAGATAGTCTGAGATGATGCAAAAATTCGAGAAGGATGACCGACCGGCGATGATGTCATAAGGCGGAGCTCTTGACAGCAACTGCATTGAAAAACGTCAACTAACTGGCTAACTGGCTTAAGTAATCAAATCAAGGCGAGCTAAATAAATCACCTTTTGAATGGAAATGGAAATCGGCGATGGGGATGGGGATGCTCCGCCATATGGTCAACGGAATAGAGCTAATAAAGACACAAAAAACACAAATAATAATGCCTCACGTCAGCCAAATACACGCATAAAATATCATAATATAAATAAAAGGCCAAATCTAATTGATGCCGCCGCCAGCTACGCCCCCTCCTCCCCCTCCGCCACCCCCTCGCCACCCACTATATACTATAGTATATACTATGTCTTGGTTCCCCCGATCTCAGCACGTTTTTAGCAGTTCTCTGGGCCTCACTTTGGCGACGAAAACAAAAACAAAAACAAATCGCAGAGAGCCGAGCGCTTGTTTTGTTTTTGCATATGGGCACTTCCAAAAAAAAGTCCACCAAGCCAAAAACCTTGATACTTGAATAAAACATATTTTCACATGATTTTGCCCCGATATTAGTTTCTAATTAGTTGGATACTGAGCTTTACTACAAATTTGGAGTATAGTTTGATTATTTTTATGACAAACCCCACCAATATACGCAAAAATCAGTTTTTGGCTATTTTTTTGTTATTTTTTGGACCTGTCTTCTTTTGTTAATTTATCCTATAGGAATGCTAATATGTGACATTTTTCTGTACTGAATGCTTCATTCACATACTAAACTATTAAGTTAAAAGCAAAACATCCAGCAATTGAGAGATAGAGGTAAAGAAATCCGCTTTACAAAACAGTCGGAAAAAATGTCCCGAGCGACATGTCCCGAGCGAATGTGGTTGAAACGGCAAAAAAAAAAAAAAACGGCAAGAATTTTTGAGTAAAACCAAAAGCATTTCACAGCGACATGTTTGAACAACATTCTAAAAAAAATCGCATTGAAATATTCCATCAGAATTCGCTAATTTCTGGTGTTGTATGAACTTCCCCGAAATCCACTTCTATTTTTGTCCCGAGCGAATACGGCAGTTTTTTACCGATATCTTAAAAACTAAAAGTGGTACAAAATCAAGATTTTTACCAAAAATAGAGCTTGGGAAGAGTGAAAAGAAAAGCCCATAATTAAAATTAAAATCCATTGTTTTACAATTTTTTTTCAACTTTAAAGGTGTGCAAATGTCCCGAGCGACATTTTGGAAGTGCCCATATGTACAGTGTACACACGCAGGTCAAAATGATCTCATATACTCGTATACTCGGATCGAAGCTCCGAGGAAACATGTTGCTGTCTGTCTGGCGATTGGAATTAACCCGTTGAACAACTACGTGCCGCATTTGTAAGTCATTTGGGTATTTTTACGATTTTATGAATGAAAAAATATGGCATTACGTATTATTTCAGGGATTATACATTAGATCAGCATTTTTGGGCATTTTTAAAATTAGCATTATTTTGGAATAGCCTTCTTTTATAGATAGATTTGGACCGCTAGTGCTGTTTGCAGATCACAGATTATAACTGCCACAATATAGGATTTAAATAACTTTTTAAAAAAATAAATTACTAAAGTTACTTTCTGATTTCCACTTCTACTTAAATATGGCCAACTATTTCTTATATGGCACGTGAAAGTTTTACCTACGATAAGAGACCATAATATGCAAAACAACTAACAAATTATTAAATTTTGGTTCTAAGAAACTGTTTAAGTACCAACAAGTAAAATGTTTTTTTTAAATGAAATGTATGGTCTTATGGCTCAATTAATTAAAAATTAAGTTCTATAATCGCAAAAGTCAGACCTATAAATAAGCTTACTCATTAACGCTAATCCTACGCGAAAGTAAACATTAATCTGAAAAGGTGGGATGCAAGTTATGAATCAGAGGTAGAATTTGGAAAACATGATTTGAGTTTTGAAAAATTCTTAATTTTCATATGCAATTCCCGAGAAAATTATGGTAAACGCAATGAATCACTAGGTTACAAATAAGTGCATTTCCTGTTGGTAATATGCAAATTAATATTTGTAGCAGAATTTGATTTTGTGATCTAATTTCTTTTCAAAAACAGTTTTCTAAGAGCTCCCGAAGAATTCGTATTCAAAATTCTTGATTAGATAAACAAAATTGGAGTAGATGTATTGCTATGGGTTAAACGCCACCGAAGTGGGCGGGGTTTTTGGAGGAAGGGGTAATGGGAAGCGAGAAGCCAGATCGTTGATCACAAATCGCCAAATGCCAGAACGCATACGTAGGCAATGGCAAACAAAATCGTAAAATAAACAAATATCAGGCTATAACCAACGAGTTTGAAATGGTCGAAAAAAAAGCGAAGGTGTTGTTGTCGTCGCCGCCGTTCTGTTGTTGAAATTTCCGAAAATCGAATCGAAACGTAGGCGAAATTTAACGTCTATATATGCGCCAGGCATGTATCATTATCTATATATGTTTATGTTCTAGCCAAAGTGCGAGTGTGTTGCGTATCTGTGTGTCGAGTTGCCAATTTTGAGGCACCCACACGAAAAGCGATCCACGAGTTCAAGCCAAGCGGACATAAACAAGCTGTAGACGCCGTTTGAACTTGGCTAAATTAAACGAAAGTTTAGCAGATACAGATGCAGAGATACAAAGATACACAGATACATTTACTGGGCGAATTTCCGAGCGAACACTTTTCGACTTTTGCCGAGCCATTTCTGCTTTTTTTTGGTTCCGTCGGTATATGAAAACAAATAATTCTATTTATAGTTCACTGCCACTGTTCTTTCAATTTGAATACGGAATACTGCGCCGTCGGTGCCTTTCGGTGGGGAAATAAATCGAGTGTACGTACGAGTGCCCACCGTACATGAATCATCTGGCCAAGAAGAGATACACATTGGCAGATACATGGCTACATGGTTTCTACGAGGAGGATGCGTTTTCGAATTTCACTTCAAAAAGCGAGTACTTCCACGTACATGGGGCCAAAACCAAAACCAAAACCAAAGACACGTAGGGAAAACTCGTTTCTAACTGCGGTTTCGAGCTCCTCTTCCATAGACAACCTACACACTCCACTCTCTCCATTCCAATCTCTCATTTTCTCATTTTCCACTCCACTCCACTCACTGTGCACTTTTCCAAAACTCCAAAAACGCAACTATTCAGGTACAGTTCAATGGGGGGAAGGAAAATCTCTTCGATGTGCGGGAAATTCGTGGTAAGTGTATTAGTGTTCGATCGCTCCCAGCACAAAAGTGTAACGGTTCGCGCAGTGTAAGTTTGTAGTAACGGTTCGGGTGTTCAGATCTCGACGCGTCGCTAGCTCGGGCGGTACTGAGGCCTCCGATCCGCGATCACTTGCCACCAGCGATCCCTACACGATACCCATACCAACCAGAGCGATCCAATCCAATGGCAACTTGCTCCGGACCTGTTCGCCCGAGAGCATCGCTCTCAATTTTGCTTGCAAAGCTTACAAAGCTCTCTACAAACGCAACTAACGCCAATTGATCAAACAATAGAGAAAAATGGAAGTGTATTCGATCCCCAACATTGGGTACCCTTTATAATTTGAAAAAGTTTCTTTAAAATACTTTAAGTTGGGGCTAAGTTTTCAAGATCAATTAAAATTGCTCAGACAATAGGGAAAAATGGAAGTGCATTCGATCCCCAATATTGGGTACCCTTTATAATTGGAAAAGTTTCTTTAAGATACTTAAAGTTGGATCTAAGTTTTCAAGATCAATTTAAATTGATCTAACAATAGAGAAAAATGGAAGTGTATTAAATCCCCAATATTGGGTACCCTTTCTATTTTCAAAAGGTTTTTTAAGATACTTTAAATTGGGTCTAAATTTTTAAAAACTATCATAATAGTCGGAATTTTTATGTGTTTTTGTTCAACATTTTTGAAACCATTTGTTTAAATAATAGGAACTGAAATAAAACTTAATAGAATAAAATATCTTCCTCAAAAATACGAATTTTAATAATATGTATTTTGATTTAACATTTTTGAAATTATTTTTTTTTAAATAATAGGAATTTTAATAAAACCTTATATAATAAAATATCTTCCTAAAAATTACGAGTTAAAATAAAAATTAATAGAACGAAATATTCCCCTGAAAAACTCTATACTAAATTCTTTTTTCTAAATTATATAAATAAACTACAACCTTGAACATAATTATTTAATTTTAGCACGATTTCTATCTAAATTCCTGAAATATACGTTCCTGATAAGCCGCTCCAAAGTTTGAGCCGTGAAACAAAGCTTCTATAATTAAAATTCACGTTATTTACCAACGATTTGACTTTCAAAACGCGTGCTTAAGTTCATTAGCGAGCGACTCTAAACCTCCAAATGTGTAACAGAAATTAGCAAACAAATTTTGTATTGATATTAGCAAAGTTTTAATTCCAAAGTGCGACTATACAAGTTTATGGGTGCATCTACTGAACAAAAACAAGTTCGTTTTTTGTACAGTGTTAACCTGCTCTAATGGGTCAAATAGATTGATTAAATTCTAAATATTTAAATGAAAGCCGACTGTTCGAAGATGCTCCACTTTTCGCCAAGCTGCGAGTTGCGTTTTAATAACAAAAGTGTATTTGAAAAAAGCTCATCCAGATGCCCCGCCGGTTGCCCCCCCCTAAAAATCCGTTCTCGTTCGTTTACTCGATACAAAAGAGTCAAGTGTTTTCATTTTATTCACTCGTATTTCAGTAGCGACGTCCATGATTATAGTGATCAGAGAATCTGTAGTTGATAAGCTTTTTTATAAAAAACAAAGACCGATGAAGCCGGTTACAACTGAGGGTAGCAGCAGCAGTTACGTTAAAATTACGATACTTAAGGTAGAAAAATCGGGCTGGTCACCTAATCCTTGGCGGGCACCTCGATGACGCGCGGCTTGTCGATGATGCGAGCGGTCTTGTTGCCCTTCTCGACAATGCCAATGATCCAGGCCTGGTAGCCCTCCTGCTTCTCGATGTCCTTGCAATAGGCGGCCGCCTGTTCGCGCGGCAGGCAGATGAGCAATCCACCCGAGGTCTCGGCCGAGTGGCCCTGCAGCAGCTGGAACATGTTGCCGCAGGCCTTGGCCACCGCGGCCATCTTGGCGATCACCGGCAGATTGTGGATGACGAACGACACGTCCTTCTTCTGATGGGCGGCCAAAGTTTGAGCGTGACCGAGTAATCCGAATCCCGTGATGTCGGTGGCCCCGTGGGCATTGTACTTGTGCATGAGGCGAGCGGCCACGCGGTTCAGCCGCGACATGGAGTTCATGGCGCGATGATAGGCCTTGCGCACATCCTCCTCGGACACCACCAGCTTGATGCGGTTCCAGCGCTCCGGCTGGTCGATCCACTGGTGGGCATTCACCGCCACCTGGGTGCCCAGGGGCTTGGTCAGCACCAGGACGTCGCCTACGACGGCATTATCGGGCACAATGTACTCGTTGGGCTGGCAAATGGTCGAGGCCACGCCGCCAATGGTGCACCATGGGTTGACCACGCTCTGACCCCCAGTTACAGTGGTTCCCGCCTCCAAGGCAGAGTCCTTGAAGCCACGCATGATCAGCGGAATGACCACATCGCGCTCCTTCTCCGTCATCTTGGTGCTGACCGCCAGGAGCATCAGCATATTGTCGCAATCGGTGACTCCCATGGCGTACAAATCGCTCAGCACATTGGCGCAGGCGATCTTGCCCATCATGTAGGGATCATCGACAATGGGGTAGAAGAAATCGGTGGTCTGCACCAGGCAGAGGCCGCCGTGCCGCAGCGGAATGACGGAGCAGTCGAGACCGATGCCGATCCTCGGGATGGCCACGTTGAGGAACTGCGGCTCCTGGTCCTGGGCGGAGTAGTCCTGCTGCAGGGCGGACACCAGCTTGGAGAGCACATCCTGCGGCACCTTGCAGCCGCGTCCCTTGAGGTCAGCGAACCGGGTGAGCCGGAAGGAGGCGTCCAAATCGTGGGCCGTGGGATCGAAGGGACGACGCAGCTCCGCGTCGCCGCCGCCATGCAGCTCCAAGTGGGCCGAGTTCAGGACATCAGCGGCGTAGCTCATCTTGCTTTAGAGCTAGGGGAAGTTAAAAGAAATGCAACATAATTATTAAGTAATTAACGCACTTTTGCCGCGCAACAAAAACATAATGGTCCATTCTGCACAGCGAGTAACTCGCGTTCTCCCCGGCCACCAATACCACAGCGCTCAGACGTGTATGTACACGGATTTTCTGCCGCGTATGCGTAGCTCGGCCTGTGATTGGCTGTTGCCGCGATGGCGGCTAAAACGGGCGAAGTCAGTATTTCTCCCCGTCGGCGAGGCGAGAACGTGAACAATGCCCACTCATTTCAATTCCAAAATGCCAAAAAAGTGCGCACTTTCCATTAAACCATTTTATTGCTGGCAAATCACTTAGGCGTTTCTACTTACTTTTGCTTGTGCGTAGGTACAACGAGAATTGTATGGGGACGTGAGCAAATTTTATTTATTTTGCGCCTGGTTTTGCTTTTCCAACGAGCGAGATGTCACAACAGGGTTGCATTCGCGCGTGCGGGCGATTCGATATGCGGGCTGCCGATAGTCCATCGACAGCGATAGTTGCGCGGGGCTGCCCACTCGCTTAAAGTCTATCGATGAAATCGCGCGCAGAAGGTGAAATAAATAAATAAAAATATGTTAAATCTGCGGTATACCAGGGGAAATCCAAGTGGAAGTGGTGATTCACAGGGGGCTACTTCTTTTAGACAATCAAAATGATTGGATTCCATTCAATCCAACGATTTTAGAGCTGCCAAGAGAGTGTGGCAAAGAGCTGGAAGAGCGGTCTCTAAAAACAAAAACCTGTTGCGCCAGCAGAGCGAAAAGTAAAAGTGGTGAGGAAACCATTTACCTTTGTTCGTTGATAAGCCAAGTAAACTTAACTTCTCATCAAGGAAAAACCTAAGCATTGAAGCGGAAAAGCTAAAAACAAAGAATTTTAGCTCTCAGGAAAACAGCACCCACACAAAAGACTTAAAAAGCAAACTTGTTTTTGGGCCATGGGCTAAACTAAATTAAAACGCTGACGAAATCGCTATAAACATGATTCAGCTACGCCTGCGCAGTCTCGTTCTGCTGCATTTTATAGCCCTGGCCAGTTCGGAATATGTGTATGGCGAACCGGAGTTCAAGTGTCCCAAAAAGTAAGTTGAAATGTTATAAATATGTATATTTTATTAATAATGTTTTTAAAACAGATCGAATGTCTTGTACCCCTGCGAATGTGTAAAGGGCAGCGATAATGGTCTCTACATACGCTGTGAAAATACCAATTTGGCCACTCTTTCCGTGGCCCTACAGAATTTGGCCTCTTTTGAAATGCCCATCGAGGAGTTGACCATCTACAAGGGACATTTCGGTGGGGATCATAAATAAATTTATTATATTTATAACATTTATCATTCTTACCCTCTATATAGTACGTCTATTTGGTCCTCTGTTTGCCCACATCAAAGCGCGTTTGCTGATCATTGAAGAAACCCCACTTACCACCATTGAAGATTATGTATTCTATGGAGTGAACAATACTCTGGAGCAACTGCACCTAATCCGCACAAATCTAAGCCACGTAGGACCTCTGGGATTTGGTGTAAGAACGAAATTAACTACCCAAAAACTTGCTTATCTAAAAGAAAAATAACTTTACAGATCCTTGGAAAAACAAAGGAACTGGTAATCGATGGTCATGCCTTTGAGCAACTGCCCAAGGATCTGTTTGCTGGCCAGGAGATCGCCAATAGTCTGGGAATCATCCGGGTGACCAATGGAAACCTGAGTGATCTGCCTATAGAGACTTTCCAGCCCTTGCGAAAACTAAAAACCCTTGATTTGCATGGCAATCAGTTGGAGAACCTGAAACGCAATCAGTTCAAGAACCTAAGAGAACTAGAAGTCCTGGATATCAGTCACAACAAGATAAAAAAGCTGGAGGCACAGCATATAGCTGATCTCACGAAGATGGGGTGGTGCAATGTATCCCACAATGCGCTAAACGAACTTAGTCGCGGAACCTTTGCCAGAAACTCTGTGCTAAAAGTGCTCCATTTGTCGCACAACAATATTTCCCGACTGGATGCCAATAGTTTCAGGGGAATGCGTTTCCTGCGACGACTTTTCCTAAGTGATAATGTGCTTACCGATATTGGACGAGGTACTTTTGGTTCAATTGCCCGCATTGGAACCATAGATTTGGCACGAAATCAGCTGAAGAAAGTCGAGTACCAGATGTTTACGCAGATGAACTATGTGGAGGTGAGATATTAAATAAAATAAATATTTTTAAATTACCACTAATTGATATCTTAAATTTCAGTTGCTTGATTTGGCAGAGAACAACATAACCAAAATTGAAAAGAACTCGTTTAAGGATATTTACCAGGCTGTCATAAACGTTTCGCATAATGCTTTGGAACTCATAGAAACAGCTGCCTTTGAGAACTGTGTGAACATTACGGTTCTTGACTTGTCCCATAATCTCTTGACCAACTTTTCGCGACGCAGCTTCGATGAGACCACTTTTGCCACCTATTTTCAGCTAAGCTACAATAACTTTACCAATTTGGCGCAGGTAAGAGAATAGCTCTTTAAATTCCAAGATGGGAAATAATTTTATATTTTTCTTTACAGATTCCCCTTCAAAATATGACGGGATTGAAAGTACTGAATGCTTCGCACAACAACATAGCTGAGATACCAAAAAACTGTTTCCCGAAGCTCTACGAACTGCACACCATTGATGTTTCACACAACAACATCTCGAGCATTTTTAATGGAGTTTTTCAAACCCTCTTTTCGCTACGATCCCTTGATCTGAGTTATAATAGCATGCGGGAGATCAAGTCCTCCACTTTTGGCACTTTGCCAACGCTGTTGGAGATGAATCTCAGTCATAATGGATTGGTTAACGTAGTGCGAGGTTCACTGGCCAAGTTGACTAGCATGCGGCAGTTGTACTTGAATAACAATCAGTTGGATAAACTCTTCCAGCTGCCCATTTCCCTGAATGAACTGCATTTCAGTCATAATCTACTGAATGAAATACCGGCGAATACCTGGCCGGTAATGAACTCGCTTATCTACTTGGATCTCAGCCACAATCAACTGGGTGATAGTCTGAATGGACAAAGTTTTACGGGTCTGCTGGTCGTGCAACGTTTGAAGCTGCAGAACAATGGAATTAGCCAGCCACCATTGGAGGCAGTAGCTGTGATGTCAACACTGCAGTATTTATATTTGGAGGTGGGTAAATGCTAGGAAATTCACAAACTTTAAATATATCCTTGTTTCCCTTTAGAACAATAATATTACCACCCTCGAGCGCAGTGCCTTTGGCAAGCTGCCAGTGCTGTTTGAGTTAAATCTGTATGGAAATCAAGTCAAGGACATAAGGTAAATATCCTAAAAAATATTTGTATCATAACTATAAATAATAATATAATTTTTACCTCTTAGTAAACGAGCTTTTGAGGGTCTGCTGCAGCTGCTCACTTTAAATCTTTCGTCGAATGGTATACAGCAGCTGCAAAATGACATTTTCATTGGTCTACCCTCACTGAGAAATCTGGATTTGTCCTTTAATTACCTCACCAAATTGGACAACAAAACCAATGGCGTGCTCGATGACTTACTCAGCCTGGAAACCTTGGATTTGAGTCACAATCGTATAAGTTTCGTGACAAAGAAGACTTTTCCCTCGCATCAGTGGATTCCGTACAATCTGAGGAACCTCAACCTGAGCTACAATCAAATGCCCGTGCTTACTTATGATATTACCTTTGGTACCAAGAAGCTGTATACCTTGGATGTGTCCCACAATCAGATCAACGATCTGAGGAGAGGAGTTATCTCGAATTTCACTTCATTGCGAAGTCTGGACATGTCCTATAATGAGCTGGCAAATCTGGCATCTGAGGAGCATATTTTTGACCTTCCACAAAATCTGAGCAGCCTGGATCTGTCCCACAATCAAATCTACCATTTGCCCTTTGCCAATCTGGTGAAAGTAAGCTCTCTAAAACATGTTGATCTAACCAACAATAGTTTGGAGGATGTTCCCGCTTCGATAGTTGGCAGCATGCGAAATGGCAGCCAAGTGCTTCTTGCTGGGAATCCTCTGCATTGCGGTTGTAATCTACGTCCACTGAAGTACTTTATGCTGCAGCAAACGTCACCTGGCGAGGATTTGCAGAGTATCTACTGCAACACACCAGCTATGATCAAGGACAAGCAGCTTATCTCGCTGGAAGATGAGTATCTGCACTGCGCCGAGGACGAGCGGGAGATGTACAAGGGCTTTGACTATGAACAGCTTACAGATGTCCGTTTCCGTGAAGTGAAAACGTAAGCAGAAATTATGATTGAGTTAAATTTAAATGTTCACTTATATTATTATCATCCCTCAGCACCAAAAGTGGCCTGTTGACCTTAAGTTGGTATGTTTCCGGCACTTCAGACGTCGCCGACTTCCAAGTTTATATCCGTAGCAGCAGCAACGAGGTGCTGCACCAGTCGGATTATGCATACAACAATCGAACTGCCCAAATTCCAGTGGAAGAAATAGCGATTCTTGGAGAAGAGAAGCTGCGTGCCGCCGAGATATGCATAGTTTCCCGGGATAGCGACGGCAACACGCGCAAGTGGTTCTCCGGTCAGTGCCAGCAGCTGCCATCCCTCAAGCGTCCCCGTACCTTCTTCTTCGGAAACTTTCAGGTCAGGGGAGGAGTGTCCAGAACTTCCAGCAGTCTACCTCACTGTCTTTTGTATATAATACTCGTTTTGTTTGTGGCCCGTTTGTAGTCGGCATAGATCTATATTTTAGAGCCCTGCATGAATGGATCCAATGAATTATTTTGAATTTATTGTTTTATATGAATGAATTAATTAGAATTTTGAGTTTAATAGAATTGAATGAATTTGAATTTTGATTTTAATAGAATTCAATGAATGAATGGCATGAATTCCGAAATAATTCAAACGACAATTTCTTTAGGAGAAGAAAGGGCCATAATTTTGTGATTAAATCTGACTAAATTTTATTTACTAAGGGTTAGTACTCAACCCAACAAAAGGTCGTCCAAAACAAAAAACTTCATATGAAACCAAATTTTTTGACGTTATTTTCATATGAAGTTTTTTGTTTTGGACGACTTTTTGGTGGGTTGAGTACTAGCCCTATGCAGTTAAGATTGATTTGATTGATTTGAGCTCAAAAAAATCTGGCAAATTCAAAAAATTCAAAAAAAATATTCATTTATTCAATTCGAAATGATTTAGAAAAACATTCAATTTTTTCCACATAGAATTCATGGCATACTATGATAAAACAAAAAATGAAGACTCACGCAGGGCTCTAATCTATATTATTCTATATTCGAACTTAAAATTGTATACATTTTATATGACTTTGTTACATATTGTTACAAGCATTTTTTGATATATGTTAAGTCCCCATCGTTTTAAGTTCGAATTGATGTGATAAAATGAATCTTGAAAAGAGATCAGATTGACCTTGATCCTTGATCTCATTGTCCCTTGTGTCCTTTGTGCCTGTGTTGCTGCGGCCATGGCTCACTGTAAGGACACGCTGTGCTCTGACCTTACAGCTGAACATGTGCGCGACGCCCTATTATCACAGCCGTGCGCACATGTATTTGTTTACTTGGATGCCGCCTCGCGTGGGCAGCGCAATTCAGAAAGCGTTGGAGCCCACAGCCAACCGAACGGGCCAGCTGATGGCTGATGGCCCAGGCTGGCGGACTTTCATTCAGGGCGAAAACACAAAGGCTGTTGGCCGAGCAGCTTCGCAACGCGGCGATTCATTCTCAATTCTCGGCCTCGGCTCCTGTTTTTGCAGCGGGAGCGGATGAAAGGACTCGCCTGAGAGCCTGGCAAATGCGCACTCGCGCTCTTAGCCGAAAAGGCAAGCGAGGATTACAGTGGCGGGCGCAATTGTTGATACGGCTACAGTGCTGGCGGAACCCTAAAAGTATGCCTTGGTTTTTTAATAGAGTTGATAAAAGTAGATTAACCATAATTGATTATTACTAGTAGTAATATTAGTTTGTAGTAGTAGTTTGCTTTTTTGTTTTTTGGACTTTGTGTTGTTTGTACTTAACCTGCCCTACTAACACAATATACGTAAGTTAGTGGTCGTTATCTTAAATGTTTTTCGGTAGATCATCTAATGACTTAATTGTTTCGTATTTTTCTAAGCTCTTCAATTTTTGTAGGATACGTTTACAATATGAAATTTAAGCACTGTATCCACTTTGGTTTAGATACTTCTGCATATGATTGCCGTCTTAAAATGTGAAAATAAAGAACGAAATTTGTAGTGCCTACAACGAAGTAATTTGTAATTTAATTTATTTTATTTAATATTTGTTTTTTAGATTTTTTTTACAATCCGTTCTGTGTGATTTTTTCTACTGATGGTTTTTTAAAGGCTCTCCTTAATAGATTACTCTAGTTAAATCCATATAAAGGAATGTTTAAGGAACTGTGAGTGAGTTAACCAAAGGCGCGCCTACTTTCGAGGGCCTCCACTGTCCCCGTGGACACGAGACACTCAGGACATGTGCACTTTCACTGCCGCGCCACCCACATGCTCTCGGTTTCACTTTGGCCGCAGAAGAATGTGCTTTTGTGCCGTTCGCCTTTGCCATCCTGGCACCTCCCACCCCCCTCCCCGCCCCTCAGGATTTTGGCAGTCGACTTTGCCTATCCTTATCGATTTTCAGCGAATCTCGCAGGCTCGGCTCGGCTGTTTTTGGTCCTGTTTCCACGGCGCACGTCAGTGGCATGCGAATCGGAAAGCCAAGTTTCACTTGTCGCGCTGAGTTCGTTCGTGTCGCAGCAGCAGCAGCAGTAGCAGTCGCAGCAGCAGCAGCGAGTGTGCCGTTATTCCGTTCGTTACATAAAGAAGAGATTCCAAATAGCAAGTTTAAGTGCGCTGCTCGGTTGCGGATGGCATAAATCATTCGGCGAAGGCAGCATTGTGATAAACATTAAAAAAGCGCCGTTAAAAAACGAAAGGAGCGACCAGCGCGACCCACTAAAAAATATAGAAAACCCAATCGGAATCGAATGAAGAGAAAAGAAAAGTAATGAAATAACTAGTGACTGTGTATCTGGTATATAAAGCACTAAATACCAGAAAAAATATGAAATATTAAATGTGCCGTAACAGAGGCGTTGAAAAAAGTACCAGGTAGTCGTGGGCTCGGGAAAAAAAAGAGGAGTTCAAAGAGGACGAAGAGGAGGAGGAGAAGGCAAGACGAAAGGCAAACGAAAATGTAATAGAGGTCAAAAGAAGCATTGATTTAACGTGTGCACTTCCTCCCACTTTCACCTCCACTCCTCAGGCTTCCTCTACTTCTTCTTCTTTAGCTCCTCCTTGTTATCCTCCCACCGCCACTGTGTCCCGTTTTTCGTGCCACGACTGTGTGTACTGTGTGTGTGCGTGTCTCTCTCGCAATATATTTGCGTGTGCGTGTGCGTGACTGCTGTGTCTCTGTGTGTTATAAATAATTTGTTTAAAATTCGTCAAATCGCTTGACGTTTCATTCAATAAATTTCCTTCGCAAAGACACACATACACATACACCCTCGCACTCGCACACACACCTATGCCGCCCCGTGTGGCGCCCGTGAATCGTGTATGTATGTGCGAAAAATGTTGATGACGAACCACTTACGTCTATCGCAAAACCCACGAAACCAACGAAACCACCACAAACACAGCCGCAGCAGCTGAAAAAATCGCATGTAACACACCAATACACCCGCACACCACACACACACATAGCCCCAGGACACACGTACTGTTCAATATCCAATAAGAAACCAAGCATAATTACATAATCAAATAGAGCGACTGGCAAAAAAAAATAAATAAAAAAAAAGGACAAAAAGACAAGTGACAAACAGGAATAAATAAAATCACGAGCGACAAAAGCGGAAACCAAGAAAGCAAACTCGAAACACGGAAAATCAACGCAAAGTGCAGAATTATTTAATCAACGCCAGCCAGTCGAAATCCCTGGAAACGCCTATAAATAAAAAGGACACGCGATAAACCAAAAATAGAACGTAATGATTAAACCAAAACCAAAGTACCTGCAACAATGAAATTGAGCAAATCTTAAAAGCATAACCCAAAAAGCAAACCCAAAACTAGAGATTACTTTTAAAAATATACAAAGGACACTCGCTATATACAAAAACAGTGCTATAGATAAAACGATAAACGCTATTCGCAAATAAAAAAAAAAAAAGAAAAAAAAACGTAGTTCGTTGCCGTTTGTTCACCGCTGGAAGTTACCGATACAGCCCAAGGATATAGAGCGTAATCCCCGTTGAGATAAAGATAGAGTAATGGAACTAACCTCGTAGTTTGTAGGGAGACAAGCGTCTCTGCCCCTAGGACAGCAAAAAGAAAATTCAGAAATAACCGCAACATAAACGCACTTAACGACTAACTAAAACTACCAAGTAGTTGCCTCTCTATATACAACATATATAATATATACACCTACGAGATATATACAAGAATACTTAGCCGTAGCGACTAGATAAACGCCAGTCTGTATATCTACCTATATGGATTTATTTTTATAACGCTAAACGCTAAAGCAAAACTAGATCCCATACACCCGACCTCGACCTCTAGGCCCTTTCAAATTGCATCTGAATAAGTAACGAGGGCGATTAATGCATTAATTGGGTGGCGAAGGACGTGGCCACACGGAGTCCCGAGGAGGGATCCGGATCCTTTGCGTGTTTCTCCTGCAAGGATACAAAACACACCCAGTTCCCCAGGACACAAACGTACAGGACGAAATTAAGCTACCTGCTTTGGGTTTCCCGTGTTGCGCTGCCTTTGACGTAACTCCGCCTTAACTCGCGTCGCTTCCATTTGCCACAAAAGTAAAAAAGTGAAAGGAAAAAAACAAAATAAAAGGCGACCGCAAAGCCAAAACTGCGGTGCGTTCGTTAAACTTTCATGACCAAACATTAACTTAAGCTGGGAGGAGGAGAGCGGCTAGAGGGTTGGAAACCGGAGGGATAGCATACATTTCGGAGCAAGCAAACTGAGCTGTCATCATCAGAATCACCACAATCCCCCACGCCAGCAGCTAGTTTGTTATTTGTGATAAATAATTCAACGATCCACATCTCGGATCCCGATCCTGCCCACCCACTCACTTCAACTCCAGTTACCGTTACCGTTACAGTTATAGCTCCAGTTCCAGGACCCCCACCATCACATCTGTACACCACCAACCGAATAGCAACAATAACTATACCTTAGAGGATAAACGACATTTATAATCCAAAGTACAAAACGAATAGCCCCGAAATATCGCTGTTAACTAAAAGTAAAACAAAACCAAAAGCTAAACTATAAATAGTAACATATGGTATTATTATACACGCAACTCAAACAGATACGGAGTCATAGAGTCACATAACCTCAAAACGAGCAGGCGCATAACTAAACGAATTGAAACGAAAAGTGAGGAACGATAAGCAATACAAGCAGTGCTGTTGACTATTTTAGAGGCCACCTTTTAGATACCTTCACCCAACCTACGTTACTCAACCAAACACCTAAGAACCCACCAATATCGAATCGAAAACCTAACCTAAAAACCTAAAACCCAAAGCGACGGCGACGACGATGATGAACAGCCCCATGTGCGAGTGAGATAGCCAGCGGAAAAGGGAGAGAGCGAGTATAACACAACGAAAAGCAATTTATTTTTGTTTACGAGTCCGTGTGCCCGAGCCCTGGACTTGTATTAGTTAATGCCAAAAATCGAAGCGGAAGTTGCACCCACACCTGCACACTAGACGCACACAGTCACACATACTCAGCCGCCATGACAAGGCCAAGAATTGCAGCGGGCATTGCGGGGCCTTTCCGGCGGCAATAGCAACACCCTGAAAAAAAAACAAAAAAACGAAAGAAACAAAAACAAACGAAAAAAAGGGAAGTACCAGAAATATCCCCGAAACAACAACCACACGCTAGCGAAGGTGGCGCGAGTGGTTCGATGTGGTTCGACTTCGAGTTCGAGTGGTGCAGGTGGTGACGTGACAGCGGCGGCGTCGTGGGTCCAAGAAAATGCACGTTAAACACACTCAGCGCCGAGTCAGCGGTCCTGGAGCCTTCGGAACCTTTACCAACGATCAACGGTAGGCGTTTCCCCACTCACTTGCCATCCTTGTACTGTCCTTGTACTGTTGTTGTGCACGATGTACGTTGTACGTTGTACTGGTGTGGGAGAGGTCAGAGGTTGGCAGTCAGAGGGCAGGGTGTTTTCATCCTCATCCTTATTCTGATTTTGATTCGATCTCGATCTCCCACACCGCGTTGTACAGTTTTGAGATGAATGTATTTATGTTTCGTTTTCAATGTGATCACTGGGGTGGACCTGCATACAAAGTAAACTATGCCAAATAATATTTATAGAATAGAAATAGTCATAATTGGTTTACATTGTATAAAATAAAAAACTTGTCATACTTATCAAGACATAATATAATGATAAACATTCATATGTAAGCATTTAAATAATTTATTTTCAAAGTATTTTCAAACCAAAAATGTTTTTTTTTATCAAAAGGTGGTTATTTTGAAATGACTTTTAAATTTTGCTTAACTACAAAATTTAAAAAAAAATCCACCACGGCGTATGAGTAATATGTATTGACACCATGGCGTATGAGTTATATACAATGACCCCATGGCGTATAAGTGATTTTTTTTTTCATGTTTGAAGAGTGATAAAATCATTTGTACTATAAACCATTATAAATAAATCTTTAAGGACCCTACATTTTGAGGTCAGCGGTCCACCCTGGTAGTCCCGTTTTTTGTGTTGTTCGTTTTGTTTCGTTTCGTTCATTCCGTACCGTTATGTTCAATGTCTCTTTGTTTCGTTCTTTGTCTCTTGAGTTACCCTGTTATTGTTGTTGATGTTGTTGCTGCTGCCGCAATTGCTGTTGTTGTTGTTACTGTTCACGTTCATCTGTGTGAGTGTGTGAGTGAGAGTGAGTGAGTTGCCAAGTGCCCTTTTTTTGTTGGCCTGCTGTGAACTGATTTCCTGCTCCTGCCCCGCCCATCCACCGCCTCCCCCTTTTAAGGGGTCATCCGTCACTCCAGTCAATGCAATTACGTCGAAACTAGATTAAAAGTCAAGCCAGGCCGACAACAATGGGCAATCGCAATACGAATACAATGAATTGCATCGCTTGAGAATAGTGTCAAAGTACTTTAAGTGCAGTCGCACGCAGTGTTGCATACATTCAGGGGCCACTGTACATGTAATTGCAATCGTGTGAGTGGGCCAGTCTGTTTGTGGGTGTCTGTGTGTGTATGTGTGCGTGTGCCTCAATGAGCGGAAGCTTTCGCTTTTACTTCAATGATTAAACCACTGACCGAATTTCGACTGGCATTTGTGTGTGTTTGTATGTATCGATAAGCCGCATTCTTGTTGCCTCCCGCACACACACACACATAGCTTATTCACCGACACACACACATATACACACTCAGGATAACAGACAGAGACGGCGACAGTGAGTGAGTGAAGCAGAGGGCCCAGATAAGCTGTTCTTTTCTTTTGTGCCAAAAAGGAAGCCCGATGTTTCCAATTGAGCTAGTTCTAGTTCCACATTTCCATACACTCGACAGCAACAAAAACAAAAAACCCCCCAAACACACACATACATAGGCAGGACGACCCCCTAGTGTCTGTGTGCTTTGTGCAGTTAATTTAATTTCTTATCCCCCAAACGAATCTCATTTGAGTTATTTCCCGCTCAGTTTGTTAGTTTTCAGTTTTCCGTTTCGTTTCCTTCATTTCGTCGTTTATTATTTCCATTTTGTGAACTCGTCACGTGAATAACTTGGATTTATTTCGTGTCCTTGTCGTTGTTGTTTTGCAGAAAACTTTGCTTAAAAGTATGAAAAACGTTGAAAACAGAAAGTAAGAAAAAAGAAACCAACCAAAACTGAACCAAAAAACCAGATAAAAACCACAAACCGAAAATTTTGCAACTCACATTTGCTGTGGAGCGATCCTAGACATCATCTCTTTGAAGGTACCGCCGACCAACTTCCGAAAAATACTCCCCATACTTTCTCTCTCTATCTCTCTCTCTCTCTTTTTGTCTCTCAGTGTCTCTGCCTCTCTCTCTAATATATAGATCGTAGTCTCTGTATGGTACTTCTCCACTACTACTACTAATACTAACTACTTAACGTTACAATAACAACTGCAACACTGATATAAGATAAAAACACACATTTAATGCTACTAACTTTTCTGCTCGTTATTAGAAAACCACCCCCACCACCCCTTCTACCCTCCACCTGCAAGTTCTTAACTTTTGAGCTTCACCATTTTCTGGCTGCAAACAGAAAGTAAATTCATTAACTTTGATGCACTTTGCTAACTTGCCCGTTCGAAAAGAGTTTCGAATGCATCGCTTTAATGACTTTTTTCCCACCGTTCCCATTCTGAATGCTTAAGATCTTTAGTAACCCCGATTCCCATATATCACACACAAGTCGAATCAAAATTTATTTACAATTGGCATGTCAAATGGTTGTGATGTAGCATTTCTTTGTTTGTTGACTCCACTGATTTCCCTAACCAACCCCCAACTTTGCCCCCCGCAAGCCTGATTTATTAATTGCTCGGCTGTCGTTATAATTAATGGATAATTTGGCTGAATTCTGGTTAGCCGAAAATCGTGTTATTTATAGTTGAGCTAAGCTCTCATCGAGTTCTGTGTTCTGTGTTCATTTGCCCGTCTGACCAGCCGGAAATCTTTTGAAGTCAAAATTTAATTACTGCCTGTGCAGTGTATTTAAAATGGAATGGCATTTCCATACAAACGACATTGGATGAACCATTCGTAGCCTCTGTTTGTTATTGCGATGACCTTAAATGGGCCCAAACCGGAGAGTTTTCGAATGGCAAGGTCGTTTCGGAATCGTTCTTTCGATAAGGGAATTTTTTACAATAGAGAAATAGAAACAAAAACCATAAAATACAATAAAATATACGTTCTTCCCTAATTTACATTTCTTGAATTTGTTTAAGGAAAGTCGTAATCATCTAATTTATATTGCCTTTATGTTCTGATTCACTTTCCTTTATACAAAGAAGAAATCGTTAATATATATTTGATCAAATAAAATCCGCCCGACTGAACTGCCTCTGTAAATTGGCGCAATGGTAAACATTTGTGCACTAAAAATGGAAATTTTCGTAATTTGTTTACACGGAAATGTGTATCGAGTGGCATGTTTGGCAATTTGCTTTCAATTTTGTTTGATTTTGCTGGCGTTGGCAATTCGGTTCATGAGCAATAAAATGCATATTGAACGTTTTCCAAAATATTCCGGACCAGAGGCAATATCAAAAAATAGTTCAAGCGGTCAGCTTGAGTGTTCCAAAGTTCAAGACCGCAAAGAATATTCCACATTTGATGGGGTTCAGGGAAATTAGAACGTGGCGTGGCACATTTACATCTCCATTAAGACAAGTAGATCGATTGTAAATATAGTTGTGAATCCCCCCGTTTCGGGGGCTCACAGCTGCACTTGATTTAATATCGATGAACGAAGTGGAATGCAGGCAGGCAGCGACTCAATTACGTACGCCTTACGAATTTACGCTTAATGCCTTCAATTGGCTTTTGAATTATTAATTGAGGCACATTGTGTCTCAGTCGCGGGGCGGAGGGCCAGTGGCGATTTCGATGGCGGAAACCTGCTCCGCCAGACTCGTTTGGCCCCCAAATCCGAAGCTCTCGAGGATGGGGCGGCACATGCTACGATCTCCAGGGCTAATCCCCTGCCTAAAGGGCCACTCCAATGCGCCAAAGTTGACATTGGACATGGGCAGCACAAAGAGGCTACACGGAAAGAAATTATTAAGAAATAGTCTTGGTAACAGAGGAGGAGTTGGGAAATATATGTATGTAGCATAGCAACTAGAGATGCCTTTCTTTTTCATATTAGTAGATAGATAAAGCTTAAGATCAGAATCACAATAATATTGTTAAATTAATAATGAAATTATACATTTTTCTTGACAATTCATGGCCTTATGATATAGGACCGTGTAGATAGTTGAGGGTAAACTTTATAAAATTACTAAACAGAATATGCTAAGTTCATAAATACTTGTTTGTACAATAATAGTATTTTATGATGATATAGGGATGGAGTTATAGATCTTTAAAAATAGATAGATTTCTTATACGAACTTTAAGATAAAACAGATATGATATCTTATGGCCATATGATATAGGACCTTATAAATATTTGAGGGAAAACTTTATTATATTGGGATATAATTAAATTACTAAATAGAATATGCTAAATTCAAAAATATATTTTTTGTACAATAATAGTTTTTTATGATGATGGAATTATAGATCTTTAAAAATATATAGAGTTCTTATACGATCTTAAAGATACAACAGATACGATGACCATTATTATGGTAATAAAATAGTTCCTCAAATATATTTCTCCCAGTGCCGACAAGGTTGTCTTATTAGTTTGCTTAGCCCGAAAAGCTGGGCCCCGAAAGTTTGGCAAAGGGGCAAGGGCCACTTTTGACTGCAGCACTTGACAGGTGGCAAACACTCGATGCCGAGATGAAAAAGCCATCAGATAGGAGCCCCAGGCGCTGGAATTCCCCCGGGCTCTCGAAGCTTTCGCTTTGATTTCGGGTCTGATTTTGGCCCATCCCCATCGAAAGTGACTTTCGGGCAGATTAGGTCCGAGATTGCCAAAGGGGCCGCCACTCGGCAGCGGATGTGGATGTGCGATTGTATCTCGTTCGGTATCTGTGAAGTGCACACTCATCGGCTGAGCATTAGCGTGCAAATATTTGACATATTTACTTGTATTTGAACAAATGCCGATTTGATTCAAAATCCAATTCCGATTCCGATTCGGATTCGCATTCAAGTTTGAATCAAAATCAGAATCAGAATTGGTATAATTGCGCCACTGGCGTGAGGAAGGCTGCCTCTGCCTAATTGACCGAAATTGATTCGAGTCGATTCCGGGGCCTGGGAAATGCTGCTCTGTTTGCTCTGCACCATTTTCATGGGGAAGCCCTCTACTACTCCCCCCTCCCCACCCATTTTTCGCACTCAACTGGGAGCTGGGAATTTGAATCGGAATCGGAAAAGTTCGATGCACGCACACCGAGAATAGGGCTTCAATTGTTTTCCCTTTGTTCGGGGAATCAGGGGGCCTATCAGCTATGTCAATAATAGTTTGCCTCACGTTTGGTAGCTTTGATTGCTTAAAGGCACAGTGGGTCATAGTGCCATATTTAGCCATAAATAACTATAAAAGATAAGATATTTAAAAAGGGAAAATGAAGCTACTGAAATAACGGTTAGACACAAAAATCTAAAAATAAAACCGAAATTCGAAAACTAATTTAAGCCTGCCCACTAATATAAACTTTCTTTAGTAGTTCCCAAAAAAAAATCAAATATTTAAAAAGGGAAAATAAAGCTACTAAAATAAAGCTAGTCCGAAATTCGGAAATAATTTAAGCCTGTTTTCTAATAGAAATTTTCTTTAGTAGTTCCCAAAAATGCCAAATGGCACAGTGGGTCAACTCTCATTCCCCTATCATTTGTAAATAACCCATCCAGCTTCCGCTTTTTGGCCCCACCGTATCTGCTTTTTGCTCCCACGCCTTATCAGCCGTGTCCGTCTGTCGCAGCCTTATCTTATCTTGGCCCATTTGCTCATTTGATTTAGGGCACTTCCGCCGCCCACCGTGCGGAATGGTTTTCAGTACCATCTGGGCACGCGTTCCCAGCCATATATATATCTCTCTACCCCTATCTCCCATATACCGACCCGGTGTGTATCTGTATCCCTATCTGTATCTAGTTGTTACCGCTTGTGTATCTGTATCTGTATCTGTATCTGTACCTCTATCAGTGCTTGGCCTGCGTGCCGCCATACATTAATTTAGTTGAATTTTTCGCGCGATCAGAAACCAGATGAGCATGTCAACCATTGTATATAGATGTCTCTATAAATTGTATCACACATCGCGGTCACGATGGGCACTCGATATAGGGGATTCTACTTTTATTAATCTGAAAATTAAAACTAAACTAATCTTGCATTTATCTTTGTAATATCAGCAGCTTAAGTCACTTTTTATCTAATATTCTTGATGAAAATCAAAACTAAATTCATCTTACATTTATCTTAAAAATATCCCCATTAAAAACGGCTTAAATAATATTTCTTAACAGCTTAAGTCACTTTTTATCTAATATTCTAGTTGATGTCACGATTAAAGCCGCTTGAATCAATTTGAAAGTAATGATCACGCTTCATCTAATATTTTTACGAAAGTCACGAGACTTGTTGAGTCAGTAATTTCTAGATTAAGTCATACTTTATCTTTTCTTAGCCGTTAAAAATCTGTAATATAAATCCGTACTTATGTATCCTACTATATCAAGTGTTCTCTGTGCGATGAACTCACAAAACAAGCCGGGAATGCGATACTCCTCCACCTCTAACAACCCCCTTACCCCTCACATGTTGCACAATCAATATTTATAATTAAGAATTTTCTTTGTTTGTCTCGCGGTTTTCCACTCACTCGCACACACTCTCTGTGCTTCCTGAACCTCCGATGCTTGCTTGCCAATTTGAAATAGATAAATTTGAGTGTTTGCCAGCGCCGCTGGGCATTTACATTTTGCTTTTGAAACCCGGTACTCATTGAAGTCTCCTCTTTTATTCCTCACCGACTGCTCCTCCATCAGTGCGAGTCGCGACAACTTGTGCCCGGATAGCCAGCAGCATCAGCAGCAGCGGCACTCGCACTCCCATCAGCACTTGGTGCGCCAGTCTCTGGTGAGTCTCAGCAACGGCCAGCCGGCGGACAGCGTATCGCTGCTGCGGGCGGGCGATGATCAGCATTTGCAGCAGCAGCAACATCAGCAGCAACAGCAACATCAGCAGCAGCAGCAACATCTGCAACGACAGCGCAGCAGTCGGCTCTCCACGAGCGGCATCTCCAAGCAGAATTCCGGGGACAGCAGGAGCGGCCTGCGAATCCTCGACAGCAGCCACAGTCCCGTCAGCTGCGGCACCCAGAGCGTCTCCAGCACCGGTGGCCAGTCGGCGCTCTACGATGCCTGCCACGAGTACTCCAGGAGCTTGAGTGCAGCGGCCGCTGAAGGAGCTCAGGGGCTGCTCAAGGGCCACCACTACAGTGACCAGCAGTTGGCCCAGCCGGAGCCGGAGCCAGAACCGGATCCGGAAAGGGATAGGGATCGAGATAGAGAGCGACGCCACCTGACCAACCTCAATCTCAACCTAAACAGCGAGTACGACTACAGTGGCAGCGACAAGCAGCAACTGGTCAACGAGACGTACATCTTCAAGTGCATCGCCAACAGTCCCTCGTTCCTGCGCACCAACAAGATCAAGGAGCAGTCCAAGAAGCTGCGCAATCTCTCCCTGAAAACGCGCACGGCCAAGAAGAAGGGTCAGATTATCTCCAAGTCGAACGCCGTGTCGGATAATTCGCTGCATCCGGGTGATAAGTACCTGAACTTGTATCTGGTGGAGAAGAAGCACTCGCTGCAGCCGCAGGTGGCCTCCAGTTCCAGTCCTCATCCGCCGCAGGCCTCCTCGGCGCCGGCCAGCTCCTCATCCACCTGCTCGCGGGCACCGCAGTTGCCTGCCTTGTCCGCTGTTGCAGCGCGGCAGCAACAGTTGCTGCTCAACGGTTCGCTGAAGGGCAGGCAAAGGGGATCGGTGAGGAGCGAGAGTGGAAGCGGGAGCAGCCACACCATTCCGGCGACGGGCAAGAGTCCGCCGGTGCCGCACTCGCTGGCGGCCAAGATCAGCGGAAGCTCGGCCAGCGGCAGCAAGAACTGCAATTTGCTCAGCGCCAGCAGCAACTCATGCCACAAGCTGCATGCCCAAGCCCAAGGAACGGGAGCAGGATCAGGATCAGGATCAGGACACGCGGCGGCCGCTTCGCCCAAGAGCTCGGTCAGCAGCAACGGGCATCTGAACAAGTACTGCCTCACCGATCTCACGCGCCGCAAGGCCGAGTTCAATCGCCAGCTGAGCGCCCCCACGGACTACACGCACCACTCCTCCAGCAACGGATCCCAGCAGGAGGGCTCCTCGGAGGCCAACGAGGGCCACGAGCCGGTGGGCGAGTCCACCATCACCGTTGCCAGCGCAGGGGTCTCGTATCCGCATCCGTACTCGTATCCCCACTACCACCACCACGCCGCCTCCTCCTCGGCCACTGCGCCCGCCAATCTCAAGGCGTCGCTGCAGCTGCACAGCTTCGGGGGCCACCATCCGTGTCCTTATCCGGCCAGGCCCACGTCCACCTCGTGCACCAACAGCTTCAACCGGCGACACATTCGGCGGCACAAGAGCAAGCTCGGCGATCGGTGAGTACAAGTACACGGAGAGAAAAATATTCTTTTTTAATTTAATACTTAACTGGAGTATAAATTGGGATGCGGTAGCATTACTGCACCGAAAAAAATGATCATATAAACTAAACTATTTGAAAATTAAATCCAAACTATTGATTTTCAAATATATTTTAATCAGATGAGTATTTAATTAATACTTTCGCCAGTTAAGTATAAACATTAATACTACAGAGTTCAAATTTTATATTATTCAGACGTAATTCAATACCACACTTTTATTCTGGGCCTAAAATATTTTTAATACAAATAATTCTTGATAAATTATTGTTTTTTTTTTTTGGGTGAAGTTTAAATTAATTTTTGCATCATTCCTTTATTATTTTAACAATTTTGTAAATTGGAATATAATTTAAGAAGTGCTTTTTTTAAAGCCTATTTTTTAAATTTTGAATATTTTTTTTAGTGTCTTCAATATGTTTGTTTAAGATTTAAGTTTCTAAAAGGTATTTCTATTAAACAAATCACCATCATAAATTTCCAATGCAATCAACCCGGAAATTCAAAAGATTAGTATTTATTATAATTTTACTTATCAAGAACCAAGTTATTTTCAAGCAAACACAATAATCTAAATAGTTTGTTACAATGTTAATAATAGCCCCAGTCATAATTGAAATAATTACTCTTTCTATGGGAATACAGCCAAGAATTTGCATTAATAAAATACAAAAAAAAAAAACACAAAAACATTCCTAAAATAAGAAGTCAATAAATAAAAGGGGATTTCTGAGTCTACAACGACCTTTTCCTCTGTCTACCCAATTCCCCGAAAAGAGAGCGATCCGATCCATTCAAGACATTACCCCAGCTTACAAGTGGGAATTACGCGTATGCAAAGCGTCTGGCCGTCTCTTACCGGTTTTTTTGAGTGCTTTTGTTCGCTCTGCTTATCGCCGGGCATTTGCATAATTCCATCGTCGCAGACCGAGATTCCCACTCCGACCTGCCTTTCGTCTCAGTTCGCGCAATAAACTTCTAATGGTCGTCGAGCAGTGAACTCCACATTTGAGCGGATCGAAAGTTAAAACGCCAAAAATCAAGGGGTTCAAAATTCTTCAATCGGTGTGTGTTAAGTGTTTTTATTTAAAAAAATTAAGAAAATATAATTTGATAAATTTCCAAAGAATTTTAAAAAGCGATAAGAGAATAAAAAAACTCTGGCAAGGTTAAACGTGCCTTGAAATAACTTAAAAACTTCCAATGCTTCAAGTTGCCTAAGTAAATATCAAAAATTTACATTTCTCTGCTGTCGTTTTAATTTCAAGCTTTGAATAATCTTGTTGAAAATGGGACCCTCTTGAACAATCGTCTGTCATTGTGTGATTGCAAATCGTAATTGAATCGATAAACGCGCTTTCGAGATATGGGCGGCCAAACGGAAAAGCGACGCGGAAAAGCGGATCCATTATCAGTTTGATTGTGAGGGATAAAGTAAACAACGCTTCAATCGGTCCGTGTGAATAGCATAATTCCATAATTTGTCGACAAATTGAGACCGAGATCTAGACCCAGACCTGGATGCTTCCTCCTTCCACGACCAGTGATATCAAAACCGAACCGAATCCCCCGGAGAATAGAATACATTTGCATAAAATCCAGACACATTTCGCGGATCATTTGTTTATGTTCCATTCGCTGTTTACTGTTTTCGGATAGTTTTCGCCCGTTTTATCGACTCGTGTACATTGTTGTATTGTGTGTGGTGTGGTTTTATTGGCATCAATTTTTGTGAAGACAGCCCGGCCAGGCAGCGAATTACAAGCAGCCATAATTTGCGTCGTCGGTCGTCGCGAAATCAATTAAAAGGCAGCACAAATTCGTTATTTATTTATTGTGCAACGGCCGCGGGGTTCAGAACAGGTTATCAAGTCGCCGCAGCATCAGCAGCAGCTTAATAAAAGTCTGGCAAAAAAAATAGTAGTAGAGAAACGGAAAAGAAAAAAGATAGAAAAACAAAGATACAAACCAGCGTCAAGTGCACGGTGTCAATATCTCAATTATTTAATTAGGCAATTGCCAGCCAATTTCGGGCTATATCTTTTTCCCCCTTCTCGGAAGCAAACTGCAATTCCTGAAGCAATTGATATTCGAGGTAGGAACAAGCACAGAAAGTAAAAATAAAGAATATACGATCTACAATACCCACCCACCCCTCTTTTGGGGTCTCGAGGACGTCCCGAACCGACCCGATTCGATTCGTTCCGATTTCAATTCCGAAAAGAGCTACGAAGCCACGACGATCTGGTCTCGTTTTCGTTTTCGGAGTGTTTGCCGGCGATTTGCAGGCGGTTTGCGAGCGGCAACCGCTAGTCGCAAAAAGTTTGCCGCTGTAATCACTCCAAGTACCCGGTTCTACTCTATATAGCGCCGCACTTCTCCAATTCTCCGTTCTGTTTGTGAGTCGAGTCATCAAATCAGCGAAAAACATCTGCTCCAGCACGTTTCCCAGTTGCCAAGGGATAGTTCTATTTTATAGATGCAAAAAGCATCTAACAAAAATACTGTGAAGTGTACCGAAGTGAGATAAATTTCAAAACCACAATTAAGAAATGTACCCATCAAAAGTGATTCGATTTGATTTGTGTAATGCAATAGTCGGTTTGGCGGTTGGTGAGCCGAGCCACCATAACAATAACTAATAAATTCATTAGGCTAATGCCAATGGCGGCCAAGATTAAATTAAATCAGCTTCATCAGGCTTAATTAAAACGAAACTTTCCCATTTAAAAGTACACTCAATTGAGTGTGAACAGGCGAAAGAGAGCGGTAATAATAGAAGCACAGACACAATTACGAAAAGTATTATAAATATCAGTACGAGTAACCGTGACGCGAAAGCCGAAACCGAAACTGAAAACGAAACCAACGTAACCACGAGCACGCGTCTTTAACAATAGGAATAGGTCCGCCGTGAACGTGAATAATATCCGTACCACGCGATTTGTCGTTCAGTGTTCGGTGTTCGGTATTTAGTATTTTAGTGCCCTCAGTGTGTTTGCTGCTCCAAAAAAAACGCTAGTGATAATAAAAACATACAAAATACCTAGAGGGGCAGGCTGCCCACAGGGGGATTCCAGTCCAGTTTCCAGTTTCTCGGGCTGCCGCCCCGGAAAACCTTGACAATCACCATCTAGCGGGCAAGGTGAGGGCAGCAGCCGTCGCTCCGATTCAACCTGCATTGTGCGTGTGCCGCAATTAAAAATAAACAAAAATATAGCAGAAAAACTGGATAGTTTCGCAGATCGAAAGTTGGAATACCCTGCAGGGAAATCAATTAAGTTTATGTCGTAAAGTGAGCATTTACTGGACTTTGAAATCGTTTGGCTAATTATCTTCAAGATAGAAAATAGATAAAATAGATAGAAAATACGATCTAAATTAAAAAGAATCGTTTGGGAACTTAAGATCAATATGAGATAAATGCGTATAAGCGGTTGCTATAAATACAATATCCATTAAGATTTTTATGTTGGCTTAAAAGTTTTCTAAAGACTAGGATTTTTAGAAATATTAGATAAAGCGTTTAGGATTTTTAAACAAATGAACTATATTCAGTTTAAAACGTTTTTTTCAGTTTTAAAAATGGCCCTATACATTTTAGGTGTAATCTGTATATTAATTTAAAAAATTTTAGGTCGAGTGTTAAGAACCTTTAAACTAATGAAATATATTCATATCAATATTCCTCTTAACTCTCTCAAAAAAAAACTTTAAAAAACATTAAATTCAACAATAAAAAAATTTAAAAAGATACCAAAAACTGTAGCACCCACAAGAAGCGTATACGTAATCAATAAAACCGGTGCGTTTACCGCCAGCCGACCATCCCGCCCACCTTGACACCCCATCTGCGTAGTTTCACTTTCATTTTAGGCGCATAATTTTCGTGTAACGGAATTTTTTGAGGCAGCACTTCCGTGTTCACAGACTGCGATCTCTGATCCGATCTTTCCAATGCCATTTCAGACTGCTGAGCGGGGATAGTGAGGAATCGGTACGCTGCTCCTACTGCTCGGTGCTGAATGTGAACGAGAACGACCTGCGCATTTCGTTCGAGAACACCTGCACCGACTCGCTGGTCACCGCTTTCGATGATGAGGCCCTGCTAATATGCGACCAAGGAACCGAAATGGCAAGGACAAAGGTTTTATATGTACTACTAGGACGGGACATAAAGCGATCCTTATAATTGCTAGACTCTGACCTTGACTGCTAACCAGGCAATTTGTTTGGAACCTCTTAAAGACTAATGAGATTCTAATCCCCACCCACAGGTACACTTTGATGACGTGTCGTTGTACGGCACTCCGAAAGAGGAGCCCATGCCCAACATACCGATCGTTTCGGAAAAAGTCTCTGCGAATTTCCTAAAAAGTCAATTGCAATCATGGTTCCAGCCGACGGACAACCGACTGGCCATGAAACTGTTTGGCAGCCGAAAGGCACTGGTCAAGGAGCGCATACGTCAGAAAACTTCCGGGCATTGGGTCATACACCCGTGCAGTTCATTCAGGTGGGTTTTGGTTATTAAAAAATAAATAAGATACTTAAGAAATCCCCTTTTTCTATAGGTTTTACTGGGACCTTTGCATGCTTTTATTATTAGTAGCAAATCTTATTATCCTGCCAGTCGCAATATCATTCTTCAACGATGATCTGAGCACACGATGGATTGCCTTCAACTGCCTAAGTGATACTATTTTTTTAATAGATATTGTAGTCAATTTTAGAACAGGTAATGCACACACTAAACCGAGCCAACTAACTAACAACAAAAAACCCCCTTCCGAACCCAAAACCCCTTCCAAAAAAAATAAATCTGGTACCCATAATTACTGCGAACCCCCATGCTTAACCGACAAAACATTTTCGACCGAATATATGATTTCAGGAATTATGCAACAAGACAACGCTGAACAAGTAATATTGGATCCAAAGCTTATAGCTAAACACTATTTAAGAACTTGGTTTTTTCTCGATTTGATTTCGTCGATACCGCTAGATTATATATTTTTAATTTTCAATCAAGTAAGTCAATGTATTTAAGAAACAGTACGCAACATTTTAATTTAAGATTATGAAATTGCAGGATTTCTCTGATTCTTTTCAAATCTTACATGCCGGACGAGCCCTGCGCATCCTGCGCCTGGCCAAGCTGCTCTCCCTGGTGCGACTGCTCCGCCTTTCCCGCCTCGTGCGCTACGTGTCCCAATGGGAGGAGGTCTATGTGAGTACACCCGGCTCATTTTGGCAACGCTCGATTGTTTAGTTCCTTTAGTTTCGTTTCGTTTCGTTACCGTTTCATCTTTAGTTTGCATAACAAAGTACTTACTGCCCCTGGTTTTCAGTTTTACGACACATTTGTACGATATATACACAGAAAAGATGATATTATATTTAAATATGTAAATCATTCCGACCCTTTTGATGTAGTATAATTTAAAATACCTATTCAGAACTGATGAGAAATAATGAATCCCCAAAACTTAAAAAATAACTGTCTCTCAAGTTCAAATATTTTTTTTACATTTTTTCTGTGTATATATTTGTTACCGTCTTCCGTTTCGTCATTACCTTTTCCGTTTTACTCCAGGGATCCTTGGTCCCTGAGCTACCCCCTCTTCAGTTCCAATTTCCCTTTCGTTTGCTCCAAATTCTCGACCGTAAGATCAGCATAAATACTCGTTCACTCCACTCCACAAAAACAGATTCGAGGATCTAGGTTATATCTAGGCAACTGCAGTTAGGCTCAGCACAGTGGTCAGTGGTCAGTGGTCAGTGGTCAGGGGAGTATTTTAACGGTATATCCCCGAAGTGCTCACTTTTCTTTGTTACATGTGTACGTACATGTGTGTGGCATTAAAAGTACTTTAATTGTGGATGGCGCGCAGAAATGTTCAAACTATGTATTTTCTTTGAGTTGTTATATCTGGAACCTCTGTGTCTATGATTTCCGTTAAACGTTTAAATCCTTTGCGTTCGATTACCAATCGTTTTGTTTACCAAGTATGATATACCTCCTCCTCAAACCTATGTGTGTCTATAAAGTCAATCAAAAAAAAAACATAGAACCAGACAATCGCTGTACCATAAGCCAACTCAGTTTGTACATTATACAGTTTTGTGACCCCCGATGTTTGTTTCGTGTTGTGCGCCTGCTGCGCTTCGGGTCCACCAGACCAGATCCAGAATAATCCCCCAGGCCGATTACTGCAAGAACATACAGACCTATCTCTCACACCCACACACACACCCGACATATTCGCAACACACACTCAAATCGAATCGAAAATGTATACCAACATATATATATTTTTTTTTGGGTTTTTCTCAAACCATCTGACGCGCTCGCTAAGCTTGAGAACTCGTTTCACTTGTGCCGCGGGAAGATTCCTTTGCTTTCTTTCACATTTCTTCAGTTGAGTCTACGATTTATCGCTGTTTTGTTGTTCTGATATTCTATATTCGATTTCCTATTCATTTTCTTGCCGACTTTGAAGCACTCAAATCGATATTCTTCATTGCACTTTGTACAACTCTTTGAACTTCTTTGAAGGCATTTCCGCAACTCAAGGGTTGGGGAATGTTTTTACCCTATATCTCTATCCAAAAATCAGAATTCCCACTCCCACTTCCCTTAGTTCCCACCCCCTACCCACACCACATCCCTGAGATACGTACAGCTCCTTTAGACCTTTGTAAGACATTGCCTAAAATTGGAAACCACCGTATATTATGATTTATGTTTATTTTGTTTTTGATGCGCTCAACTTAAGCGATGAAAAGAAAAGTATTCTGCTAAATGCGACTAACAAACTAATGATGCTTATGAAAATCGGTTCAAGAACAACCAACAAAACAAAAATAAAATAAACAAAACAATACAAAAATCCAACCTAGCTGAATCAGGGCCTAAAATACATGTGTATATATGGTTTTTAGATTCTGCAGAATCTACAGAAAAAAAGTGCTGATCGCAGAGGGAGAATGAACAGAAAAGACAAAGATGGCTTGACAAAAAGCAACCTAATTCTCAAGGTAAACCATCCAATAAAAAGTAACAACCCAAAAATCAAAATCAACAACACAACAACTTCAGTATATATTGAAAAACAAAAACCAAAAGCCTTGATTGATTGATTGAAATTATGATTATGTATTATTGGTGCAGCATAACTCACTTTTTGAGGAATGTTTAAGCCAAAATTGAGTTTTAGTGCATAATTTCGTTCGATTGTTCGTTCGTTCGATTGTTCGTTGATCATGTTTGCTTGATTTTAATGTTCGTTCGTTCGTACGTTCTGTAAATTTTCTAAGACTGCCTTTTTTACATATTGATTGATTGATTGATTGATATTGCCATACATAATCTCTATTTCTCATTTGATGCATAATGAAAATCTCGTTGAAACGATTAAGAAGAAGAGAGTCTAGCCCAAAAGCAGCCAACGAAAAAACATGTTTTTCATTTACAAATCTTCGGTGCGAAATCGAAGCTCTTTTCATGCTCTTCACACGACGTAGAATCAGTCAAAAGGATAATGTAATATATTTCGCTAGATTCCGTAGATTTTGACTCCATGCATGAGCATGATCGGAAATCCTATCGTACCGCTATATCTATCAATGTGAACCGCAGATTAGCTGGGTTAGATACATATCGCTGCGAAGAGCATGAAAACGCCACAGATCTCAGGATATATTACGGATTTGAAGTGTATAGTGTGTTGAATGCTTTTTGCTTTAAAGAGACGAAGCAGCACAGTTCCAAATAATACCACTGTAAAAACACCAACAAATCTGCACTATACTATATAGTATGGCTGATGCTGCTTTCGCTTTAGGTTTTAGGTACTAGATCCGCCGGACACAAAGACACACATTCAATATAGTCAATCGATCTGAAGCAGGAAAACTGATCCAACGACCAATCAGATCGAACACGAACACTGTACTATATATAGCCACATACTACTCGTATTCTATAGCATACATTTGTGGGCCCGTGCCAAACGCTTTCCACATATCCTAACCTATATCGTATCTATCGTACTCAACTTAACCTCACTTTGATTGACACTCTGTTCAATGCTTTCTGCTTTTGTGCTGCGCGCTTTCCGCTCGAACTCTCTCTTGCTCTCTCTCCAACTACACAGAGAAAAAAAGTTTATTACGGATTATTCAATATGATTTTAATAAAATTAAATTAGTACTTACAATTTTTTAAATACTTTGCATTTTTAAATGACATAATTTAAGATCCTGCCAATCTGTAATGATATATTTCTCTGTGTAAAAATACAACTCTTTTTTGCTGCCTCTGCTACCGTTAATTGTTGTTTGGTTACTGTTACTGGTTTGGTTTTGGTTTCTCTGATTTTTTATTTTCTCAGCCTCCTCTTCCTCTTCTGTTGTACAAAAGATTTCAGCAGGAGTGCGAAAACAAAATGAGTGACACCCACACACACACATGTACACGCACACACGCAGCTACAGCCACTGAATTCTTGAATGCAACTACCGTTATTTTATTATCTCAATACCGCTCCCTTGCTCTCTCTTTCTCTCTACCTTACTCTCAAGCTCTCTGTTCCTGCTCTTGCTGTATGTTTTCGTTTACCGTTCGTTTAATTTCCGTTCATTTCTTGTGTACAGTTCCGTTGGTTTGTTTACCGTTCCTTTACCCGATTTACGTAGTTCAATTACAATTACTAACAACTGCGAAAGTCAGACAAACAAAAACGCTTTCATTGTAAAATACGAGTTTCGATTTCGATATTTTGAACGTTTGAACGGCTTAGTGTCCATAATTATGTTTAACAAACGTAAAACAAAACAAACAAAAAATGAAAAAAAAACAAACAAAAGTAAAGATGAGCACTTGTACCATAATCTAGAAGCTGATTTTGCACCTATTCGAATTGTAGAAATGGTTTGAATTTGAATTTGAATTGATTGAGTTTTGAATTGATTGCTCAGGTTGTACACTGTACACAAAAGTACACCCAGTACACCGGACACTGTTGTATTGCCTAACACTAGACTAATCTTATCTTATTTTATCTTATCGGATGTACTACGTATGGTACATCGCCTCCGAACCGCTCTGCTCCGATCCGATCCGAAGATCTGGAGACCGAGGATTACGAGTATGCAACGGATAGCATACTTATCGGGCAGAGTGGGGGAGATTGAGTAATTTCTTGTTTAATGGCTGTGGTTTGGTTTTATTTTAGTTGCTTTGATTGGCATATCGCAATAACTGTTATATTTACTACCGGTAGCTGGAAACGCCAAAGATGTCACCAAGTTGCAAATAAATTTTTCCAAGTTCCAAGTTTCATTTCCTCGTTTGGGTTTTCTTTCTCTCGTTTACTTGAGACATTTGGTTTTATATATGTGGAATTCACACCCATATGTAACACACGCATACACACTTGAAAACACCCACACATGGACACAGACACAGACACACACACATATACACAAACACACACACACGAGCGGTGTTGGGCCTTGCTTGATGAGCACCCTTTTTGATTGAACTCTCTGGTTGCAGTTCCTCAATATGGCCTCGGTCTTCATGAGGATCTTCAATTTAATTTGCATGATGCTCCTGATCGGCCATTGGAGTGGTTGCTTGCAGTTCTTAGTGCCAATGTTGCAGGGTTTTCCATCCAACTCCTGGGTCTCCATCAACGAGTTGCAGGTCGGTCCAGATCGGTAAAATCCCCTTTAGCTGGTATAGGCTATCTAAATGGGCTGTTCCATTACAGGAATCGTACTGGCTGGAGCAGTATTCGTGGGCATTATTCAAAGCCATGTCGCACATGCTATGCATAGGCTACGGCAGGTGAGTTATTGCCTCTATCTACTTGGTTTACCGGTTAAACGCCCCATTTACTACTGTCCCTATCTACTCTTTGTTTGAAATTACCTTTGTAAGGCCTAAGAATTACCTTTATTTTAACCAATTACTGTAGCAATAATAGATTATTAAGTTATTTTCACAATCTCCTTGGATTACTGGTTAAGCTCTCAATTTACAACTGTCCCTATCTACTCTTTGTTTGAAACGACTCTTTAAAGGTCTAAGAATTATCTTTACTTTAACAAATTACACTAGCAACGGTATAAGTTATGAATTTATTTTCCCTATCTTCTTGAATTGCTGGTAATCCAACCCAATTTACTACTGTCCGTATCTACTTTTTAATTTAAAAGTCTAAGAAAGACCTTCAATTCAAAAAAATCACACTAGCAATAGATTAATATTTGGAATCTTTGTACAACGTTTCTAACTTATTTTGCTTCTTATTAAAACCCCTGTTCTCTTCCCCCAGATTCCCACCTCAATCACTGACAGACATGTGGCTAACGATGCTGTCGATGATATCCGGGGCCACCTGCTACGCATTGTTCCTCGGCCACGCGACCAATCTCATCCAGAGCTTGGACTCCAGCCGGCGCCAGTATCGCGAGAAGGTCAAACAGGTGGAGGAGTATATGGCCTATCGCAAGTTACCGCGCGACATGCGACAGCGCATCACGGAATACTTCGAGCATCGGTACCAGGGTAAATTCTTCGATGAAGAGTTGATACTTGGCGAGTTGAGCGAGAAATTGCGCGAGGATGTCATCAACTACAACTGCAGGTGGGCGATCTGTCACTATTCAGTGATTTTTCAAATGTTTCTTCTTTCAGCCGTTAATCGTAGTATAGTAGTATACTGTAGGATTAGTAATTTTCATATATATCTTGAATTATAACTAATAAAACTTTTATTATTCTACAGATCCCTCGTGGCGTCAGTGCCTTTTTTTGCTAATGCCGATTCGAATTTCGTTTCCGACGTAGTTACCAAACTGAAATACGAAGTTTTCCAACCAGGCAAGTGTTTCCATTTCTTGAATTATTAACTGTTAATTAAAGTAATTATTTTTCTGTCTCTTTCAGGTGATATTATCATAAAGGAGGGTACGATCGGTACTAAGATGTACTTCATACAGGAGGGCGTGGTGGACATTGTCATGGCCAACGGCGAGGTGAGGATAAATCAAGAACTCCTGGCATTAAATCCCTGACTGATGATCAATTTATCCCCACAGGTTGCCACCTCACTATCGGATGGCTCTTACTTCGGTGAGATCTGTCTGCTGACCAATGCGCGTCGTGTGGCCAGCGTGCGAGCCGAAACCTATTGCAATCTATTCTCGTTGAGCGTGGATCATTTCAATTGCGTTCTGGATCAGTATCCGCTGATGCGCAAGACCATGGAGACTGTGGCCGCCGAGCGGTTGAACAAGATTGGCAAGAATCCAAACATAATGCATCAGAAGGACGAGCAGCTGAGCAATCCGGAGTCGAACACGATTACGGCTGTGGTGAATGCCCTGGCTGCCGAGGCGGATGACTGCAAGGATGAGTAAGTTGGCTAGGGAATAATTAAGTAACTAAATATTTTGAAAACATAATGAAAGTCACTATATTACTTCATAGCACTAGTCACTATATTATGACAGCAATATCAATCGATTTTAAGCAGTGATGGCCAGCAGAACGCGTTTCTGCTTTACAGCGTACGTGTGCGTCGAAACGCTAGCAGCGCAGCGGCAGAGAAACTGCCTCTTCTGGCCACCACTGTTTTAAAGCCACAGGTTTCCTAAAAACTTTTACAAACAGGCAAATAAATCATTATAGGCAAACTTTTTTAATCTCTTATATGGAAAAAAGTTTCTTTTACTTATATTTATTTATTAGAAAAAATTATTAAAATATAAAATCCCTTGCTAATTATTTGAACTCCGTTTCAGTGACATGGATCTCAAGGAGAATTTACTGCATGGGTCAGAGTCGAGCATTGCTGAGCCGGTGCAGACGATACGTGAGGGTCTCCCGCGGCCGCGGAGCGGGGAGTTCCGCGCCCTGTTCGAGGGCAACACTCCATGACACTGAGGAGCGACGACGGGCGGTGCCGGCGGGCACCGGGCATCCATCTGAGCCAGCGGTTCGCTGGACACTCACTCACCCAAACCCACACCCATACCCCCCACACACACACACACACACACTGCGTATATAATAATTTAGTAAAAGGAACCCCAAGACGCGATAAGAGTACACTAAAAAAAGAATCAATTTATGGTAGACACTCTATATATGCAATTGCGATTTAGTAGAAAACGTATTAAAAACAAAAAAATCCAAAAAAAGATAAAAGAATTACACAAAAAATGTCCTCAATAATTATTCATAATTTCAGCTCCGCTAACTGTGATGACTTTAATATAAGAATCGAAAAAAATTAACAAAAAAAGAGAAAACGAGTACATACAGAGATAAATTATACGATAGAGAGAACTCAGCAACAGCCAGCAGACAGATCAGAAAATCACAACCCACAGACATAGAAGATTTGCCACCCCACACAATACACTCCACAGACCACACACACCAAATACTGACATATAAAGTAAATCTACATATAAGTTTTATGCCCACGATATTGTAACGATAACGAAGTGAATAGACTTTTGAATTGCTACATAGGCGTTAGTCCTATGGACCTACAACCAGAACACACAACCACACGCGAGCAGGTCAAAGGGTGACAGGAATCAGGCATCAGGACATCAGGCACATGGCATCAGGAGGCAGAAGAATACAGTCAGTCAGACAGACATGCATCCACTTATGATAAAAAACGAAGCGAAGCGTTACAGCATACCAAAACATATTTATGCGCGTAGCTATTATGTACTCGAGCAACCAACAAACAAACAAAACAACCAACAATTATGTATTATTGCGATTATATAGCATATTTAAATACGCATTGCAAAAACAAAGGGAAAACATAACTCAGCAATATACAAAAGAAGAAAAAACAACCCAAGAAACAAAAAAAAGTATTTAAGCAAATTTAACGAATGCGCATTAGTAGTTGAACTATTAGTTTTTCACTCACTAACAAACAAAACACCACTCGACACACAACGTAGTAGAGAAGCCTCAACAAATTAAAAAAAACAAATGAAAAAGATATGTTAAAAACCAACCTCAGGGTGCCGTCGTTTCAGCGGTCACCAAAAAATAACAAAAAAAAAAAATAAGAACAGACAAGAAACCAACTATATACACACCATATATATATACAAAACATAGACAATGTTGTCTTTTATAGGGAATTGTTAAAGCGCCTCAGTTACATTTCAAGTATTTATTGCGGGCCTGCCGCCGAGCAAGATCATGATTTTCCATTCAGATTCAGAATTTCCGTTCGAGATACAATATTTAGTTGCCAGCGAGATCTCTGCGGCAAGTGGTTCGCCGCTGAGTCCTTGTTTCTTTTACTTTCGGACATAAATCAGGCGAGGGACAGCGACTTGTTGAAGGATTTATGTAACTTAGTATTTTATTACACGTAAACTAATAAAACGAAAGCAGAAGGACAGCGTTTGCCTTAAAATAATACGTTAACGAGTTTTATTAATCTCAAAATGGAAACATAAAAGAAACAATTTGACATTCCATGCCAGGACTTAAGGTTTTCAACGGTCTCGATAGTAGTATTAAACAGTAAACTAGGAAAATGATCAATATAAGCCTATGCGGTGATGCAACGACGCACCCAACCGGAGTCGATCAGCGACTTGTTCAGATTCACAATGGGCCCTTTGCGTTCTGGATCGACTAGCACAAGATAGGCAGTGTTGTTCTACAAAAGCAAAATGGTTATAAGCTTTCTACGTTCATTAACGACTCACCTTAATAGCCTCAACCTGGGCGTAAAGTCTGCGACAGGTAACCATTCTGTAGAAGATGTTAACGGCCTCTGCGGACCACACAGGTGCCTTCAACTGAGTTACAAAGGCCAATCGACCGGGCAAAGACTGCGGCGGCAGCATGGCAAACTCCTTTAGCAGAAACTTGACATCCTTGTGGCTCACGCACATAAAGTCCCCAGTGTCGACCATCTCCACCTCGATTGTCATCCCTGTGCTATTGGGCCGGTACCTCACCACTTTGGCCCTTTCCCACTTGCCCCATTTGTTGGAGCGCACAACGCAAAGATGATCTGTGGTTATCAAGCACAGCGGCATGGTGTACTTTTCCGAATCACGACTCTCGTAAAACATTCTAAGGGAAAAATGATAAAAGTTCATATTTTATAGCTATAATATCTCATAGAAACGTTTAGCTTACTGCATGTTGGAGCTCAGGGCACTATAGTCATGATACTCCTCGTTATATATCCAAAAATTGAAGTTGTGTGGATTGTCCACCTTCACCAACTGCACTTCCAGGCGCTGATCCAACTTGATATTGGTTTCAACATTGCTAACAGGTAGCTTAAAATCAAAACGAACCGCATCCACAGGATAGTCAAGGCCCAGAACTCGTTCATCCTGAAAATAGGAAGCGGGGATTAAATAAGTTAAATGCAATATTTAAATTAAGATTTCTCATACCACAGCATAAGCTGGAATGGCATTTTCTTCGTCGCCATCATCGGAAGACTCGTAAGCGAAGAAGGGCTCTTGGGGTCCAAGAGGCTTGCCAATATCCTCCTGAATCTCGGTTTTGGATATAATATTATTATGGGGCTGGGAAACCGGCTCCATTTCGAGCACCACTGCCTCGTCTTCCTCATCTGAATCTAAAATTTCGATTATAGGTATGGAGTTCTGCTCTCCCTCTTCCGAGCTAAAAGGATCCTTTACGAATTCCTCCTCATCAGAGTCGTAAATCTCATATTCCTGCTTCTCTATGTAACCAGTGGGCGCAGCATCCACAGTGAGGTTTTCGAAAGCTTCCACCAATTCCTCGGTATCCTTTTCCAATTCTCTAATCTTAACAGGAGATGGAGGCCTTGCAATGTTCGGTGTTTGATGATTTTGCTCCTTTAAGGGCTCCGGTTTCTGGAAGTTCTCCATCTGATTTACCCTTTTCAACGGTTCAGGATTTCTTGAATGTACAAAAGAGTTTTCTTGCGGTCTGGGAGTGCTCTGCGGATAAGCATATTGGATTGGATTAATTGGATTCATCAGGAACAGAAGAAATTGATAGTACTGCAGGGTGTAGTAACTATACAGCACCTGCTGCTGTCCTGCGCGGATCAGGGCGTCAATATTCTCAAAGACCATCGGTGTGTGGACGGGAGGAGCCATCAGTCGACTATAATTGGGATATGAAATGGGAACGTAATGGTTGTTGGGTCGCTGATAAGTTCGGGACGGCATGTTTCGTTGACTCATTTTGGGCACAGCGTTTATAAAGTTCAAATTCGAAGGCTGCGAGGGGAAGCAATACTTTGGTTTGTGGTTCGGTCGACTTCTGGCCCTCAAAGAGGGCTTCTTTTGGCCATTAACCAATTGCTGAATGTGCGCCGATTTTTCGGTGGTCACTGCAGTTACCAAGGCCATAGTTCCGTGGCCCATTACCTGGTAATTGATATTGGTATTAGAATATGTATAGTATATAGTGTATAGTATATAGTATATAGTGTACCTACCCTAACCGTATCCGGAATAGAGCGCAGGAAGGATTCGGCATCCTTGAATCCCAGCTTCATGTAGGGAACATTGCAGCCTTCTTCGCTGCGATAGTCGCGCATCAGCTTCTCTATGGTCATTCTTCCCGGCGAGGAGACCACCAGCGAGTGCACCACCTTCTTCACGAGGCTCAACATGCCGCGATCATCCATGCTGAACAAATGTATATTTCAAATCGCACAAATAAGTTTTTGTTCCCCGGAATTTCACAAAAATATTGATCGCGGCCACGCTTCAAATTAGAAAGTCCAGCTAACTGTAAATTAGGGTTGCCATCGAACATGTTTTAAAACTATCGGTTACATTTGTGATATTTTTAGTTAGGGTATTCCATAATGATTTAAAAAAGCTTAATCATTACTGTTAATACATTTTCAATGTGGTGTAAATAGCTTTCACATTTTACCGATCTCAGAACATGTTTTTTTTATTTTTCTTTCTTTAAACTAATGGTAAGGTAAGAGCAACTAATTTTAATTTAAAGTAACCGATTTATAGTATTAACAGTTAAATCCTGTTTGTTTTGGCAGGTAAATAAACAAAATACTTAAACATAATAACATAAAAATATCCGTAACAAAACTAAATACCATTACTGCTCTATTAAATTTTAAGCCATGACATGAACCACAACTATATCGCCAACGCAAGACAAAAATAAATTATCGATAGGACAGTGCTGCCAGACTGGCAAACCGTTTGTTGCCGCGACTTTTAAATTCTGTTGTTTTAAAACAAATATTTGTAAAAGTAAATAAAATAAAAGAAATTACCAGATAACACAGTGCTCTTTCTAAAAAATGTGAACTATTTGTACATCAGATATTGGTCCATTAATATTGCCATTTATTTAATATATAGAGTACTGGGTTGGCGCCACTTTTAAAACCGGTTGTGCCATATGGCGGTGTTGGCTTTCGTTTCAGTTGCTGTTTTTTATGATTCAATGTAATTCTATACCCCCGACAGACGTCCTTCCTTGTGAAACTCAAGTAGCCAAAGGAAGCTACAAGTTCAGCGTAAGTTCAACTCACATGTGGGGCTTGATATGGAAGACCACCGGCAAATGGCATGTTTTTCGGGCTCGGGTTGTGTTTTAATCGTTGACTACATAATATTTCCATACCATTTCCCTACTCTTTAGCTAGAACTTGGCCATTTAGATTTGCAACTCATAGAGATTACAACATCCGCTTACAACTTGGGCGGTGGGCAAATAAATCAAAACTTAAAACCCGCCCAAGAAATGGAGTTTTTCCGGGAAGGTATTATATAGTACACTTTACTATGCCCAACACTTTCCACACACATGACACATGAACTTGTCCCGGGGACAGTGGCTCCATTAATAATTTTCACACGACCGGCAAAAGGGGCCTTGTGCCATGTAAATTTTACAAGCCTCTTCCACATTTTCTGGGTTGCGTAAGCTGATACGTTTGGGTCTTTTTCATATGCAGCACCATAATTATATTCTTTATATTGTTTATGGGGAAACAAGAACTGGAACAACAACAACAGCAACAGAAGCAACATGATGGTTTTTGTGGTTTTTGTTGTTACCGTTTTGGTCACTTTACAAATAGTTGAGGAGGAAAAAAGCTCGATGGGATCTCTGCAGTTGGCTATGAGCGGGTGACTTGGCAATCAAACCGGTTGTCCCTGCTCCACGGCTCCATCTTTGCCTGTATTCGTGTGTGATTTATAGTTACGCACAAGCGCGCAAATCCAATTAGACGAACTGGCTGACTGACTGACTGAATGACTGACTGACTGGCCAACTGACTAACTGACAATCCGAAGCATGGCCCGCAGCAAATGCCACCAGGTTATAGGACGGCCGCCGGTTCGATACGATCTGAAGATCTCGGCCCAATCTCCCCCAGGCAACTCGCCACAGTTGTCATTGGCCAAGAGCAAAATATTGGCCTAAACGAGACCGTAAAGTGTTTTAAATTGATTGATTCTATCCTCTTCTAAGATTTTATCATCTAAAAAAATATTTTTTTTAATTAAATATGGTTTTGTCTAAGAACGTAATAAATTATTGCTAGCTTATATTTGACGTTTATAAAGGTAGATTAAATTCTTTACAAATTAATATAAGCTGAGGTAAGAATTATGTGATTTTTCTACACAGAAGAGAAATTCGATATGAAATAGGATCAATTCTACCTTATTTCATATCAATAATAAAGCGATATGATTTATGTCAAATTTATGATTCAAAAATATCCACATGATATTTTATCATATCAAATAAAGTACCAAATTTAGTATACTTAGAACCAATAATGTTAAACAAGATAAACTTAATCTTTCTTCATTCCAAATTGATATGAAGAATTTAATCTTTAAAAAATATTAAGTTTACCAGCACATATCAATCTGATCTTTTGCCAATTTTTATGTATTTTTTCTAACGTTAGCAATTTATATTTTACAGGCTACTTAAATTTTCTAGTTGTAACCCCCATTTCCATAAAAAAACCAATTGATTTTCTTTTATGTACACTAGGGCGGTCCACATTTGTATGGTAATTTTTAAGGTCCTACTCTCACCCGCTTATACGGTGCGCATTGTGGTATTCAAGGTATACCAAAAGAAAATTTTTTAAAAAATCGTGTTTTAGGGTCTGCGAATTGGTTTCAAAGTTTATCACCCATACGCACTGTTGCCTTCGATTAAAAAGTTTTTCTGATCAAGGTGGCATAGATATCAACAATTCAGTTGATGTTTTGCTCTCATTTTTTTTACCAATTATTCCACCGTAATTCATAATTTGACAAGACAAGAAATGGGAGAACGATTTCGTTCGACCAAATTCGAACTGTTATGCATGTCGTATGAGTAATTTTAAAGCAAACTTTGAAGACGTTTCGCAAGGTCTAAATCTCCAAAAAAAAATTTTTGGTTTTTACATACATTTTTTGCATACTTTAATATACCATGTTAAGGGGTGAGAAAAGAATTTCATTTTTTGGACCGCCCTAATGTACACACATAAAAGTCAGCTATTACCCCATTTATCTGTCTTTTACTGTACCAAAAAAAAAGATACAAATGGGTCGGGAGACTGTATCTGTTTTTGATGTTTACATCATCGCCAATGGCGGAACTTCAGTAGTGCCCCGGCCACACAAATGTCGTCCATCGTCCATCGTCCACCGTCCACCGTCCGTCTTTGTTGCATTTTTTCAAAAATATACACATTCGGAGAGCGAAAGAAAAACGAACTGCAGCCGCATCTTTATCTAAAAATTGAATTGAAATGTATGTCATAATACCTTTGGCATGCCGGCCAGTTGCTTGACATTAAAAATGCGATGCCCCCCGGCACAATCTCCCCTCCTTTTGACCAGGAAAAAAAACCACATATGGCTGAATGCAAATTTACTGCCATATGGAGCAGAAAAGCTGATGACGTCGTCATCGTCTCGCTGAAATTGAAATGCAACTCACATTTGGGAGCCCGCTCCTAGTAAAAACATTTTGTATTTTTCATTTTTTCGCAAAAGGGCCCTGGTGTTTGGAGGTTTTTATTTGTTGTTATTGCCGTTTCCCACGTTAAATGGGTCTCCAGTGCGATATAATCGCTATATCGAGATCTGGGTCCCCGTCCCCGATGATGAGGGAGTGTTCCACACGTTCCGCACACCTGAATGCTTAAACAGATCCAAACTGGCGACGGAATCGGAATCGGAGTCCGGATAACCGATAACCTTCGGCTGATTTCGGGGCTTTTCCTATGGAAAGTCAAGCCGGTCTACGGATTTGGTAACAGCCGCCGGACAATAGACCGAATTTGGTAGTTGGGGGGCAAGGGGCAAGAGCAGATTGATTGATAGTCTCGGCACATTCCAAGCTTCCCTTTACATGCACGGTGAGAAATGGGAACTATCATGTTTAAACTTAAAAAAATATTAGGAATGTTAGAAAGATCATCTTCCCTAACTTTAACCACTATGTCTCTTTCTAAATTCTAGTCTTATATTTATTTAATGTAAATTGTAATTGAGTAATGATAATATTAGCAAAAAAGTTCCATATAGTTTTCTAAATAAGGTCTGATTACTCATAGCTGTTATCTAAATTTACCAACATTAAATGCCAAACCTAACTTTAACCACTATCTCTCTTTCTTAATTCTAGTCGTATATTTATTTAATGTAAATTGTAATTGAGAAATAATAATATTAGCAAAAAAGTTTCATATAGTTTGCCAAAATAATTTTTAAAGGAAGGTCCCATTACTCATAGCTGTTATCTAAATTTACCAACATTAAATGCCAAACCGCAACTTTTTAGCCGTGTACACCCCCTCCTAAAAACGTGTTTCGCCCTCTCCCTTTCGCACTTTCCCAGTTCATAACTCTCTTGTGTCTTTTGCAAAGCAAATGCGATTGGATCAACAAGCCAAAGCGATGATTAATTGGGAATGACGACTGGAGGTGCGAACCTCGGTTTTTGGGACTACGAAATGGGAAATGTTGTTGAGGAGGAGGTGTTGTACGCCATGCCATTGCAGATGGGTCAGATCCCAAAACAGATCGTCTAAAATCGTTAATTGAACCAATCGGAAATAGAAATAGACGCGAAGAACTGAAGATCTATGATCTGGCTGGAAATAAACACCGTTGTTAGACCAAAGCCATTGATATTGATTGGTCTTTGTTCTGGCTTCGGGATTCTTGCGAAGTGATATTTGCATGTTTGGGCCAACCTTTCGCTTGTACCGTTAAATCTGCGCCACTCTCTTAGCACGGCCGTAAACAATAAATTAGCCAAAGCAGAAACAAAATGCCTCATTAGCACCTGGTTCGCGTGCGATATCCAAAAGCTTTCGATTTAACGGTTCGGTCATGCCCGATAAAGTGATTGAGGCCCAATTTGATTTGGGCCAAAGGGTTCAAGTTCGAATTTAATTAGATTCTTTTCTGAAAGCCCAAAACACTCCATTACAAATCTAATTCTTAGTTCCTGTTAAAACATTGTACTTCCTATTTTTCAGAGTGGTACGTTCTTTTTTGGGTTACAATTTATTTATAATTAAATTTTTTAATTTTCTTGTTTTGCTCTGCGAATTGATTATATTCCTCGACTAACTGCTTTATCTCACCATCTAAATTATAGGGTTGAAGGGGATCTTCTAGAGAAATATACATAATCGGCAAATACTTTTGGGAACATTTTTCTCAGAATCTTCGCTTTGAACCTAACCGAAGTATGCCACCCATTAAAGATTTGTTTTGAGTTTCACCTACAATCCATCAAATCAATACAATCTATTATGTTTTCAACCACTGTCAAAGGGAATTTCGGCCAAAATTTCAAACATTTAATTTTTTTTAGGTTGAAATTTTATTTTTAAATGCAAATCGGTTAAATTATATTATTTTCCTATTTAGCAACGTTATTGATTTTAAAACGCTCTATATGAGAGTCACACGAATTAAGAAAAGCAATAAATATTCATGTTGACTGCCGTCCAATACGTGCAATTTTCAAAGAAACCCAGCGCATTGTTCAAAGATTTGTATTTTTTGGTAAGAATAAGAAGTTCAAGTTCAGAGCCCCGACTTCGTTGGTGGTCTTGGGTCGCCTGTCTCCTCCTCAGATTCTCCTGAGAGCACACACTCTTAATTAAAATCAACTTGCGCTGAAAATGAAAAGTGCAAACAGAACATAAATCAACTTTGAGTGAATCAGAATCGGATTCTGAATCGGAATGGGAATGGGAATCTTGAGTCCTCGAGATGCCCGGGATCTCGGGATCTCTTTTCTGGACCGAAGTGAACTGGACCCAACGGCCTTGCTTATCAGCCGTTTTCCCTTACTTTCCTCATTCGCTGGCTCTTTTGGCTGGCCGTCTTGCCACACGATCTTCTTATTCCCTTTGTTTTCTTTTTCGGGTTCAGTTTTTTTGGTTTTTGGCTAAGTTGCAGGCCATTTTGCCGCAACAGGTTCTTGGCTCGCTTCTCTCTCTCTCTCTTTCTTCCAGACCCCTCTTCCCGAGCTCTCCTTTTCCATTATGGATAAGAACTGGACAACGGCAACAGGTTCTGAGCGAAGAGAGCAGCCGAAACTGTCTCTCACTCTCTCAGTCTCCCACTGAGATAAGTGACTTTCAATACGAAATACAAATATACCTGTTTGCTTTGGCTCTGCTTGATAAGAGGCTCTAACCCCCATTATTTAGCACTAAATTTACCACTGGGTCTGGCACACTCTCTCTCTCCTGGTCACTCACGCACACACTTACTGCCGAGCCGCAGGTAGAGCTACAACAACAACAGCTTAGCACCGTCTCAAGATAGAGATACTCTCTCTCTTTCTCCGGCTCTCTGGTGGACTGATTTCCAGCTGGCTGTTAACGTGGCCCATTCGTAGAAACCCAGGGTATTATCGACTGGTCAACTAGTTTGAGGCAAAAGGTAGGAAATATAGTAAAATACCCTCTTTCTTCTGAAATGAATATATTTACAAATCATTGCCTACTTTTGGTGAATATAAATAAACATTCGTTTATTAAACTTAAATTTAAACAAAATATCATAAATATACAGATATTTTAACCAGAGAATACAAAAATAAATATAGATATTATTCCGAATTAAAAAAAAAAATAACATTAATAACAAACCGTATTGGGAAAATTTCAGTAAAGATACTAAATTTCAAGATTATTACCATTCCAACTAAAATGCATGTTTAATTGTAAGATCTTCTATATCATTATGAAATACTAATAAATAAATAATAATCTAAAAAAACTAATAAATTTAACACAGAACCTATGGTGGTACACAGAAAATATATTGACAAAAGATCAGACTGATATGAGGTGGTCAATTTTATAGTTTTTAAGGATCAAGTGATTATTTTGATAAGAATAAAGATTATGTTTATCTAATGTAGTTGTTCAAAAATCCTAAATTTTGGTGCTTTAGATGATATGATAAGATATCATGTTGATATGTTGAAATCATAAATTTGACATAAATCTTATAGGCTCTTAATTGATATGAAATAAGGTAGAAATGACTCCATTTCATATCCGATTTTTCTTCTGTGTAATTATTTCATAATTTGTATGTGGTATTTCCAAGTCGTGTCATATGAATATATTTAAAGAGGTCTGCGGCATTTTCGCAATCCCAGAGAGCCATGGAGTGAGAATGAGCCCGATTGGGAGAGGAGAGTCTTGTGGCACACGAGCTTTGCCCGATCGCCAGTTTCAGTTTTCAGTCTTCTTTTGGCTCTCGCACCGTGCAGTTCGTGAGGAAAAGCGGAAAACCCCAGGAAACCCAGAGCGTTGCATGCCCCGCGATTCGGGGCTCGTGTCCGTATACCAGTGTACCTGTGTGCCCCGCGTGCTCGTGTGTGTGTGCCAGCTTGTGAGTTAACAAAAAATTAAGCAACCGAAAATGCACAACAAATTAAATGCAGTTTCTACTCAATGAATATATGCTGTGAATAAGTTTAATCAGCTCTTAAGCTCGCGTAGAAAAAAAACCAAAGAGAGCCAAGTCATAAAAAACCGAAGAAACAACAACAATTAGTGGCCAGAAGCACGAAACGGCATTAAAAGCGACAAAAACAAAAGGTGTCGTGTAAAAATGCGCCTGAAAAATTACAAAATTCAGCAAACATAAACAAAAAAGAAAACCGTGTACAAAGATCAACCTTCGAGACTTTAAGAATTCTTCCGCCCAAAAAAATAGTTCTTAAACAAAAAAAACTTGAATGTTGCGGCTGCTTTTGCCTTTTAGCGGGTGGCAAGAAGTTTCAGATTCTCCCTCTTCTGTATCTTCATCGTATTCTTCTGCGTCTTCTCTTATTTTTTTTTCGTGGCTGCCCCAACAAGTTTTCCCCCCAACAACAGCGATTTTTCCAACCAGTTTTTGGCGCTTGCCATTTTCCGCGCTTCAAAACTTCTGCCCCTTCTTCGGCTCCTTCTTTTTCTTCTTCTGCATGTGAGGAGTCGAAGAAAGAGTCGTCGGGAACGGGAAGAAAGAGTGCCAGAGCGAGACGGGGATAGAGGCAAGGTGGAGCTTAAGAGCAGCTGCAAATTTCGCATGGGTCAGTTTCAAAGACGAAACCATCCGATCTCGTTTCCATTTCTACACCTCTAACCAAATAAAACCTGGCTTAGAAAAGTCCCCATAACCTCCCATGTGGAATAGGTGTCGGGGCAGTACGTGTTTTGGATTATTTACGACGGGCGCCGCTCGTGAAAAACACACACATTTGTGGTAAGAAACATAATTCATTTGGCAAATGTATCTTAGAACTGGCATCTGAGCTGTGGTTCGTGAGACCACCGAGGAATTACATAAGCTAGTGCACCAAAAAAGATTCAGAGAATTTGAAACCGAAGGTGTTTTGTTCTAGACTCGATCAGGGAGTGTTAGAACTCGGAACAAAGAAGGTTAGAAAAACACTAATGCAATTGAAAAGCTGATAAGGCAGGTAGAGTCAACTAGAGGAAAATGAAAACTAATAGGTTAGTGATATAGAAAATGAACAACAGTGCTACTAAAAATATTAGAAAGAACAAAATGTTAATAACCTATGAATCAGGTTTCTGTATTCTATTTCTGAAAGCATTAAATTAAAAAAGCTGATGTTATTTAGCAGTTTAACTACCGTATAATCGATCTACTTTCAATGTAATTTAAATGCAAAGATTGGCCTGAATTGGCCTAAACAATAACTGAAGCAGAGGCCCCAAGACAGTGGAAAAATTTGCATAGCCAACAAAGCTAGAAGAAAACAAATTCTCGAGTGCTAAAGAATTCCGCTTCTGATTCTGCCAGCGATAACGGATAATAAAGAGCTGGAGAGGCAGAAAGAATAATTCAAATCGTATTTCCCCCGCCCAGGTGACAGTTCTGCACTGCAATCGTGGATCCAGGGAAAGTGGGCGTTAATGGGCGAATGGGCGAATGGGCGGGTCTCGAGGGGAAGGAACTCGGAGCAGGCGTAGGGTTTCCATGTCGTTTCCATGTGACGACTTATCAACTGTCCCGACGGCAGGAAAGAGGGGATGGGGGGATCGCTTAGCATCAACATCAAATACTACTCAAGAATTTCAAAGCAAACTTGTTTGCTCAACTTGCCAGCGATTTGTGGGAGGAATGGGGGGTTTGCTGCAGAGAAAGAAAATTTATAATATTAGAATTTGTAGTTACAAATATTTTGGAAAGTTCTATATAAGAAATTAATAGAAGAATCCCTAAATAATATTTAAATTTCGTTGTTAAATAGTTAAAGGTTTTCAAAATAGGATAGTATTTATTTTTAAAGATATTTCTTATAACTATAGGGCACTAGTTGTATAGCTCATACTATTTTTTCTCCGTGTAGCCAGTTACCTTAGGTAGGTGGTTGTGGTGGTAAAGGTGGAGGTGGAGCAAAACTGAGTTCAATACACTCGACGGCATTCAGTGACGAACATTTGGCTCTTGGGTGTTTTGAACTCATTTCGAAATGCGTAAAATTTGTTTTGTCTCTCGGTTATGTCTTTTATATGTGAGCTGCCGTTCGGGAGATTGATTAAATTATCGAGATGTGTTGTCGAGCGCCAATTGGATGGCCCGATGATGATCTATTTAATTAGGAAGGCAAACAGACATCCGTGGAATGCGCTGCGAGCTGCGACCTTGCCATATTTGACGACTGGCTTTTCTATCTGCTTTTCATTCCCAGCCTTTTCAAGTTGTCAACTTCATTGGCAACCCGTTTGTGTTTTTCTTTTTTCTGCTTTTTTTCCCTCTTACCTCTTTCCGTGGAGAGTTTTATCTTATCGGGCACTGTTACCGGCTTGACGGGCTAAGACTAATTATAATCTTATCTGTCACAACTAAGTAGTGCAAACATCAGTGGAACTGTAACCGAAACAGAAACAGAGACCGAATGAAACATCATCACTCGCCGAGAATTCGGCTTCAGATCTGAGTTCCCTCATTCGCAAAAGCTGTAAATTCCTCACATAATAAGCTACAATTTCGGGAAAACGACATGCAAAGTATTTTCCCAAATTGCGCAAAAAAGTGTGATCCCCCTTCCGTCTCGCGACAGTCCAGCTAAGCAAATAAACACACTGGCAAATGATATAGGGGAGAATACCTCCAGAAGAATTCAACAGGCCCCGAAAAATAGGTTCCCAAGAAATTGCCATTTCATCATTATTTGAGATGGGAGGGGAAATGCGAGACAGGAAAAGATTTACCAAAGGTAAAAGCAACAACAGTTGTTTAAGAAGCGATCAAACTTTCTAAGATTGCAGAACAGTTTTAAAGTGAATTTCCTAAGCCATCGAGGAGTTCTCGGTAATAAATATTTTTATAGAGATTATTTTCTTTAACTAATACTTAAGCTCATAAAGCGTATTTGTTCTCTAAACTATTTGGAAATGGCAAAGCTACTGCAATTAAATCCTTTATGATTAAATAAATTATTATTATTATGGCTAGAAATAGAGTTCTGCGTCAGGAATAGTTGAAATTTCCAAAGAAATTCTTTCTACCTTCTCTCAACCCTTTTCCATTCTTTCCGGGGGTTTCTGAGTTTTTACAATTTATATTTGCATTGCATAGAGTGCGAGGAATTCGCTAAGCAAATATTTGTGCCCCATACCACTTGTGTGTATCTGTATCTGTAGCTGCCTCCATATAGCAGATACTTTCCACCTTGGGCCAGCATCTCGCTTGTTGTGGAAATGATAAGCGAAACGAACGACCTTGTTTCCGAAGCCAACGACCTTCGCAATTTACCAAACCAATTACAACTTCCACGGGCAAACAAGAGATGTAGCATCCTGCTGCGAGATTGTGATCTGGGATCAGGGATGTGGTATTATATGGTGTTCTGGGCCCCGAGATCCGAGATCCGAAATCCGGGATCCGACGGAAGTAAGGTGAAAACAATTGACGGGATGGCAGGATCTGCTTAGGTAGTTGACAGGATCATAAACAAATGCCGCTGAGAATGAGTTTCAAATCTGCGCCTTCTTTCTCTTTTCGCGAGGGTTTGGTTTCTCGCTGTGAGTGTGGGTGTATTTTGTATTTTATTTGCAACTACCAAGAAGCGCGGCTTGGGAATATTTTTTCCCCGTTTTTTCCATCTATTTGTGTTATTTGCTGCAAGCCAAGCGCAGCGGCGAAGCAGTAAAGAAAGCGTTGAACTTGCTGCAGGTTGCAATTGCCGATGTTGCCGGGCCCTTTTTTGCGGAAATCCAGCGAACGAATTACATTTAATTGTAAATTTATGCGTCTGCTTCTGTCCCCCAAGCCCCATATCACCCCCAATCTTTTGCTTTGGTTTTGTGCAGTGTGAATGCCTCGCGATCTTCACCTTTCGGTGTGAATGTTTCTGCAGCAGGTACTCGCGGTTGTGTGAGAATTGACAAAATTATAATGATTTGGCAGAGAGTGCACAGGGAAAAATTCAATTAAAGCTAGAAAAAATTCACTATGGTTTTCATTTAATTTTGGATGAAATATGAAATATTATACCAATAAAAGAGTGCCTATTTTAAAAGGGAAGTTAAAGCGTTTTCAAAAAAGGTTTGGTTTAAAAATCTAAAAAAATATCCGTAACTTGGAATTACCTTTTTAAGTAATTTTATGCAAAGAAAATAATGTATTTTATTAATTTATAGCATGTATCCTGCATTCTCTTTAATTAAATTATTACTTTTTTTATGAGTCTCAACCTTTGTTCGCTGCTAATTAAATTTGACAAATTGAGAGGGTAATTTGATACATATTGGTTATTTTTCCCTTCAATTTCGCCCAGTGCTTCCCCTTTAAAGCCAACAACACCTCCGCCCAGGTACATAGGTACACATAATCATAACACATAACCGGGCACAGGTAACAATTTCCATTCATCTTTGTGCCGCTTTGTTACGCTTGTTAGTAGCTGACACTACAGCTCAGATTTACGACGACCTTTGGGCCTCTTTGCATGCGGCTATCAGGTATCCGGGCATCTCAATCTCGGAACACTCTGTTTTTTTTCGGTATACGACCACCTACACAGCGGGTAATATTTGGCAGATACTTTTAAGCTGATAGGCAAACACTTGGCTATATGGTTTACTGAAGTGGAAACAGGGGTCATAGTTCAAGCGGAGAATCCCGAAGGTTGCCAAAACAATATCTCTGTGATTTATTGTCCTTTCAAGAGATTCTCGTTGCGGAGATTAAGATATCAACGGCAGTCAATAGGAAGATGTGTTGAAACCGTATTTAATTTGATGTTTTCTTTGGATCTACCGAACATTATTGTTAATAGAGATCAATGCGTTTCGCTTTGGCGGGGTTTTAGCCATTTGTGACCTCGCCATCGATTGGCTGGCAATAAAAACCCGTTCTGGGGACTCGAACTGGGAGCTGCTAACTGGAATTGGAACTGGGAACTGGGGAGCTGGGAGCCGACTATTGGTTATGGGGTATTGGGACTGCATTCGTGTGCCGGGGTGTGTGTGCTCATTTCGCTGGCGCCACTCCGATTTTGCATGTTTTCCGCATTATTTTTTCGATTTTGTTGCTTTTGTCATTTTGCATATTGACTTGGAATTTTTGTGGGCCAGCAAAAGTGTCTAATTTCGTTGCAGAGTGAAAAAACCGAAACGAACCGAAAAGCCACTTCAACAGCAATCAGGCAAGAGAGTTTCGGAACTGGCCGAAATCGAAAATTCTACCCAAGGCCATAATTAACAAATTGGTGATTAGCCGGAAAGCTTTCTCAGTCGCAAGTCAAGAGACCCGGGGGCATGAAAGTGCATTTAGCAATGTCATTGCACTTTTGAAGCTGCAGAGCCAGCAGATTTATCTACCACGTACTTTGCCCCCATCCCGAAAACAGGCTTCCTCTTTGGGGGCTTCTTGCCTGGGCCTAGGTCTTCTGGTGCTGCACTGAGAGAAATCAGGAATGGGTTCTATGAAGATTTTAAAAAAATATATGAAGTGCTTGCATTTAACAATTGTATAAGTTTTTAGAAGAAAGAAAGTATCCACAAAAAACTTGTCTTTCAATTTTTTGCCGTAACTAGTTGGGAATTATAAGAACAAATGTATCTCAATGCAAAATATATGAAGTGCTTGCATATAGCAATTGTATAAGATTTTAAAAGAAAGAAAATATCCACAAATATTAGTCTTTAATTTTTTGCCGTAACTAGTTGGGAATTATATGAACAAATCTACCTCAATGGAAGGGGGTGCAAAAAAAACCTATAAATTCAATACCTTTGTTAATCAGCAGTGAATCTTTCACTATATAAAAAGGTAATGCTGCATTTGGTATACTAAAACCATGACAATTTTACTCCTTCCATCGAAAGGATTATCTTCCGTTCAGTGTAGCTCCGTCTTCGTTTTGTGTCTGGGTTTGTCAACAGCCTGGCAGAATCCAGTTTTCGCCTAGGAGCCGGAGCTGGAGCCCCAGTCGATGTCGAGTCGATGTCGATGGCGAAGGCGATGGCGATGGCGAAGCCTCTGCAGTTCCAATTCCAGTTCCAGTTCTTTGGGCCGAAAGCAGCGGCTCATAATTATGCATTAAACACTCGAAGTTTACGGGCCAGAAGTGGCAGCTGCAACTGCGGCTTTAATGGACATCAATTTGCATGGAAACCATACAGAAAACGATGACATTTGAAAGAGCCAACTGCGTGGGTCGTTTGCTATATGCTATTGCAATATGCTGTCCAACCGAAACGAAACGAAATGAAATGCAGTCGCCAAATCGCATTTGAAAATGCACAACAAAAACTTGTTTATTGGCTTAGACCCCTCAGTGTTCGTCTCGTCTCAGCGTCTCGTCTCCGTGGGTCAATGTTATGTAAACCTGGTTCACTTTTTTATATACATTTCTTCGTTTTTTTTTTTATTTTTACCACACACATAATACGCTCAACTTATTACACAAAAACCCAAATAACTCAACAAATATTTACGGACGCAGTCAACAGAAATCGATTCAATTTTCCTCCCTACCTCGCTCGTCTCGCTTCTTCCCGCTATCCCCGTCTCTTTCCGCCCCGCTATCCCCGTCTCTTTCGGTCGGCGCGTCTATGCGGATTCGTCTTACTGGTTTGGCTGCACTGCATTCCAAAGATGCGAGTTGCGGACCGGACCCGATAAGAGAAATAAAAGTGCAAAGCAGCCATATATCCCACCACATCCAACAAAACAGCGATCACAAAAAGTGTCGCCAGACCAAATTAAAATAATTTAACACATATAATTTCGTGTATTTTTCGCTTACATCATAACTCTTGTTAAAAGGTGGCCGAAAAATGAGATTGAAATGAAAATCGGGCAGGTCTAATCGCAAAATGGCATCAGCAGAAAAGAAGGGGAAGCCGAAACTCAAAGATAATTCCTGGACTTTTTGCACAAAAACAATCTCGGTAGTTTACATTTTTGAACTATTTTTTATGGGTTTGGAAATAGATAGCAAAAGTGATCAAATAAAAGGGGACTTTTAAGATAGAAAATAAATCCATTTAGATAAGAAAACAATACAATTTTTTAAATAATCTATAACTATTCTACAGACTGAAAAAAACGGTTGAACATAAAAATATTTTAAAGTAAATTCAGAAATAATCCCAAGCATAAACACCTAACTTATTAAACAATAAAACCTAAATCCCTCTCTGATACCATCAACCTCATAAACCTTGTCTGTCTGACCCTTCTCAGAGGTAGCCGAAAAAAAAGATGAGATTGAAATGAAAATCCGGCAGATCTTCTAATCACAACAAACCGATCGATTGTCGAAAAACAAGCGAAAGATAAACTAAATGAAAATGCGTAACCACAAGGAGAACGGAAATGGCTCCGAAATGGCCGAGCAGCAGAAGAACCTGGCCAAAATGGAGCCGCCGGAGAACAACAATAAGATTTCGGTGGTGTCCAAGCTCCTGCTGAAGGACAGCAATGGGGCAAGCAGTCGGAGCAGCAACAGCAACGTGAGCTTCAGTTCCGCATCGATTGCCGGTTCTGTACAGGTAAGTCTCTCTCGATCTTACATCTTTTTTTTCTTCTTATTTCTACCAACCGGTTTCGGTTTTAGTTTTCTTTTCCTCGGCCGTCTGCTTCTTGTTTTTATTATTCTTGTTAATAAATCCTCAAAAGCGCGCAGAATTCCAATCGCACACGGGGCTGACTCACAGTCCCAATAAACCCGGCTCGGCTCTCTTGGCCAGCAAACAAACGAAACAAAAGTGAAGGCTGGAGAAAAAGCCACAAAAACAAATGAAACGCAACGAATCGGAGCCAAAAAGCCCACGCACAGTGGGTCTCGAGTCTGGGAATTCGATTTTCGATATTCGGACCACTGCAGGTTCCTAATTGAATTATGGGCCTGACCTCCATTTGCATTGCCCAACCCCGGGGAAGTTTCATTTTCGATACTCCAAATATCTCGTGTATCCCTCGTGTATGTGTCACTCAGTCACCCAAAAAAAAGAGTCAGAGAACGGTACATTTACCACTTGGGGAGCTTTGTTTATTTTTGGGATCATCTGGGGGAATCCGTTGATCGATCGATCGAAGCACTCCCCATCCCATCGCCATCTTTCTCCTCCGCAGGATGCGAATGCGAGTTATTAATTGGACAACTGGCCATGAATGAAGCCGTAGGAATGTCGACTTGCGTGTGAAGTTGTTTTCTCGGTGCCAAATGAATGAATGAGTGCTGCTTGTTTTGGTGTTTTATTTGTTGCTTTTTCTGCTCATGAGATAAAATGTGGGGATTGATAAGGAAGCTGTAGAAATGTGGTTCTAAAAATAAAGAGGTTTATTCGCCTTCTAAAAACAGAAAGCTTATGTATATCAAACTCTAAATAATCCATTAAAAACTAATTAACGTTTGGAAAGAAAGTTATTTCTCGAATATCTTGTGGTGCCTCAAATAATAGAATAATTACTTTTAATGATTACTTTGTGGCTGCCAAATTCCCAGAATATTTTGGAATCTTCCACTTCCATTTCGACTTGCCCCCAATGATCCCATTCTCTCATTAGACACACAGAAACATACCATATGCGAACGATTCTGTTTGATTTGCCCCGTCACCCATTAACCTTAACTGAATTATTTGGAGCCAGGGACGCCCCTCTGCAGTGTGTGTATGTAATCCCGATCGAAGAACAGTGAATGCCACACGTTGGAAAATGGATTGGTTTGCGTCCAAAATGCAAAATAATTTACCAAATTAACGGTACCATTATCAACAGCGACGATCCGATCAATCAAAGTGAATCCGATCAATTATATCTTGCCTCCGAGCGTGGCACAAAGTCGAGTCGAGAAAACAGAGAGAAGAGAAATGTGGCAATAAGAGGAAAAGAGGTTATGAACAGAATAGAGCAGAATGCCAAGAACATAGCTCACGGATGATGGTACAGAGATAGAAATTTTGGGTTCTTATAACTAATAAAAATTGGTATCATATGCCAGAATTACTAAATATTAGAATGTTAAATTTTGAATAGATCATAAATATTTTACATATACTATATGTAGGTATCCTCCTTCATTTCTTTTTAAATTTTACAATCTTTTCCGGTTTTTCTCCGATTTTTCCCAGTGCACCTAGCTGATCGTGTTGATGATAGCTGGGCAGAGTTGGAGAAATGTGGCTGAGAATTGGAACAGCATTGACCTTATCACCGAAAGCTCCGACTTTTGATTAATCATCTCCATTCTTAATTGTGGCCCCATCTTCATATTCACCATACATATATGCCGATTGTTATCATCTCTGCGCCTTCCTCTTGGCTTTTTGCAAAATAGCATGGAGATATTGTATTTTCCATAGCCTTTGGGCCTGGCTTAGAAGTCGAAAGAGAATGGCGATCGATAGATGGATGGATGGATCGATTCGCGGATCGATGGCGGGCAGGTTATTGAACCGCTTTATTCTCGGGCATTTGTAACGTTTTATTTTTCATTTTCCCCATACATTTTGAGCTTCTCCACAAACGCTAATTACTGGCGCGGCGCACGCTTTAGTTCCAGTTATTAGACCCCAAGACTCCTAACTTCGAAGCCCCAGTACTCCAAACTCCATACTCCATTGATGGTGGTCGCAGTCGCAGTCGCCCCTTGCGATCCTCCAAACTTAGAACTAGTTTTCGGGGTCTGGCTGGGATATTTTTGCATCGATTAGGCCACATTCCACGCACCTATATCGCGCCGCTGGGCGTTGCAATCTCTTTTGGGCTATTTATAGCTGCAATCGAATTAATTGTGGCCACGCCCCAGCAGCGTTAGTGCCGGAATCTCTGACAAAACCAACTGTAATGGGTAATACATAGGTAAATGGGTAGATGTGGCAGAAGTAGAAGGCAATGGCTAGTGGGCAGTTTCCAATGGGCTTGACGAAGGTCGTCGCTGTCCATTCTTCAGCCTCTCTTCATTGCTTTAGATGAATGCGCAGATTTCTAAAGAAAAATATTTTGGTTATAGATGTAACGATTTTTTCTTTTTGGTCTTTTTTTTTTCTGTCGATTCAGCCCAAGCACTTGACGATGCACTGGAATCATCGCTTTTTTTAGGTATTTCTTTTTAAAGTTCAAGTGTTTGTTGGGGGTTTGTTGGCTGTATAGCCAAAGCGTGAGCTGATCAAGTTGAAGCCAGTGGGGCACCTTAATCGTCGCTTCATTTCCGCGCAGAGCTTTCCTTTTAGCTGCGGAAATGATCGCATATTTCGCCAAAAGAGATCTCCGCCAGCCGAACTAGCCCATCGAGTTGGGAGCTGGAAGTTGCGCAATTAGGGGCGGCTAAGCGGTCTGGTCCACGCCTCAATGGCTAACACTCTGGGCGGAATGAGGAGGTATTTAAAATTATAAATAGACTTGGACTTAAAGAGACTTGAAGTCTAAGAATTAAGATCTTTGAAGTTATAAATAGAATTTGGCTTGAAGAGACTAAGAATTAAAAGACGAGATTATAGCAACATTAGCAATTTATTTTTAGAAGTTATTTGGGGATCCCGAGAGGAATTCATTTAGAATAGGAAATTTAACGTAAAAACTTTGGATGGAGTTTTATTTGGTATCCATTGTTTCTTAGAAATTCTTTTTACCCCTTGATAAAATGGAACTTATGGCATTTCATATTTGTACAAATTAATTTCGATAAAATATAGGTGGTTTTTTGTGAAAAATTAGACTTAAAATCGTTACGCTTAGATTTTTCCATACTTACAAGTTGTATGTTTGATAAAATGATTTCTTAGATTTTCATTAAAATATAGTAGTACTGGTTTCATCCGTCGTAATCCCATTCTATTATAATGACTCCCCAAGAGTATCCCACCATCGTGTTCGCTGGCATTTCCACGGCTGTCTTCTATTTCATTTTCATTTCCATTGCCTGTCGAACGCTTCAAGCTCAGCTCAGCTCAGTTTAGTTGAGCTCGACTCTTAACGCTCATTAGTTCTCTAAGTCCGCCAGCCCCAACTCTCGACTTGTTTTCTCACACACCACACCACACGCCACATAGGAGGCTTCAGCTCTGCAATTAATTAATGCCAACAGTCCGGCAGCAACATCAACAGCAGCAACAGCAACATCAGCAGCAGCAGCAACACAAGCAACAAGCAACATGAACAAAAAGCAGCAACAATGCCTCCTGCCAGAGCTAAATTCTAGCCAGATTCCAGCTAAATTGTTTTGGCTCGTCTTTGAACTCGAACCGCCGGCGTTTTAAGCCTTAGCTTCTTCCCTTTTGCATTTTTTCAGCTGAAGAAAAATAAAAAAATTATAACAAATAATTGCGCTGCTCTGGCGACAGGTGCACACAACACTCCTTCATCTTCATGGCTTTGTGGCCCCGGAAAATGAAAATATGTAGTGGAAAATTTCACCTATGTCGGTATTGGAATCGGAATCGGAATCCATTGTTCCGGTCTTGGAAAATGCCCTGCTTATGCTTATATACCCATTGTATGCACTTCTGCTTCTGGCCAACGGGCATGAAGATTTCTTTATGAGCGAACACTGTCTTAATTAATTAACAGGCCAAGTGAAAATGCATTTTTGGCCAGGTGCCGTTTCTGCTCTCCTAGCCAACTTCGATTTCATTTTCCGTTGCGAAGTTACTCTTTTTTTTCGGCTAGTTCTTGAACCCACACGAGCAACAAATTTCACTTTTGTTTCTCCTCCAGCAAACGGCAGACAAAGCGACATTCGAGCCACGAAAATTTTGAGGTCAACAGCAAGAAAAACGGAAAAAACCGAGACGGAGACGAGAGACTCGTTCCCATTACCGGAGATTCATTCGTCTGGTGGCCGTTTTGGCCAAAAGTGGACGCGGCCGCGGCCGCAGCCATTGAAATTCTTGCCATCGAACTGAAGCGAAACTCTTCGTAATTTAATGCCAACTTAGAAGCTCAAGAGAGCGACAGCTGCCCTTTCGATCCAGTTGCAATTTGGCCAAAATAAACATGATTTGCCATTTCGATTTTCTGTGTTGTCATCATCATCGTCAGTCGCCAGCTGGAGGATCGTATCCTCAGCGCTGGAAAAACAGAAAGTGAAGTGACCGAGTGAAAGATTTTCGGCTTTCTAATTGGATCTGTGTGCTGGTGACTCTTTTTCTGGTTTTCTGCGATTTTCGCCTCTTGGCTTCTCGGCGGATGGTCAGTGGGGCCTGGCTAATTAAGGGTCTCGCAGCAGGGCTAATTATGGCAAATATTTTCCATATTTCCATTGGCACATGTGTGAAAGTGAGTCCAAGAAGCGAACCAAGAAGCGCAAAATGGGAACTCATGACTTGATCCACACACAGTTTTTGGTTGCGCTCCGCTGATCGAACTAAACTGAACCAAGCCGAACTGGATATATGCATATATAGTGTATATATATAAATTGTGATATGTGTACGTGTTCTTCTGACCTTCTGGAGCTGGCATTCTCTTCTCCCGCATCTCAAGAACCAGTTGGGGTTGCTGCACTGAGAATAATAGTAAAGTCCTACGAAAGATGGTTGATTTGTGC